CTTCGAATTCGATTCAGACCCAAAATCCTCTATTCGCCCATGCCTAATTTTTAGTATGAAGAACAATAAACAATATGTCCAGTAAGAAAGATGGGGTCTTCCAGGTGCTTTGTGAAGTGGTGCAATCCTTATTGAACTTTTTAAAGGGGCCCTGCAATCATATTTAAGCGTCTACCTTTTTTGTGGTTTCCACGTCTCTTGAAGTTCGGGCAAGCGAGCGGGCACGGAGAGAGTAATTTCCACTGCTTGGTGGCAGGTCGACATACCTGCCACCAAGCAGTGGAAAAGGCGGCACATACAAGAAAGGAGTACGTAGTGGGATCAGGCGCCGACACGGAAAAGTCCTGGATGTATGCGGCGGCGCTGCGTTCGCATGGATAGGAGGATCCGATCGGCTCCGAGCGTTCCGAAGGCCTTCGGCGAGAAGCTTTGTCTTGCGGTCTGGCCGTTTCGCGGTATGGCAGCGCGAAGTGGCTCCCATTCTGAACTGATCTTTCCCCCGTGTTTGCTGTCCCTTGTGACCAATAAAGTGTCATGCCGAATTAGTGTTTAATCGCGCAGCAAATGCAATGAGAGCCGCTCTGGCTGCCCGCTGCATACAGCCTATCCAGACCATGCTTTAGTAGCGCCCTCTCGCGCCGTCGACGTGGAGTGCGGCAGCTGTGAGTGCTCGCGATGAGTTCACTACCCCTCGTTTAGTTCACGGCCAGTCAAGCAACCAAGGACGTCATGAGGGAGGTTATTTTTTGCTTGTTTTTGTAATTTTAATTTGCTTATAACTTTTAAAATAAAGCGAATTTCGAGAAAAGAAAAGTTTCACTAAGTTACTACATTCAGTGCGCTCAGGTTAGAGGCAAATTAAAAACCAGTAAAAAAGTCTTGCAGGGCCCCTTTAAGGGGTGACACCACCTTCAAGTGTCGACTTTTAAACCAGTTGCTCACTATTGATAAAATTTGGAGGGTCTATTCATCTCGTTGCGTAAATGCACTCTATAAAATTTCATTGCTGTGGGACTATTTTCTGATAAGCTACAGGGGGAGGTACACAGCTATTGATGTAAGTCGCGTCACTTGGCAAGGAAATCTATCGTATAAAATTTTTAAAGAATATTGAGCATTTCTAAGCTTCAGCCGTTAGGGGGACACTACTCAGAAAAAAATTGTTTTCTGCAAAAAAAGTTGATTTTGAAAAATGTCATATTAGCACCTGGAGAGTATTTCCAGAAAGTTTCATTAGTTTACACTGCATAGTTAATTTTTTATAAATTATTTTCTGTCCATTGAAGCTAAAGAAAAGGTAGGGGTTGAACACTTTGAACACATTTTTCTTTGTTCCACATTTTGGCATAAATTTCATTTTAGGAAAACTATCGTTTGTTAATGGGACAAGAGGAAAGACTCGCTTATTGTTTTTCCTAAGTGGAATTTTATGGGCAGTGTAACTATGGAATTGTTTTTTGACTTTGTGGCTGTCTTTTATAAAAGATGTTGAGATTTTGTGCTTGACATAAAAGAAAAAAATTTATTTGATTTTTCACTGCGATGTTAGCTTGAAGTAAATTCCTTTTGGAAATTTTCTTTTCACAGCTGCACTTTCTAGGCATTCTGCTGCAGATCTAGAGAAGAAAAATGTGTGGTATTACATTAGTTTCCTAACGATAGTTTTCCTAAGCAAAGTCGGTGTGTTCCTGATAAAAATGACTACAAGTTATTTTACAACTCATGTACACTGATGAAACTTTGCACTGCATTCTGCCTTGCAACTTCCAGTATATACTCGAAATGTCATTCATATTAAGCCATAGGTTAAAAAGTCAACCCTATTGGGTAGTGTCCCCCCATAACTAGAACATATGGTGAATAGGGCTATCTATGTTTTACCTTAAAATCTGTGTTTTTCCTATGCAAAATGTCAATTTGAAAAGCATTTCACATAATGGGGTATTTTCTCCTCATCAAAAGTCTACTTTTTGGCAATAAGAACTTTATTTAAATAGAAAAATAAATATCTAGCCATATTTCTCATTAAATTTCAGTTCAGAAACATCCACAGCAAGGAATACATTCAGTGATTCATTGAAATGATAGATTTCCTAAAACAAAAGTTGCTGCAAAAAAGTGAAACTGAGAAAAATGTGTTTGAAGTTTCCACACCACTGCATTTGCTTTTACTGGTTGTGGTGGTGGCAACTAAAAGGCACCAAGAGCGTAAATTGTGCCTTCTGCTTATAACCAATCTCCAGCATGGCTTTGCTGAGTGAATCTGAGCTTAAAACGCTTTCTTTGCATGTCATTTTGTTTTCGGCATGTGGACATTGATTGTGAAACAAGTGAGGAATTGGGTATGCTTGCAATACACGAACCAACATCAGCAAGTATGGGCGGGGCAAGCACCATCGAAATACAAAGCAGACAAACCCACGTGACATTCTATAAATGAATGCTGGTTTTAGTCAGTTTTGTGTTCAGTCAGGGCGGGCTTTTCGATTCTTGGCCATATGCATAGCCTCTTCTACGTGAATGCTGAACTTCTATGGTGTTCTAGCCCGAATAGAGTTTACTCTCAAACAAAGATATTTAATGTACTGAAACTGTGAAGAAATGTTCTTTCGAACGAGAGTATGATCATCGTACTAGGGCATACTGGTGCAAAGCTACAGCAGTTTGAAAACAGGAAACAGAAGTTTCACATTTCATAAACATGTGATTTTGCTTCGTTGGCTTACCGAAAATTTTTTATTTCTCTGTAAATACTTCAGATATTGAGATAAAAATCTGCAGGAGTATACATTATTAGTTGTGGAACCACAATACATAAAAATAGGAAAATTAGATTTTTTCTAAAAAATTGCAATTTTAACCCATTTACTACCAAAGCCGGTGAATCGCCGTGCGTGCCATCAGGGGCACATTGCCAAAGACGGCAATTCACCGGTCTGCATGAATTTCTATTTTAAAGAGCCATTCATAGGATGGCACGCTATGTAGACTTGGGGTAGTGTAGTTAGATACATTGCCAACAGATGGCGAGGGTCGTTTTGTTCGCTGTGTTTGTTTGAGCTTGTTCTTTTGTGTGTCGTCTTTCCCGTTTGATTGCTGCCTGCTTGGAGAAGATGGCAGCGTTCAGTGTATGGTGTGGCCTTCCTGACGATGAAATCATAGATATCCTCTTCGACAGCGATGAAGACGGGACGTCGGGTGAGGATAGCGAGTTTTCGGGGCCTTCTGTCGACGAAAGGGGGCAATTCCGACAGCAGTTTTGAGTCCGAATCACGGCGAGAGCGCACTGGTTGTGTGATGCATAAGCAACTGACGATGGAGTGCTTCGAGTTCTTTCATACGAGGAAGAATCTGCGAGGGCCTATTGATTTAAACACTTGAACGAACCACTTACGCATGTAATTAAACATGTTTTCTTGTTTTCTGCACTGGGTTTTACTGTAAAAGCTTATTATACAAGCAAAACAGTCACTCCTAGTGTGGCCCTGTTTTAGGGGAAAACATGCAGTACGGAAGGCCCAGCAGCGTGCGACACTCACGGTAGTGAGTGGGTTAAGGTGCTATCCCCCCTTAACTGATATGCTAACACATGATGGATTCTGCTTCAAAAGCATCGATAACTGCTCCAAACCAACATTTTGCCTGCTGCAAGACCTGCTACAAAAAGAAAAAAATTGACCGCATCTCCATGTGGTGAATGATGTTGATTGGGGCGAAGCTCTGGTGGTGCTTGTCTGCGTAGACGCTGAGCCGCAGCATGCCGAGCCTTTTGTTCGTTTTCATCCATGTCAGAAAGAGAATGTGTGGTATGGAACGTGGTTATGTAAGCATTTGACCGCAGCGCCCTCTTGTATATAAACGTTGAGCCAATGCATGCAAAGTTTAACGCGATTATATATGCATTTGACCGCAGCGCCCTCTCCCGTATAGACGTTGAGTGGCTACATGCAACGTTTCATCCATGACATCCCCAGCTCTTGAGTTACTACCACATCTCAGAGCCCCCTACTCGTCCCGCAGTGGTTAGTGGTTAAGGCGATGGACTAGAAATCCATTGGGGTCTCCCCGCACAGGTTCGAATCCTGTCGACTGTGCATACCTTTATTTTTCTTTTCATCATTTTTTCCTTGCCCTACACGAGCACGTAAGCACGTGAGCTTACGAGCATGAGCACGAGCACCAGCAATATCGATGTGAGCACGGACGCCGGACGAACAAGGCTAGACCCTAAGGAGCTTCGCCCCTAAAAGTCAAATGCCACATCCATCACTAAATTAATAGGTCATCTATAAAGCTTTTGGTTTTTGACATTCTCTTTCAGGCCACTAAACTTCACACTTTATGTGTTGTAGGGGCAATATAAGGGATGGTAGCTCATCAAACTGGGGGGGGGGGGGGGGGTGAGAAAGATTATTAATTTAGGGGCACCGAAAGCTATCTGATTACACACAGCGTTGGAACTTTGCAGTGGTTAGTGCAAGAGATCAGCAAACCACATGACTTGCGAGCATTGATTGATGGCGATAAGTGACATGTGTGTGGAGGGGTTTGCTGTGCCAACGTTTACAAACTTTACGCAGTGCCACCAAAAGGCACCTCGGTGCTAGAGGAAATCTGTTTACCTGTCCTATGCATTTCCTTCAATGACTTGACACTTTTTGAAAAGTGTGCTTGAATCGTGGCTTTGCGCTTTGTTTCATCCTTGTGACTATAGTCTTTTCCAGGTTTAGAATGGCGAAGCACGTCCCACAAAACTCTCCACTCTTTCCACTTTAGCAGAGCGAATGCTGAAGAGGAAGTGAGTAGAGAGAAGAAAACCACTAATCATAGTGAGCAGAGAGCTTTGGGGGAGAGGCTTGTCCTGCTATTCTCAACTTGTAACAGATTAAAGTTCTGTGACGCAGGGGCCTTGACTCACTCGCACCAAGTGTCTTTTATCTTGGTGGTTCTTCCGATAGCTCTGTTTGTGTTGCAAACTTGAGGCCTGTGTTTGTGTCCAGCAGGGTAATGCTCAACCGGTCTCGGGGGTCGACAACCTTGGAAGCGCCAAAGAAGAGATCGCTCTCTCTGACCTGAGCGGCAGAGGACAACTGGCAGTGTGCGATGAAGGTAATTACCCCTCATGCAATGCACCTGAGTATCAGTTGGTGTGAAAGCGATCGTGAAGCAGTTTTCAGATTGGTTAATTATATCTTCATGCACAAAAAGTATTGAGAAGGTTGCTGCTTTTGTTTCCACAAGCTAGCGTTTTTAAAGAACCTTAATTACACTTGCCTCCTTGACTGCTTTACCAATAGGAAAAGGATCATCTCTTGGTGAGATATAATTTGTTCGGTCAGGCTCAGTGGAGGTGGAACATTTCAATTACTGACCGTGTGAATTTTAGGAACAAGATGAACCAACGAGCTCCACGAAAGCCTGTAAAACAATGTGATCGCTAGTCACGAACCAACTTTACTTCAGCAGGTGGCGCGGGTGAGAGGGACGACCAGCAGACGACCCCCGGCCCGACGGGGGTCGTGGGCGAGACCCCATTCTTCTCGACGACCAACAACCTGACGGCGGAGCCGCACAACTCGTTGTCGGAGCTGCCGGAGTACCAGGAAGAGCAGCAGCTGGGCAGCCAAAGTGCAGCCGCCTCGCTAGAACACAGCATGAACCGGCTGCGCTACTACAGCCAGTGCCCCATGAGCTGCTACGGCATAGGCAGGCCCCCGCTGGGACGCAGCCGCTCTTGCCCTCGGCTGCCGGGGTCCCTGCCTCAAGCTGGGGCAGGTGGGGACAGTGTCCCCACAGGGGTGAGCGGCCATTTTTGTTGCTTTTGCTGACCAGGTTGGACTTTGTTTGAATTGGGTTAGATTTGGCGGTCACCCTACACCTGAGAGCGCAGTGCAAGCCACATCCTCGTTGGACCAGTCATACGCCTCTCTTTCGCCACGTCATCACGCTCCCGGCCACACCTACATGCGGAAGGCCGGGTCAGGTGATAAGAGGGAGACAGCTGATTGGTTCAACGTGCACGTAGCCCCCACTGTAGTCTCAGCTTAAGGATGAACGGGGTATAGGTTAGGTTCAGTTAGGATTAAGGTAGGTATGGTTAGTTTTAAATTAGGTTAAGATAATGCAAGTGTAGATTTCGGTTTGATCAGGCTAGGATATAGGTACTTCCGCAAAGTCTCAACCCACAGAAACCCTGCCCAGTGCCCAATGTGCCAAGGCACATTGGCCATTGGGCAGAGCACCATTTTTTTGTAAACACCATTCTTGGAAGAAGAAAAGGTAGCTCATAAGATATTCGTCTCTTTGCATGGTGCGGAAAGTAATGCATTTATAGAGGTTGGTATAGAGGCATCATTCCACCGGAAATTTGAGGACAAAGCCTTTCTTTGTGAATAAGGCTAGGTCAAAGTTAGGTTAGGTTATATGTGGTTTATGCTAGGTTAGGTTAGGTGAGGTTTGGGTTAGCTTTGGTTCGAGTTAGGGTGGACCCGGTAATTCCGTCAGCCACTTCAAATACACGTGTTTCTTTTCACACCCCCGGTGCAGCACGCGGAGCCCAAGAATACCCTGTTCGAACTGCCTCCGGGAGTGCTACCGCAGCCAAAGCCGTGCCGCGCATCGGGTGACTGCGGGGACCGGGGTGATGGCGCCCGGAAGGTGATGCAGGCGCCCGAGGACTCGTACGGGGCCCTGCTGTCCCTGTCCCTGGCCCCGTTCCATCCGCAGCAGAGGCTGGGCGAGGCCCCCTCCTCCTCCTACCTGACACTTTCCGAAATGTCCTCCGGGGAGCTGCTGGAGAAGCACCTTCAGGTCATCAGCGATAGCTACATCAGGCAGATGCAAGCGTCGGGCAAGGGTGGCTCGTCCACGACCCAGCCCGGCAGTGGTGGTGAGTTGTCGACGCAGACGAGTTATTGCACAACCATTGTCATAGCACTAGACCAACAAAAGATTTTTTTTTTATTTGACTGCTAAGGAGAGTGAGCGTTTTCCCCATCTGCCTTCTCGCACGTTTGGCTGCAAGCATTCTCCTCCAACGTGCAAGCATGCTCGCGGCTTGGTGGCTTCGTAACCTCGTGTCCAGTGCTGGCAAAACTGCCGGCACACATTGTTACCTTGCCTTTGATAGCGCCTGCGCTTGCAAACCGATCGCACTAGTAGCAATGGCAGTGTTCGGGGAAAGCCTCCTCATTGGGGTCACAGCACGTGGTTCGATTAGTCAACATCCCGGGTGGTGGTAGTTTGATAGTGACTCACGTTGCTTCCATACTTTTACAGGGGTATTCGAGGGGATGTCTTGACTCTTTGAAGCAGACAATAACTCAAAATACTCAGATTCAATATAATTGGGCTTGACCATGTTTGATTGAAAAGTCAAATGGATTTACACTGGTATTCAAATCAATGCTAGTGCATACCGCTCGCATGTGCCTGCCAATATTTTTAGCACTAGCTAAGGAAGGAAGTCAAGGTTTAACTCTTTAGCTGCTATAAACAACATAGTTTGCCGGTATTCTGTTCAACATGTTTAGAAATACATTGTATGTGAGCTGATTGCTCTGAAGCGAGATATTTATTTATTTATTTGTTTATTTATTCACCCTCAGGGCCAGAGGCATTACAGAGGGGAGTGGGGTACAAAGGTCACAAAAAACAAAACAGTATAGAGCAAGAAAATATACAGTTGTTAGGGCTTTTTGTAAGCAAAGATTAGCTACGGCAGTTTTAAAACGTGTGCAATCAGGGATTTTGGCGATGGCTCTGGAAAGGTGATTCCGCATTGTTGAGGTGCTAGGAATTAAACAGTCATGAAAATGTTTTGTGCGACTAGATGGAGTGCCAACCTTGTGATGGTGATTGATGCTTGCCGAAACATAATGAGTTGCTGTTAGTAGCCTTTCTTTCAGAATCGGGTTGTTATGATAAATCTTATAAAACTGACACAGACAAAACAATTTTCTACGCTGCAAAAGCAGAGGTAATGATAAGCATGCTTTCATTGCAGTCACACTAGATGTACGATGGTAGTTGGAAAGTATAAAACAAGATGCTCTGTTTTGAACTGATTCTAATTCTGAAATAAGAGGTTCCTGACCTGGATTCCAAACGGAGGCTGCATATTCCAATTTAGTGCAAACTAATGTTTTATAAAGTAGTAATTTTAATGAAATGGGTGCAAGATAAAAGTTTCTTCAGAGATAGCCTAGCATGCGATTCGCGGTACTTACAACATGATCGACGTGAAGTTTCCAGGACAGGTTAGAAGACACATGCGTGCCTGGCATTCGGAGCCTGCGCCTCACATGACTGAATTTAGCGAATAGCGGCGCCGCACGTTCGAGGCACGCGGCGCGCTCAAAAGCAGGGGAACGTACGTTGGGGCGCGTGCAACGTCTAATTTCCTGCACGGCACTTGATCCAGCTCCTCACGTGATCGGATTTCGGTGAACAGTGGCGCGGCGGCTTGTGGAAAACAGACGCGCAACTCTGGCTCCCTTAGGGAGCCTATACAGGAACTCTATTCTTACCTAACCAGTAAACTGTTCACTGTCAGCCACTTCTCCAAGCACACAAGTATAAGGCGGTAAAGCCCACCCTATTGTGTGCCTCTTCTTCATTTTTCCACTCCAACCTATCAAGCACCCAGCACCCTTTTTTTCAAGATTATCTTCAAATATTGAGTGAACACTTGCTCGGTAGTTTACGTTATATAATTTCGGGTTTATAAGTAGCTCGTAACTTCCTTTGTTTGTTTTAAATGTGTGGAAATGCAGAAGAAAGAGCTTTACTTGACTTTGTTCTTGGCTTCTCTCCTCTTGCGTTTGGGGCACCCAGGGCCGCAGGCAGACGAGGCCCACTGCCTGCGTGGCGAGGTGTGCCTACTGTACGCTCAGCTGCTGTACGAGCGGCACCGCAAGGACGTGCACATCGAGCGCAACCGGCGCCTGCTGGCCAAGGCTAAGAAGATCCTGGCCCTGGAGGAGCAGACCTCTGCCTATGTGAGGCATTTGTCTCCCTTCCTTGTTGTGTACAACGTGTCCCCCAAAAAAATTTACTGCATTTTAGGGGCGAAGCTTCTTGGGGTCTAGCCTTGTCCGTTCGTCCGGCTGGCCGGCGTCCGTGCTCACATAAAAAGAAAAAATGTTTGCGCATTCGACGGGATTCAAACCTGTGTAGGGAGACCCCAATGGATTTCTAGTCCATCGCCTTAACCCACTCGGCCACGACTGCGGGACGAGTAGGGGGCTCTGAGATGTGGTAGTAACTCAAAAGCTGGGGATGCCATGGGTGAAACGTTGCATGTAGCCGCTCAACGTCTATACAGGAGAGGGCGCTGCGGTCAAATGCGTATATAATCGCGTTAAACTTTGCATGCATTGGCTCAACGTTTATAGACGAGAGAGCGCTGCGGTCAAATGCTCAAATGTGTATATAACTACGTTCCATACCACAGATTCTTTTTTTGACATGGACCGTTGACTTAAGCGGTGGAGATGCGTTCCCACGGCTTCTAGCGAATCCAAGCTGATCCGCTAGAAGAACCACTGGCTCTGCATTTCATTGACCATAAAGCAGTAATAATGAAGTCGGAACGCAACCCGGAACTCAACACCATCAGCACTACCTATGAACAATAAAATCAGAATCATCAGCACCACCAGAGCTTTGCCCCAATCAACATCATTCACCACGTGGAGATGCAGTCATTTTTTTGTTTTGTTTTTTCACTGCAGAAACAAATCATGCATTGCCAAACTCTCAGCCTCTGCCCAAATGTAGCGCTGGCAGTCCAGACCAGATGTCAGAGGTTCAGAGTTTACTGTTATCATAAGCTTTTTAATGCAAAATGTGTTTATGGGCTGGATTTTGTACAAAAAGTTAACTCTCGAGTTTAACGAAAAAGTGTTACACGCAGGCAAAGGCAACACAAAGCATGCATATGCATTCAAAGCATATAGAAGGCATACTTCGTTATAATAATTAATTCATAATCATAACTAGTAACAATTAATCGCAACCAGCAAGATGTGCCATCAAGGAGCTCAGTGGGAATCGCACCCCGGACCATGTGACCCGCAGTCCAACGTCTTTGCTCGTGCTCGGTGCCACAAGGAGGAGGTGGAAAAGGGCGCAGGAAGATGGACGAAGCATGACTTGCTGCCGATGGTCGCCTGCGGTAGCACGCGACCATTGGCGAGTCATATACTTGGTCCAGCATACTTAGTCTGCAAGGGACTGTCACCGGTGGGTCATAATCATTCCAGCATGCTCAGCCCGCTGGCGACTATCGTTGGCAAGTTGTACTTGGTCTGGCATGTATAGGCACTTAGTCTGTAGGCGACCGTCATTAGGAAATCATACTTAGTTCACTTTACTTAGTCCTCAGTTGACTGACGGCAAAGAGTCATACCTAGTGCTGCACATTATAGTCTGCATGTGATGGTTAGCAGCGAGTTATACTTACCATAAAATCTCGTAAGCACGCTTACCCAAAGTGAAGAAATAAGTGGTGAAAAGCATAGGGTGCGCTATCTTTGAGGATGCAACAGCAAAACTTTATAAAAAATTAATGATAAACACCGGGGCACCCTCTACAAACCACATGACACGGAAACTTGTACTGCAGATTGCAGACACGTTTATCGCATTTCACGATGCGATAAACGTGCGAGAATTCACTACGAACTCCCGTGTCCCAAGAAAGCATACCGCAGGTTGCAAACGCAGCAGATTCCCGTTTTATGGCGCAAAGGACGTGTCTGCCGAAACCCACCAAGAACTTGCATTTCACGGTAAAGGATACCGCAGATTGCGGACAAACATGCGGGTGTCGGCTATAAACTCGCATGTCACGGGAACTAACACCGCAGATTGCTGATGGAGAAGATTTTTATTTCACGATGTAATATACACGCGGGAATAACTCGTGTGTTGCAGGAATCAATATCGCACGGGCAAATCCCAGACAAAAACGCGGGAATCCGCTACAAACTAGCATGTCACAGGAATGGATACCGCAGATTGCAGATACAACAGGTTTACATTTCCCGATGTAATGTACTCGCGGGAGCAACTCATGTGTTATGGGAGCCGATATTGCGCTCACAGATTGCGGACGAAAATGCGAGAACCTGCTATGAACTCGCTTGATGCACTAGTACTGCAGATCGTGCGGTTGATGCGATTCTCGTCGAACATTGTGTGACGTCCAACGGGACTCAAGAGGTGGGTGATGTTCCGGAATTTTTATGTTACGGATATTGAGCCAGAATAACCGATGGGTGATCTCTCGGAGGAGGGCATCCTTGCGGGATATTACAGCAGTCATGCATACTATAGTCCGCAGGCGACAGTCGGCAGCGAGTCATACTTAGTCCGGCATACTATAGCTCGCGTGTGACTGTGAGCAGCGAGTCACACTTAGTGTCATACCATAATCCGCATGTAACTTTTGGGGCAAAGTACTCAGTCCAGCGTAGTCCACAGGCGACTGTCAGCGTGCACCGCTGGCTTCCGAATAATGAAGCATATCTCCCCAGGGTGCTCACAATATCACGGGTGGATCATAATGCACCAAGGGACAGGACAGCAGGCATATGACGTCATAACCAGCAGTCAGTAGATTCTGTAAAGTGTGCATTAAACCTCCTCCCCTCACGATTACTTCAGTTACCACGAGGAGTTCCTTGCAATCCAAGAGCACGAAGAATTCCATGCCCTATGCGGACCCACAAGAGAGCCAGAACCCATGAAAAGCTTCTCATTAAAGCATGCTCGTGAGACATTGCGTTCCGGAATAAATTTAAACTTGCTTTTATCAATGTGATGATCCTGGAGAACACAAGCGTGTCGCGTATGCAGCACATCCGAAACCACGAAAGCTCCCCGTAACAAAGCGTAGCAAATCATAATGCTCACAAAGTACAGATACACAGCACATTGTGTTTCCCGGGTTTATCGGAATAACCAAGATAAGTTTTTTTAAGAGTTCCAATGGGAGATTAGGTTCCGTTTCCGCTGTCTGACACCATCCATCTCTGTGTATTTGTGGGCTTCGTGGGCCACCATTTTCCTATTAAAAATTTTAGAAAATTGCTTATGATTCTTAAATTGGGTATTGGCAAGCTCTGAAAGTTCGGCGTCTGGTCCGGACCGCTAGTGCTACATTTTGGCAGAGACTGAGCATTCGGCAATGCATAGATTATTTTTGTGAGCACTTTGTACTTTCTTCGAGTCTGTCTCCTTGATTTGACACAAAAGTGTCACATCCTGATTTCATGCCACTCATGCTACAACGTCCCAAACAGCTGCGACAAACTGGCCTCTTGCACCCTCTCTTTCGTTCTGCGACTCCGCACGTTGTTGCTAGAGGCATTCTTGTCGGATTGGCCCCATCACTGACACCGTGCCCATTTCGGTACCCAAATTTTGGGGTCTTGTGTATGGAGAAAGCTCCCTGTTTGTCATAACTGGAACTCCAATTTGAAGCTTCAAGGCGTGTTCATACATTTATTTGCATGTCAGTGTGACCGACTCCGTTAGGATTTGTTGCGTTTCACTACGACACATTGCTTCGACCCAGGTTGCCATAGCAACTGTCTTGTCATAGGCAGTCACAAGCAGTTGTAGTGCAATCGGTCGCAGTAGTGCAGTCAAATGCAGATGTCAAAACTGGCCTTTAGGAACAAGGACTTACTCAAAATGACGGTGACTACACCCCACATCAACTTTACGGTGCAACATTGGCAAAGCAGTTTCTGCTGGGCTGCATCCCTGCACTGGCAACAAAGAGGTGAAGGGGCTGCACCCTTCTTTTTTTCTGCTCAATGATGCTGACATGAGTCAGAGAGAGAGGAAGGAGAGGGGAACATGTCTCTTCTCTATTTTAACATTTATAGGATCAGCCTGGGAATTTTATGTCTGTGGCATGTAGCCTTGGTGGTGTCACAGTGTTAAGTAGACACCATCCCAAAAGTGCTATAAACGTGTGATATTTTTTTATAGGCCTTTTGTGACAATGACACCATGATGCACATAACACTGTGATGCAACATGACAGTGTGATGTCAAGGTGTTGCATGATGTGACTTGAGATCATCAATTCAAGCAACATGATGTCATGTGACACAATGATGTCAGGTGGCACCATGATGTGATATAGCATCAGTTGGCACTGTCAAATGACCCCAGACACCACATGACACTGTGACATCAGGAGACATCTTGACGTGACTTGTGACGTCGTAGTGTCGTGATGAGAAGTCAGTCACATCACGTTGGGTGACACCATGATTTCATGCGACACTGACATCAAAAGACATCATATCTGACGTTGTGATGTCATTGTGTCACGTGACATGAAGTCACATGGCACAATGATGTGTGACACTAGACGTCACATAACACCATGATGTCATGTGACATCGTGAGATCATCTGACAGTGATACCATGTGGTTCTGTCTTGTCATGTGACACTATGTGACTTTGTGATGTCAAGTCACATGATGTTAGTGACACTGTGACATCAGGTGACACCATAACATTGTGGCATGTCATGACACCATGATTTCACATACCACCATGCTGTAATGTGATGTCACAGTGTCCTAAAACACTGATGGTTCTATATTAAAACCCTCGCAGTGTGCCCTTCAGTGGCCCCCTTACTGTGCCCGCCAAAAGGGGGGCCTATTAAAGAGGCCCTATAAATTCTATGCATTTAGAGTACCTTTAGAAAATGGCAGAGGGACAGTCAATTTTTTTACCTTCTTTTTCTCAGTAGGCTAGGAAAGCTGTGCCACCTGCCTTGTTCCATTTTGTGTAGAAAAGTTGACACTAAGGGTCTTGAATAGAATACAGTTCATTTCAGTCCTTGCAATCAAACATTGTCTTGAGCTTGGATAATGTTACGCCAACACTAGACATGACTTTTTGTTTTTTGTTTGACATCCCTAGTTTCGGAGAGCCTCAAGAATTTTTTGTGCCACATAGTAGGCCATAAATTTTCTAAAATTTGTATTTTAATAATCTTTCCTTCTATTCACATTTCAAAAATCCACCCTGTTAAAAAAAAAAGAGAAATTAGGGAAGGATGTTTTAATTTACTTGTAGAGGGAGCACAGGCAGTCAAAATAGTCCTCGTTTTTGGTTCTAAATCAACTGCGAAAATTTCAGAATTTTTGTCACATTATGTGTACAGCCTGTTGCACTTGATGGAGCCTGGGAAAGTTTTCCCCACTAAACAATATTGAGACTGAAGCATCTTTTACTGTTTTGCTTTGATTACACCATGCAGAAGGACCAGTTGGTCCTCTTGGAAATGGAGATTAAGCAGCACCAGGACCACATGGAGCAGGCCGCCTCTGCTGCCGAACAAGAGAAGGCGAAACTGGAGGCAGCACTGAAGGTGCTGCACAGCCGCATCTCGTAAGTGGGCCCGTATTTGAATGATCTATAGAAAGAAGGGGACCTTTAAAACTTGTGTCTTGCTACTTCTTCTATGCCTTCCTCTGCATAAGTTGTGCATCTCATAGTTGTGGAATTCACCACAACGAAACCTATGTCTGGTGCTCAGTGTCGCAAGCAAGAGTGATGGTTCGTGTGAAATCAGACTGAAAGCCTGCTCTCACGTTAACTTGAGTGCCTCCCCCCGAAGGCGTCTCCCTCTTTTCTTTTTTGTTTTACTTGTAATCTTAGTAAATGAGACCCTCACTCTTCAGCCAGGCTCTGGCACAAAGGCTTGTTTAAGCATTCTTTCCTTTTAGTGTGTAAGACGTAATGCTCACCGTCTTCCACAGTGGTATACTTGGAAGCTGAACATAGTTGTGTATCCAGTCTTTGGTCTCTCCTTTAGAAATTATGCACCCTGTAGGGCCCTTTGTTTCTTGTATGAACTCACTTTTTACCAAAAAATTGACGCGTACTTGGGTGGTGTTCATTAAGCGCGGTAAATTTTTGTGCATTTACACTCTTTGTGCACATGTAATTTTAGGCACTGGTCTGACACGGCAGGGTACTGTGGCACGTCTCCATCGACAGAGGTGCACCCACGGCTGGTTGTGGGCGTGCCACAGTAACCGTGCTCTATAAATTGCGAACCTTTTTAGGGCGCCTTCGGCATTCTTTATGCCAAAGAAAAAACGCCCTACAAAGCTCACTCGGCAAGGAGAACAACACAAACCACTTTTACGATTTCACTGCTCAAAAGTGGACTGGATACGACGACATGTTTGTTGACATCAATGTATCGGACGGCCGAAACATCTTTGGGGGCTGTGCGATTCCTCGACCCCAGCGTTGTTAGCTGTACGTGCCTCTCAGTTTCACTGTTGAGCACTTCCGCAACTTCCCACTTGCAGCCATTACGCACATGTACTGCCATACTTGGCTTGGCTTGATGGCAAAAAAATTTGACTCAGTGGCTGACTGAGTTGGACGCTATTCAAGACTCGCGGAGGCTAAAATTTATGGTGCGTTTATTATGTGGGTGGGGAAAAAAAGGGATTCTTTTTTGCCCACTATGTGCAAAGTAGTGAAAGCGATGGTACGTGGCGACACCATTTTTTGCCCGCATTGCGCGACCGTGCTACGGCTCTCGCTTTTACTTCTTCGCACGTTGATGGGAAAAACTGTGCCGACGCAAGCGAAAGCGTGGGTTTTCGTGGTGTTGTTGAGCGGTGAAGGGAGGGGGTAACGTTGACGTTCAGCAGTGAGCAGAGAGGGAAACGCATGGAGAGAAACGAGGCATAGCTCTGCGGAGAGGGCGGACAAAAGGTGACGAGTTTTATTTATTTTTTTTTATTTTATTTTATTTATTTGATACGTGCCCACAAACAGCATGACGCCTTCAGCGTGGTGCACAAAAGGAAACGAAGCAAAGAAAGTATGTGAAAATAGGTAAAAAAAAAGCGAAGAAGAAAAGAAAGAAAAAGTAAAAAGAGAAATTAACAAATATTATACATGACTGTATAATACATTACTTGATAATACATGACATGATGTTTCGAGTTGCGTTCAAGAGGTAGAAATTTTACAGTGAAATCAAGTGCGGTGGAAGTTTGTAGAATCATCCAACATCACACGTAAGTGAAACGCCTTCATAGCAAAGTTTGTGAAACCAGCGAAATTGAGTGCGAAAAATTGACCGCGCAGAACCGAACTTGCGCTGTCGCACGTTGATGTACCTGCACGCCGTTTGAGATCTTTTAGGAAAAAGTATAACACCAGGTATACCATATTTACTCGCATAATGAACACACTTTTTTTTTGCGAAAAATTGACACATATTTATTACGCGGGGTAAAATTTTTGCATTTACACACTTCGTGCAAATGTCATATTAGGTGCCAATATGACACGGAAAGGTACTGTTGCACGTCTCCACTGATGGAGGCGCACCCACGGCTGGTTAAGGGTGCCACAGTAACCATGCTTTGTATTTTGCGAACCTTTTTAGGGCACTTTCGGCAAGCTTTTTGCCGAAGGAAAAGCGCCCTACGAAACTCACTCAGCATGAAAAGCAATGCGACTCTTTTTAGGCCTAACCACTTTCACGATTTTACTGTACTCTCTCAAAGCGGATCACAGAAGACGGCGTGTTTATTGACATCAATGCATCCAATAGGCGAAGAATGTCTGGGCTGGGCAATTCCTTGACCGAAGCTTCATCAAGTGTGCGCGCCGCTCGGTTTCACGGTTGATCACTTTCGCAACTGTGCACTTGCAGCCATTAAGAGAGCGGCTTGGCTTGGCTTGACTTGGCCTGACCGCTTGGCGGCAAAAGAAAATTGTCTTGGTGGCTAGCTAAATTGGACGTAATTTGAGACTTGCAGAGCCGAAAATTGGAAGTGTGTTCACTACGCGAGGGGAAAAAAAAGTCCATATATTGGTACCCGTTTGGGGGGTGCGTTCCTTATAGGTGGTATTCACTGAGCCTGCAGGTCCGATTTTGCCAGGGAGCGCCACCATGATCCGCCATCTTCGAGGTCGCGATTGGACCTTTGATTGGCTTGTGTATGCGGTGTTCAGTTGGTAGTGTGTGCTAATTTCGTATCGTTGAAGCAGCTTTGTGGAACAGAATAGAGAAAACGGTTTATCTTGGGGGCGGGCCGTTTTAATTCATTTGTTGCCGCCGAGTACCGTGTGTAAAGGCTGAACCGCATGTAAGCAATTTAGCGAGCGACGAGACGAGCGACGGCAACGAGACAAGCGACGACGTCCCGCTTCGCTGTTGCTCGGTCACTCGCGTGACCAGGCAAACCGCATGAAAGCGACGGGAGCAAGCTACCAAGGCTATGAGCGACGATTTCCAGAAATCTAAAAACCAAACAGCGCGACGAGCAATTGTGAGAAATCTCCGTTGCTCGTCGCCGTCGCTCTCTAAATCGCTTACATGCGGTTTACCCTTCACTGTCGCTCGTCGCGTAGCTCGGTATTTAGATTTTTAGAAAACTTAGCACTCATCGCTTTGGTCGTTTGCTTCCGTCACTTTCATGCAATTCGCCTCGTCGCTCGAGTGACCGAGCGACAGCGAAGCGGGTCGCCGTCACTTGTATCGTCGCTCGCCAAATCGCTTGCATGCGGTTTTTAAATCGTTCGGGCTAATGAAAAATGTGACGCATTTTTCATTAGCTGCGCACTTGGTGAGCCACACGGTATGTTTCTGCACAAAACGAACACCGAAGGCACGACGTACGACACGGAGGCGATGGAGCAACACGGTAGTGCAGAAAGTCCGCTAGTGAAAAACAATAAGGAAACTAGCAAAACAAAACAGAGTAATCACACCGTGCTACAAAAGCCCGAAAGTAGAAAATCACAGTTCTTGCAAAAGAGCTACAGCCGTGGGCACGGCGTGCGACACGGAGCGCTGCATGGAGCCAATAGAGCAACGCGGCCGCGGCGGTAAAGTCTGATAGCGACAAAAACAAACTAAAACACACACAAAAAATATTCCTACGGCGCTTCAAAAGCGCCAAAGTCTAAGAATAACCCCTAGTTTCGGCCAAAAAGACCCTTTAAAGTTGTAAAATGCTGCTAACCCACACTGAAAGGTCCGGCCAGACGGCACCTGACACCTACGTGGGATAAAAGGAGACCTCGAAGGTGGTGACCGTGGTGGCCGATGCCAGCGCACCTAGCGAGTGACGTCAAGTGAATGTCACCTGCACAAGTAAATACGGTAGTATGAGCGACATATGAACGAGGTTTTGTACCTTGATAATTGACTCATTGAACGGGGGAACGGTGACCGAGTATGCTAGCACTTCGCAGCTCGGAGCATGTGGGGCAAAAGCTTGCGCTGTGGGATCCAGGCATCTTGGGCTCAATCACCACTTGCCTTTTTTTTCGTGAATGAAAATTGTATTGTCATGCGTTCTTCTACTCGCCATCGTGTGATGCAATTTAAACTTGATGCTTCTTCTCACTCCTCCCGTCTATAACAGTAAAAGATGCCCTTTTTGCACTACAATTAGTTACCTTATTTTATACCCCCTTCCCCTTCTCCTGCCGGCATGAGGTCCTTCATCACTTTGGCGGGTTCCTAAGGGGGCCCCAACACATCCATCCTTGCAGACCACTGACCTAGAAGATTGGTAAAACTGATCATTTTTGCTTTCTGGGTCTGCGCGATTGCTTCGTTAAACAGAAATATTTGTCAAACAGGAATTCATTGTAGTAGTCAGAGAAACACATTCAACACATAGAAGATTGGCCAGTGCTTTATTTTACTTCAGCAAAGAGGCGTTAGTTGTAAAGGTGTTTGACTGTAGCAACCGGACACCGTCCAAAGCGGGATTTTGTATAACGCGAGTAATGTTTGAAAACACCGTTTTTGAAGTTATCAGTTGGTCCTCGTGGCTCTCCCCACGCAGCGCAGCAAATACAAACACCAGACTTCTCTCTTCTCGCACCATGAGGGAAGAGACACAGGGTATTTCCATCTTCGCCACGACGACAGACAACGAATGCTGACAGCGAAATCCCTCTAAAGTGTCACTGGTAAAGCTATTGCTTTCATAAAGTCCAAATGTTGATGGCCATTTTGGGGGATGCATTCATTATGCAAGTAAATACGATAAACTCCGAGCCGGTTTTTTCACAGTCGGGGAAAACTGCAAAAACCCCAAATCGTAGTGGTCCTTGAATAAGATTCGGCAAGAGAAATATCTTTATGTACAGCTTTACTTAGGGTTGACCCGGAACACAGCCCCCACCAAGCCGTCTGCGAGACTGCTTCTCTTTTCAGGATCCCCGCCCCTCGTCTCGTTTTCTTGTCTTATCCTTAGCGGGACATTTTCAGAGTGTTCGGGTTATGCACATGCTCTCCGAAGGCTGGGGAAATTCCACGTTCATGTCCTCTTTTCTTTGATGCGAGCCCCAATAAATGCTGACTTTTTGTTGGACCCAAAAAATAGACGTGTGGGGGAGAAATAAACCCCGGAAACACGGAACCCTACCGATATGCCAGGTCGCGCAACGGTTGTGGCGCTTTTTTGCGTAAGGGAGCGTCGCATAAGCTATCCCCACTGGGAGCCTCATTCTTCTGACATATCTGCTCTTTCTAGGGTACTGACGGTACAGAACGAAAGCCTGGTGCAGGAGAACAGTGCCATGAAGGAACAGATCCGTGTGATTGAGATGAAACTGGCAGAGATCAAGAAGGTAATTGTCTTATTCTTATTGAGCCCTTAGCGTTAAGAGCTGGTGATGGACCAAGCATTGAATCTTTGCACTGACACAAGCACATACTACGACGAGGTTCTCGTTATAGTCTGTTTCACTCTACATCCAAGCACAGTGGATGCTACGAGTCATTGGAGTCAATCAAAGGCCGCGTGAGCATCGCGTGACCTTGGAGAGGGGGCACAGTGACACGGAGAGACGTTATCACGGGCTACGATCACAAAGCGGGATTGGCTAGGAGAGCTCATAGTGTCCGCTGTGTCTTGACATATGATGAAACAGAATGTACAGATCTTGTAAACAATAATGGGCACACTATGGTAGTGTTTGGTACATAGCTATGCATCGATGAACGGCTCGTAGTTCCTGAAATAATCTTTAAACTTTGAACAGACATTACTTGGGGGCAGGGGCGGCTAAGGAAATTTTGAAGTTTGGGGGAAGCACTGAGGGTATTTTGGGGAACTACTGGATTCCTAGGTACCCAGTTCGAGAATTTGTGGATTATAGGATAATCTAGAACTTTGTCAACACATTTAAAAAAAAGTGTAAGAAAAAAACGAATGTACCGTGATCTGAACTTTACATATGTTGGCACAAAATTTTAATTCAGTGCTTTCAGTGTTCAGGAAACGTCTGTCCCTTCTGCTGATGCATGCCCCGACCTTTTGCCAGGAAGAGCTCTTTTCCCCGGCACATGTAAACTCTTCGCTGGTTAGAGTTGTCTTTGGTGTCGAGGGAGCTATGCAGCACACGGAGTACGGTGACGGCACGGCCGAAGGTAGCTGGCGCAAGCATTTGTAGATTTGTGTACGTACATTTCAAGCTAGGTTCCGGAGTATGTACAGAGCAGAATACAGTTACCATTAAAGGGAAACTGAAGTGGTTTTGTATTTGAGTAAAAACACTTAAATTGTTTTTATTTGGCCTCCAGGATCACAAATGTCGAGATTATTTTTTACAGCGGAGCTGTTAAGGGTTAGTTTCCCCAGGATCGTGTTCACCAGCAAAGAAATGATGACACCGAACTCTTGACAGCTGCCGCCATCTATGAGCGACGGCGGCAACCAGACAACTGGCTGGTTGCCGCCATCACTCATAGCGACGGCGACATGCGCTGCAGCGCGAATGGTTTCGCTACAGTCGCGAGGCTGCTATCGCCTCAAGTTCCACTTCGTCGAGCACTTCAGATTCCCTTGTGAAAGAAGAGCAGATCGCTCGCTTCGCTTAGAAGGCCACCGCTGAGAACAGAAGCTACAGCTCCGCTACTCTTCCTTCTTTACCAAAGTGGAAAGGCTGAAAGTTTTTAATTGTTGCACACAGGCTGCAAAAAATCATTTTCAAAGTACGGCTGAATCCTCTCCTTCCCGGAGCGCGACGTCATAAAATGATTCTGAAATTTCGGCTCTCACGGTATCTTCAACGCCTATCAAAGCTATGCAAGCGCACTCTTGCTATTTTCAGAAAGTTCAGAAAAACATGTCACGACTGGTGTCAGTGCGGAGGAATATACCTGGCAAGCTTGCAATCACACGCGCTGCTTATAGCCGACTCACACAACAGACTGATCTGCGGACGGATTGATCACGTGACGACATGTCCGCGGTTCGCCCGTCTCCCAAGCGCATTCACACAAGGCAGACGGCGAGCACACGCCAGCGAGGACGAACCGAACTTGCTCGCCACCCCACAGGGCCGCTAAACTCCAACACCAACATCGCACCGTGGCACCGTTGTCCAAGAGAGAAATTAATGTTTGCTGCCAAGATAAAGAATTCCACGCCGCTGTTACGTACAGAGTGAGACAGAACACTGTGATGAGTTTCATGTGAAGCGCCACTAGCTTTACTAATTAAAGGCATGACAATGACACAGGCATGGTCGTGCTCGAGAAGGCTTCGGCTTAGAAGCGACAAAGTTCTGGGCTCGCGGAAAGGCGTTTGGAGGCGCCTTCACACACTCTGCGCTCATGCATAACACTTCAGTACACCACAACCACAATAAAGGGCTTGCTCAGTGAAAGGCTGATTGGACGTGCAATAATTATTGTGGCGTGCTAGACGAGCTTTGACGACCTGTCGTTACGTCTAGAATTCACTTCTAACTTGTTTTTTTCAAGAACCTCTTCAGCTTCCCTTTAAAGGGACACTGATACCCCCCAAAAAATAGTCTTGATGTTTTGCCAGGTGATCATTATGGTATCAGAAGACTACCCAATCAATATTTTGCTGCAGTGTCACATATATTTTTAATAAAGTAAAAAAAACGTGACTGCTTGAAGCCGAAAATGAAACTGAAACAGGGCTGGGGAGGAAGAAGAAATATACACAAACTCATCTCTGTTACGTCACGGCGCGGTGGTGGCGCGTCGGGCGCACTTCCTGTCTGGGGCTATGGGCAGATGTCCCCATGTGAGACGTGTATTCTCGCGTTGTTTTGAAAGAAATCAGACAAAAACCTGCCTTCTCGTTAAAATACCACAATTGGGGCTGTACCAAAAAAGTCGAGAAAGGTTCGAAGATCAGTTTTCATAAACTCGGTTCATCCGAGAACATGGATATGTGCCGTGAAAAGGGAAAACCAGACGCCGTCGGACCACTCTTGCCTGGCCGGGAAGCACATTGGGTTGAATTCACGGACACTTGTTGTCATCAGATTTATTTGTTTTGTTCCACCATGAACTCCGGAAAACCGTCAACTTGTACGTACCACCTGCGGACTACGTTCAGCACGTCTTCAAGTTCAAGCGGCCGCCTGATTGTTCGAACTATTGTCTGCTCTTTTAGACGACACCGGCCGATAGACCAAATCTTGGTGCAGTACTTGCGATAAGAAGTAAGTGCAGGCCTAAAAAAACTTAAGTTTGAAGGCTGGTAAGCAGGCTCGATGTAAACAGTAGATACAGGAAGATGTTGATCATTGTTAACAGTGGCCATCACCGGCTTGTTATGCCTGATTCACTTGGTCTTATTCTGCTTGCGATTTTCAGTATCGACGTCAACCATCTCTGCTACGGTTCACGCTTTGCAGCCCGAGCGACATCGGGACTGACAATTGCAAGCAAAATCTCATCATGCCAATCAGGCTTCAGCGTACATTCTGCGTCATCCATGCGGAATGAATCGCAGCATGTCACATTGTTCACGCGAAGTTTTGCTGTGTAACAAGCCTCAGTAATTTCGCTGAGGCCGCTCAAGAAGTCAGACATTGTCAGGAAGACGTGGAATCAACAATTCGAACGTGAAAAAGGGCAGGGGGACTCACACCGACGCCGACAACATCGCATTTCAATGGTTTGTTCATGGGCAACGGCGAGCTTCTTGCCCAACTTACATTGCGCATGCGCGGTACCGGTGGCATCCGCTAGGGGCGCTCCAGGATGTTTGTAAACATGAGTCGGTGTATAGAGGAAGTCACGTGGCTGTGCTACTTTTTTAATGCGAAAGCATTAACTGTCTTATGGAGCAAATCAACGTCATCAGCTTTGAAGCCGCGCCAAACGGCACCTAAACTCCCCTGTCTCAATGGAGCGTAGTGAAGTTGCGATCTGATGAATAGGCTCCCATTGGCTGGCGCGCGTCATAGATTCAAGGAACAAGGCTCTTATTGGCTCTCGCATGGCGTAGATCTGAGGGACGCCACCAGAGAAACCCTCTCTATAGCGGCGCAACGCATGCAGTGGCCCGGCCACCGGTAAGAGGTGCGGACCTGGCCTCACAGACGCTCGGGCAAACTCCCGAGAAGTTGCACGGCCAAGCTCAGCGTGGTGCAGCCACTTCACAAGAGCACACACTCGGCTGTCGGCCACTACCTTGGCAGTAGCAAAGCGTGGTTGTCCACGCCAGGTATGCCACAGACAAACTAAGGGAGCGGAAGAATGACATTCATGCTTTTGCATTCACAACTCATAAAAAGTGCTTAGGTGTTCTCTGACTTTTTTTTTTCAATCAATGTATTTGCAGCTTTTTAGAAGCCACAAAAAATGGGTATCATATTTTTTGTCTCTTTTTGATATTGAATGTGTCTTCGATGACCCACAACTCTGATTATCTTTCGTGGTTCTGTCTAAACCATAGAAAACAGCATATGACCATGAAGAGGGTGAGTGCAACTCAAACCGACAAGCTTTTGATCGGCGGTTTTTGGGTGGGAAGAAAAAAAATTCGAGCCGCAAATTGTGGTGTGGGGTTGTGGGTAGTTCGGCTCTCATATGTCATCTACAAAAAAAAACAACCTTGGTGAGCATAAATACTCTGTCAGTGTCCCTTTAAAGAGATGGTGAACCAAAATTTAGATTTAAAAAAAAACAGTGGAGGAGATCTAGGCGGGACGCTACAATCCCTACAACACTACTTGTAAGGCGATATCTCGAATGGACGGCCGTATTTCTGGAAAAAGAGGTCGAGATTGATTGAGGCTGACGAGGCCCGCGACATCAAGAAACAAGACGCAAACATATCTGTCAAATGCGCCTTCTTTATTTGAAAAATACGGTCATCCGTTTGAGATATCGCTGTTTGAGTGATGTTTTGGAGTTTGTTGCATCCCGTTGCACGCTTTTGCCGCCGTGCTTTGTGGAATCCAGATTTCGGTTCAGCATCCCTTTAATGTGCAATTGCTTGTTTTTTCTAATTTTCTCTTTCAGAATGGAAACCACTAGTGCTGTAGGAGGAGGTCATGCTGAGCTCCAACTAAGGGGTGAAATTAGGTGCTCATTGATACCCCGTCTGAGTCACCCTCAAAGTGACATTGCACTATCGGTATTCACATTGCATAAACAGAAAAAAACCTGGAATTGCTGGGGAATTTAGTCAACCTATCCGACAATGATCTCTTTCCCTTCCTTCTGCTTCCTTTATACTAAAGGAGCTGAAAGGGTCCATCTAATGGGAGTATAATTGTAGTGACAAATACTTTTAACGAAGTACTAGTATATACAGTTCTACCACCAACCACCCCTTCACAGTCATTCTTGCATTTCCACTGCATTTAACCACTTCGCACGGCAGCCATCCCCGGTCTCTCGATTTCCGCTTGGTGACCTTGTAGAAGCATCGCGCTCTTTCCTACCATGATCCTGATGGTCGCTTGGCGGCGGATTGGAATGTGGCAGACGCTCGTCATGCCGTAGCTCGCTTTTGGCTCGACGGCCCACAGAAGCTCTTGCAGTAATGCAGAAGTGCTCCGGCCACCATAGTATTGGACCCTAAACACGCCAGTCAGAAATGTGCTCCAGGCACCATCAAACCCTTTTAGCCGACCAAACCCCTCACCCCTTCAAACCTCTCAGCCCTTCAAACTCTTCAGCCTTTCAGACTCCCTCAGCCATTGCTTAGGACGCTAAACACACCGTACGGAGACGTGCTCCAGGCACCATTGGTTGCACAATGACCACCACTTGTTCCCTTGGACAGGAGGTGGACGGCAATGCGGCCACACTACTGGAGACCAAACTGGAGCTGGAGACTGCCCAGAACCATGCATCCATCAGCCGCAGCTACGAGCAGCAGGTGGGGGCGCTGCAGCGGGAGCTGGTTGCCCTGGCTGAGATGTACAAGCGACTTGAGGCGCGCCTGGCCGCGATGTCGCCCCAGCGCAGCATCGCCAAGGAGGTGGCCCTCGTGCAGGAGGCGGCAAGGGTCGAGACAGCCGGTGGGTTCCCGAGAGGCACAATTCTTCAAGCCGGAATTCGGTCTTTGTCAGAGGCCATGGTATCACCAGGGATCCATGTTTTCAGATGAATCCGATAGACTCCGAAAAAAGCTCACCTGATAAATTTTCGACAATTCGGATTTATCCGAAAAACTGAATTTGGAGTTCACGATGGTAAAATATAAATACAAAATTACAGTATTTTATGAATAAAGTGTCAAAACACAGATTTATAGTGGTCCTAAAAAAAACAAAAAACAATTCTTTTTTTGTTTTTACTTTTCACAAAAGGACATTTCCCATTTATCTCGTCAAGGTTCGTTCAGTACACTGATTCTGGAAGTTAAAGCTGGTCGCTGCGCATTCACCATAAGATACCAAACATGCGCCCGTGTCCCAATAAATGCCCACAACCTACCATTAAATCCCGTACGGGTGCCCTCCCCCATGAGATCGTCCATCCCGTCTTTTTGGCTAAATATTTAAAACAAGAAAATTCTGAAATATCGCCCACCCCCTATTCCCATCGGACATCACGGGATGTCCGACGGGAATCGCATCAATCGCGCGATCTGCAGTACCGATACGTCTGACAACGGAGTTTCTAGTGGGTTCACGCGTTTTTGTCCATGATTTACGCATGCGATATTAGTTCATGTGACGTGCAAATTGATCCCGCGTGTTTATTGCTTCATGAAATGCAAGTCTTCTGCGTCTGCAAACCACGGTATTTGTTCCCGTGGCATGCGCGTTCGTAGTGAATCCCTGCATTTTTTGTCCGCAATCTGCACACGTGATATTGGTTCCCGTGACATGCGAGTTGTACCGAATGTCTGTTGCACCATGAAATGCAAGTCTGCTGCACCCGCGATTGGCGGCATCGGTTCCCATAACATGCGAGTTCGCGACAGGTTCCTGCGTGACCTTTGCACCGTGTACCGTGTTTGCACGACTCTAACGCGCACTTCTTTTCGCCAAAATCAGTGCCCAAAACTACATGTGCGTTACAATCGAAACCGAAACTAAAGAAAAACTCAACACTCGGTATAAGGAGGCTAGCCCCAATGCCATTGTGACCGTTTGTTTACATTCGCCGTTTTGGTATTCGTATCACGCACATTCTCTCGCGTCTACAGACTCCTGCCCACCGTTTTAAGCTGGGAAAAAAAGAAATCCCCTCGGAGGCTTTCTTTAAACAAAAGGCCATCCCGCTGGTGGGAAAAGATAACAACAAAGCAGCACTGCGTGGCCTTGCAATCCCAGCGACCCGACGAGCTCGCAAAGTGTTGTTTGGAAGACGACCCTCCCAAAGACGACGGTCACACACTTGTACATGCGCAAGTGCAGCACATAAAGTTGCGACGATTTCTGGACTTCGGTCAAAAATTTGTGGAAGTTGCCCTCTGACACTTCTGAAGTAAAGAACAGAAAACTGATTTCGCCTGCGTGCCCTAATTGTTGTGTAAAAAAAAAAAAGATAAATATTGGCATATCTGGCTCCCCTTAACTCACTCCCAGTCTTCACGGTCGCACGTGGTCGCACTCCTGGTGACATAATATGGGGTGCCATGCAGGTTCCCGTGTGCTCTCTCGGAAGGCGCTTCCTCTCCCTCTCTCTGCTGACATTAGCGTGCGTTATGCTGCAGCTTAGAGCCGAGCGAGGTCATGTAAGCTTCTCGCCGTAGTTCCTTCGGCTGCCACTTGCGGCTGCAGGGGGGGAAGAAGCTAGACTTTTGCTTTGCAATGATGCAGCGCAGTCGCAACATTTTTTAATGAAGGAAATGTTCTCCCTATCCTCTGGGATACGATAAACAACGTAAAAATGACGAGATGCAAATTTTTTTAATCTTAAAATCGTTGCACCCCCCTTTAAAACGCTTTAAACGAAAACAGATATCGCCTCTGTGGACAGAGAAGAACCATCGTCGGACTATGACAACGGCGACTAGTGCACGGCATTTATGTTTGTGTTGGCGAACGTTTTATAAAATCTGTTCTATGAGGTATGTGTTCAATCTTTATTATTTTACCTGTGCGGTAGAATCGGCCACAATTTACTTTTTGAATATCTGAAAGCTAACTCTGCTTGCGTGTTAGAAACAAGCAAACATGCTAAAACCTGCTGCGTCCGCAACCCAATTTGGCGAGCGACGAGAGAAGCGATTGCGATCTGCTTCGCCGTCGCTCGGTCAGTCGTACAAAGAAGCAAACTGCATGAATGCGACGGGAGCAAGCAACCAAGGCGATGAGCGACGTTTTCTAGAATTCCAAAAACCGGGCGACGCGACAAGCGACTGCAAAAATTCTCCGTCGCTCGTCATTCACTCTCGTCGCTTGTGCCGTCACTCGTCTCGTCGCTTGCCAAATCGCTTACATGCAATTCAGCCTTTATGCAGTTTTTAGGGCATCTCTATCTAACAGATACTCTTGCATTGTAGCCACAATCTTATCTTGAAAGGTTTACTGCAATGTAGATACCAACATTCAAAGTTCACGTTTCTTTCTAAATGCACCAGGCACATGTATGCGCCATCCCGCTTTGAAAGTGCTCTTCGCCATAGCATGCAATTGTGATATTTATTATAGTCGGATGCAACCTGAGAACAATCTTTTAGCTCCATCCACAAGCGCATTGCGCCCATCTGAAGTGCCTCCGCCGTCGAGAAAGTAGTTCGCTAGCAACGTTGCTTTTTCTTCCTCCAGGAAACGTGTCTTAAACTACTACAATATTTATTTAATTCATTCAGGACATTTAAATAAGTTAGAATATGTTTTTGTGAACGAAATAGCTGTTTAGTAAAGAAAGAAAGTCATGTCCAATGTACCGTCTTCCCAATTCATTTTCTGTCCAAGATACTGTCTAACATACCGTCTTCCAGCGCCTTCGATTGAGGGAAAGCGAAGCATTTATAATTCCTGCAAATAATAAATATTTAGTGATTTACTTAGTTTGGTGGGCTTTGCGCACGAAATGTGTGCCTTTATTTTGTTGGATGAATAGAAAACAAGAATAATTATACTTTTTGGCTTTTGACAAATCGGCACCCTCCCAAGTCATCGACACCACCACCACGCCCCGCTCTCTTTGTTTTCCGTCATGGATCCCACTGAGGTGAAGCGATTCCCCTGATTCTTCTTGGACAAAACAGCCTGGTGCAGCCTTACCGGCGACACCAAAGCGGTTCTTCAAGAAGCACAAGCGAGGTCGTGTAGCTTCTCACCTCTCAGCAGTGCTAAGCCTCGCGCCTGCTTCAAAATTTTCGTTGGCGATAGCGTCGCTGAATTCTCACGTTGTCGCGCAAAAACTGCTGCAAACGCAAGTCGATACCATTAAGATTTCGTGGCGTAACCTCGGGCATGTAAAACACGGTCCAAAAAAGCAGAATAATTGTCACGAGAAACTAGCGTCGCGTTGCTAAGGCCAGCAGCCATGTTGAGCTTTTTTTTTTCAAAAGGATTGCGATTGGTCCACGGAATCGTGACGTCATGAAAACGATTGGCTGGCGTTTCTCGGCGTAGGATTACATTTTCCTCTGAGAGGCATTTCCGTTTTTTTCTTAGCTTGCAACCGACTATAGTGTTGTCTGAATATTCAAATAGTAATTTTGAATAATACCCTATTTGATATTCAGTTCGAGATGAACTGTGATATTTGTACTTTTCAAAGCATTGACCGCTGTGGGTGAGCCCCGTTGATTGTGCTTCTCACCGAGCACCTGTGCACTGCAGGAAAGCGATATATGTGGAGCTCACAGGCTCCGCGGGTGTTGCTTTCCCGCAGTGCATGGGTGCTTGGTGAAAAGCGCGCTCGACGGGGCTTATCTGCCACGATTGTGCAAAAGTACATGTTACGCAGCGATGTCTTAACAACCTCCATTCATCATTTGCGCTTTTTAGAGCACAGCTTTTGGGCTTCCCGTTTCCGCATTTTGCGGCGTTGGCGCAACCATGCTAAATTTAGCGGGAAAATTGATGTCACGTGACCTCAACACTAGTTCGATTCCCCGCTAAATTTAGCAGGGAAAATGACGTCACATGACTTGGTGTCATGTCACCTATGGACAAATTCAGTTTCTCCGCTAGATTTAGCGGCAAAATTGACGTCACAAGACCTCAACAGCAATTCAATTCCCCGCTAAATTTAGCGGCAAAATCAATGTCGTGACTTCAACACAAATTCAGTTTCCCCGCTAAATTTAGCAGGGAAAATGACGTCACATGACTTGGTGTCACGTCGCCTATGAACAAATTCAGTTTCACCGCTAGATTTAGCGGGAAAATTGACATCACGTGCAGAGGCGAGGAGGGGAAGGTATAGAGGAGGAGGAGAAAAGGAAGAAAGAAGGGAGGACAAGGAGGGGAGGAGAGGATACAGAGGAGGAGGGGCATACCCTCCCATCCTCCTCCCCAAGAACTTCGCTCTAATTTCGGGTTACAGAGATTTGTAAACATATTTTTTAAAGCGCAGCTCTTAGGCGCCTGTTTCCGGCTTGAGCGGCGTCGCCGTCGGCGTAACCAAGGTCATGTGACCCCAATGTCACGTGAGACCCCCAAGGTCACCCCAAGATCATGTTGCCCCTCTCAAGGTCACGTGACCGCCACGTGAACCTCCAAGGTCACCCGAAGGTCACGTGACCGCCACGTGACCCTCCAAGGTCACCCCAAGGTCATGTGGCCCCCCCCCCCCTCCCCAAGGTCATGTGACCCCCCCCCCCCCCCCCCCCCCGAGGTCACGTGACCTCCTCCCCCGAGGTCAGGTGACCCCCCCGGGGCATATTAAAGAATGAGGGGAGGAGGAGGAGGAAGGGTCTACCCTCCCCTCAGTACCCTTCCCTCCTCCTCCTCAAGAGCTGCGCTCCAATTCGACGTTACAGGGAGTTGTAAACGGCTTTCACTTTTTTTTTTCTCACAAGTTTAAAACTGGAAGAAAGTTTGCATATAGCAAGCAGATTTATAAATCCGCTTCATTGGGATAGCTGCGACCATTTTGTTGTTTTACGTGCCACAGTTCATAAATATAGCTCTATTGAAATTAACTGAGCTTACGAGTGAAGAAGTTCAGCTGAATTTTTGTTCAAGCATTGTGCAGGTAGTGAAAGGCTTGGAGAAACTATTCTATACTCGATTAGAAAAAATTTGGTCAAAACTGCTATTCGCTTTGAATGCACTTCGAACTCAAAGTCCATTATTTGCACATGCCTAATATTTATACAAGGTGTGTGGAGATAATCAAAAACAAAGCATGGCGGAACTTACAGAGGGAGTGTGCTACTTCCGGTCGGCCATTGTTTTTGCAGTGAGTAGCGGTTACTTTAAAAGCCTCACCACCAAGGACTAACTGCAGTACCTCTCGAAATTTACTTATACGGGATCGACATGCCTTCCTGATCTCTCAGGTCAAAAGAAAGAGCACCTGTTCCTCAAAGATATGGTGAATCTGCCGAAGGTATTGTGGGCACATCTTAAGGACTACCTACTCACCTAGCCTGGTCCATATACCTGAGAGCGACTTAAGTCCTCAAAATTCCTAAATGCGTTAAACTACTTCAAGAAACGGCAAAGCATTGACAATGGGCACCCACCTCACCCAAGCGCCGAAGATACGTGCCGAGCTTCCCCGCAGGGGCCGCCGAGCCGGGTTTCCTAAAGTTTTTATTACGCTGCCTTTAGGGCAATGCAAGTTTCTGGAACGGAAAATTTTCTAGCGTTTCGACTTGCTTGCTTTGATATTCAAGGTTCCTTTCTCAGAGCACCGTGAACATTGCATTTGAAGGTGTGTAATGGCCCATCGTTGTACGAAGATGGTAAATCGAGGCGCCGCGGCACCAGCATGCCGGCACCACATCTTTGCATTCATTGCGTTGCGTCATCTGTCAGCAGCACGTCGAAGTGTTAACACCGTCTGCCAATGCCATCGCCTTGCGATCAGCCAGGCTCAAGTTCGTCGGTGGCATCTCTAGTCTCAAGATAATCGAAATAATTTCACATGTGACGTTTTGTTCATGCCGATACGTATTGACAACTTGAAAGCATGACATTGGGGCATTTCTAGAGCGTACCATATTTCTTACATGATTCCTCGCTAGGGAACCAAGAGTCATCGCACACCCACTCATACACAAAATAAACATGGGAAAACTGGAAGTATTTCTATCGTCCTGTCATGGCAGCCGGAAATGGCGCACACACCCTGTATACTTTTCTAAGTGTTGATTGCGGCGATGAGTGTGCTTCTTAGTGGGCACTGCTTTAGTGCAGAGAAGCAACACCCACAAAAGCGAGCTGCATGGGTGTTGTTTCTCTGCAGTGCACCAGCGCTCAATAAAAAGCACACTCAACGGGGCTAACCCACCGTGATCAACACTTCGAAAAATATGTATATTGTAGTTCATCTCAATGCAAGAATCGAATAGTGTATTATTCTAAACTACTATTCGAAAATTCAAATATTGACAGCATTTGAAAGATATCGTGGCATTTAAAATTTTCTTCTGCTGTTTCAGTGAGTTGCTGTGCCTCTTGACCACTTGCAGGTACCAGGCATCTCTTGGATGCCAAGTCAACTCACCTAGAGGCTTTGAGCAGTCGGGTCAAGCAGCTTGAAGGAGCTCTGTCCAATAAGGTAGGGACCTCATTGTTTTCTTTTCCTCTGAAGGCTGACCTGCAATCTGGAAAGGAGAAAAAGGATGCTTCCTCCTTTCCCAACCACTGCACACGAGTATATTATAGATTGAGCCACCTTGAATGTCGCTGTTAAGCTCAGTGTGAATTATCTCGTGTCCAGAAGATCACACGAAGGGGCCTTTTTTTCTGTCCAGCTCATGAGTGTAAGGAGAGCATAGGAAAAATGTTCTCTGACAAACTTTGCAAGTCAGCCATTACAATAAGAGTAATTTGTGAGCGGGGAGTCAGCTGAGGATCGAAGGGTAGTTGGCACTGTCATATTTAATCAACAGCTACAGTTGTAGTGGAAAACGGCAGTAAATAAAATAATTTACACGGTATGTATGAACATTGTTTTGACGTTTAATTTTTTGGTTGGAGTATGTAACTATTCAGTGTGATTTAAGGAAGCAGATGATACCCCACTTCGCAAGTTGTGTGCAGTGCTGTGATAGACACTAAAGTTAATGAGTGAGAACTTGTTAGTTACAAATTTTCAACACGTAGAGAGACGTTTGCAATGCAGGTAGTCCCTAATTTTTAAGGCTTGGGCCTTGGAGCTTTCAGTGTGTGTACCCTTTATCTTTCTGTGAGCAGCGCACAGAAAGTAAGATAAGTGCTTGCATTAATGCAAACTCTCCTGCCACTTATTCTGGGTGTCTCTTGAAATGTAGACCAATTCGTTCCTTGCAAAAAGCATGCATCACAGAGAAAAAAACGTTGATGTCCTATCAGTTTCTGCCAAAAGGCCCATCTGGGAAAATGAAGAACGTCCAGTATAATTAGTTTAATAATTACTTTTGAGTAATAAACTCTAATTAGTAAATTTTCAGATATGGTTTCAATTAGAAACTTGCACGGCATTATCGAAAACCATTAAATCAACTCATTTTAGGAATATATAAGGCGCATACAGTTGTGCCAGCGGTCCTGCTCCCCTCATGGCTGAGGTGCTCAATGCATATGCGCTACACTTTCTTTCTTCTTATGAGGGTGGCGAGGCAGTGGTTAACAAATAAATTATACTGAACGTTATTCATTTTTCCAAATAGGCCCTTTGGCAAAGACCACAAGGACATTAACCTTTTTTTCTGTGTAATGTGCGCTTTTTGCAGGAACAATTTGGTCTACGTTTTGAGAAATGCCCTGTATGCATACCTCGGCAAACCTCACTCATGAGGGCCCTCACTCACCCTCACTCACCCTCATCCTCACAGGTGAGGTGAGGGTGAGTGAGTTTCTGAACCAGGAAAATTCATGAGTGTAAGGGTGAGTGAGGGCGGTGAGGGCGGTGAGGGCCGTGAGGGCCGTGAGGGCCGTGAGGGCCATGAGGGCCATGAGGGCCGTGAATGCTGTGAGGGCCGTGAGGGCCATGAGTTCGTGAGGGGCGTGAGGGCGGTGAGTGGCATGAGGGCCATGAGCGCGTGAGTGGTGTGAGGGTGGTGAGTGCATGAGGGGTGTGAGGGCCATGAGTGCGTGAGAGCAGTGAGTGGCATGAGAGGCGTGAGGGCCGTGAGGGCCGTGAGGGCGGCGAGTGCATGAGGTGGTGTGAGGGCCATGAGTGCGTGAGGGCGGTGAGTGCGTGAGGCCCCCTTCAGATCGAGCATCTTTCTCAGCAATTTTGATGTTAATGACGGGTTGTTCTCTAGCTTTCCTTAAATCGACACGAATTGCTGAGATCGGGTCCGGCTCGAAATAAGCAAGCAACTCGGAGCAATTCGAATACGTTTTGAAGCGGTTGCATCCAATCAGGGACGCAAAATTTTCACGTGATACCTCATGCCGGTGATGATGACACCGAAAGACTTGGTTCTGGTTTGAAATCGATCGGTTTTTGGAAATGAACTGTTTCAGAAAGGTGCATTAGTATTGTTAATGGGCGGTGAGTGGCGTGAGGGCGGTGAGTAGCGTGAGGGCGGTGAGTGGCGTGAGGGCCGTGAGGGCCGTGAGGGCCGTGAGGGCCGTGAGGGCCGTGAGGGCCGTGAGGGCGGTGAGGGCCGTGAAAGCGGTGAGTGGCGTGAGGGCCGTGAGGGCGGTGAGGGCCGTGAGGGCGGTGTGGGCCGTGAGGGCGGTGAGTGGCGTGAGGGCCGTGAGGGCGGTGAGTGGCGTGAGGGCGGTGAGTTTCGTGAGGGCCATGAGTGAGTGAGGGGCGTGAGGGCCGTGAGGTTCAGTGAGGGTGAGTGAAGGGCTGAAGGTGAGTGTGACTGTGAGGGTAAGGGTGAGGGTGAGTGAGGGGCTCAAGGTGAGTGTAGCTGTGAGGGTGAGGGTGAGTGAGGGGCTTAGGTGAGTGTGGCTGTGAGGGTGAGGGTGAGTGAGGGCGACCTAAAATGCCGACCTCTGCCTGTATGTCCTGAGAAGACTATGTAGCTCTGCTCCAGAAACCATGGACATCAGACTTAATACCACGGGCTTTTCTCTTGCATGAGTGTTTGCATAAATCAGCCATCTATCAAATGTTTATACAAGCACAAGTCTTTCTTAAATGGACTAGGACAAGAGCTCTTACATATTGCATAAATGTTTTGATATGATTATTGTTGCAACGAAAATATGAACGAGCTTCCTGCCCACGTTATATAAGCTTAGCACGCTAAAGATTCTGACAACTGTGTGTGCATCTGTAGACACAGATCATTCCTTGTATGGTTTACAAACATCCATTCTGTGTTGTCTGTTCTGGTCAGGATGTCCAGATTGCAGAGCTGAAGCAGCTTCTGGAGCATGTGGGAGTCTGTCATCAGGAGCAGATGCAGGTCTGTGCCCCTTTCAATTTTTCTGCCATGACACAGATACACTGTGTCGTCAGGTGATCTTCTGGTGTTACATTTTAGACCGCGACATAACATTAAATGCATGGAAGTGATGTGACAAATGAAACGAAAGTGTTATGCCATTCCTGCAAGCATGAGTAGCAGTGCAGCAGCATATGCACATCAGGGAATGCCTACCCGTCTCCAGTGGACTAGGTCTGCACGTTTCACGTTTTCGTCACAAGTCCATAACTTTGCCATTTGTGGGCTGATTATGAAAATGCAAGGTCCAGTCTGTTCATCTCATTTAACTGCATCTGTGAATCACAGCTTTTAAAACTTTTTACAAAATTTGATAAATTTTTTTTTCGTCAAGCAAAAAGTTTTTGTGTTATTAAGGCATGGCAAAGACCCCCAACAGTGTTTGGCTATGTTTTAAAATAAGGCGGCTTAAAGCGTTTTCGTATAGAACAAATTTTTTTATTTTAAAATGCCCAGACAGACCAAATGGTCAAATGGCCAAAACACATGAATGCATAAATTACATGTGTTTTTTTAATTTTTTTAGGGACTTTTAGTTGCTTGGAGTAACAACTCAAAGAGGAATATTATTCAATTGCATTAGTGTCTTGTTTCTTGCACGCAGAGCAAGGAAGGGCACATTTCCATGTTGACCAGCATGTGCCAGAGGATGGAGGCTCATCTCATTGAGCTGCGGCATGCTGCGGACCAGAAACGAGAATCATGTTCAGAAGGTGAGATTACATCACCTTTATGGAACTCTGCTTTTTGTGTCTGTTTAAAGGGACCTTGAAGGCAATCTGGAAGTTTTATTTGACGATTGAGATGGGCATCAAGCATGTTTCGGACACCTGACACTGCTGACCAAGTTCTAGTCTAAACAGATGTTTGGGTGCCGCACCAATCAATTAAACAGGTATGATAATAATACCATAATCACGCCAAAAACGATGCCAAAGACACCCCCCCCCCCCCCCCCTCCTCCCCCCTCCCCTGAGATGGCCGCAGAGACGGGAACTGAAGAGGTGTGTGACGTTGAAGCATGACGACGACGGCTGCTCATCCCGCGATTGGTTCAAACGAACGATGCACTCTTGGCGTTGCTTGGCGTTGCGGCATCGGCGAGTTGGGCGGAGAGCCGGGAGAGTCTCCCGCTCTGAGGCAACAGCCGAGGTGCTGTTGGCAAGTCTGGGGCACCCTTGTAAGGCGCCAATCTAGAGTTTCGCATCCTGAGAAGCATCTCCAATTCCGTTGGCGTGAGGTTGCTGAACAGGAGCAACTCGTCGGCAAGCACGGTGTTGTTGTTCATTTTTACACTCCACAGGCCGCCATGCGCTATAATGAACTGCAGGAGCTGTGCCGAGCATTTACTAAATCCTACCGATGTTTGTTTCAGTTTAGAAAATTTATTTGCAGGCCTAAAAATAAGTGTCACTGAGCTCTAGAAAAAAAATGGAGTGTCATGCTAGGATACGAGTGCGTCCAAAAACACAGTTTTAAGAAATTGTGAAATTACTTTTATGGTTCCTTTGAAGTGTTCTGCCACCCTTGTTCGAACAGAACGTTAAATCGTGGGCTGGCTCTGTTCTTCATTGCGATTTTTGTCTTTGTTACTGAGCTTACTTTCTTCCAGACCTTATTCTCACGAAGTGTTTGTCGCCTCCTGTGACTTGTTAGATTTGGACGGCCAGAACAGAAACATATTTGTTGGAGTTACAATATAAAATGAAGGTCGCGTGGCATGATCAAATTTGGGTGCACATTTAAAAGAGCCCGTTTTTACCGTCGGCTTGGCTCGAACCAAAGATATCAAATTCTTCACTGCAGCTTTTTTATAGCTTCATTGAAAATTGACTTTTGCTTATTGACCGCTTTTTAAGCTTTCCGAAATTGATCCTCCATTACAGCATCGGGAGGCTTTGACGAAATCTGCTCCACCATGGAAATGGATGGGAACAGTCCAACTGTCGATCCATCCGGATTGCTCGGGTCCTACAGTTCTACCACGGAGATGACCCCAGTTTCGGATATGCTGAGGGATGCTGAACAGGCTGCTGAGTTCCCCAAGCTTCGGCACAACCATCCAGAGCAGATTGAATTGGAAGACATCACAGACAACGTTCCACACGACGAAGAGGAAGAAGTTTCCGCCGCTGGCGGCGATCAGGAAGAGTCTTAGGAGGTCTTGTGGAGCCCTCCAAGGTTGCATGAAAGTTTATTCCAAACGTTGGCCTTGAATGACCTTGAGCGACCTTGAGCTGTCGCATCTTGGTGCGAGGGATTGGTTGTTGGGCTAATTTGGGGCTCCGGCAGTTCCCGTCGCCAACGGAAGCCAACTTGTAAGATGCGTTGACCATTTATTTTTTTTCAAAGGTGGACGGCGGAATAGATTTGTGAATAGTTTAAGAAATTAATAAAGGTTTTGTATATATGTTCAAATATTTAAAATGGTGGCCTGTCTCATTTTTTTTATGGGGGGAGGCAAGGTAATTGTGCACATGTGAGGAGAGTAATTGCAATTTACACTTATTTCTGGTATTTATCCAAAGGGTTTGTGCACCGTTTACAAAAAAAAAAGGCCCATGCACTTGTTTCACTAGGGAATGAGGGTACAAGTCGATCTTTGCACCCTAATAAGGGATGCCTGAAGAATGTGGGTGCAGAGATATCACATGAAATTGTCTGTGTTATGAAACCGAGCGGAACATTTTGCTTGTTCAGAGTTGCACTTTCTAGACCTGGTCATTTAATATAAAGCATAAATGACCATATAGGTTATACTGACTTTGTGCATGCTATTCTAAAGAATGTTCATGCATCCACTTTTTCTCCAATTATTTTGACTAGCTCAATACTCTACAGATTCAACCTAGACAGGAGATTATTTATGGGTATTAAATTGGTTTGGGAGTGCACTGACTGGAGACTATAGACGGTGACAGGTTAAAACAAGCTCCCCCCACCTCTTTCCACTTTAGCGGAGCAAACGCTGGAGAGGAGGTCCTTCTCCCTAGCATTTGCCCTGCTAAAGTAGAAAGAAATGGGAGGGTCTGCCAAGTTGTAAATGGCAAGACTAAATTTTTATTAATTTCTATGGTGTTTTCATTGTGTTTCTTTTGATATTATCATTTATAATACAAAAAAAAGTTAATGAATATGCTAATAGCCCACTGATAAGAAACTCAGAAAGTCCTACTGTACCAGCAGGACTTCGTTGACATGCTATCAGTCGATACATTTTCCTTTCTACTGCGTTGACATATGCCAATCCCGTTTAACCACCATAGGAATGCTATATACATCAATAGACCCTTTTCGAAAACCTATCGAGCAACAGCGCCAGTCATAACTTTTTGGCCACGAAGTGTGCGATTGTATCCAAGTCCTCGTCGAATGCCGCACAGTACTCGTTTTTGATAGAAGCCGAGCCGAATTCATGCCAAACGCCATTGCAGCCTTTGTGCCTAGTAATACTTGCTTAGAGCATGGGCCCAAACAATCGTGGACTCAGACAATTAGCTCATCAGCCGCTACAGGGTGCACACTTTCAAGAAGGGTCTATTTTCTGCCTTCCTGGCTGCGACGTCGAAAAAATGCCGCCCAACAAGACCAATACAATGCATTGGCTTGCCTGGCCTTGGCTGGGCTCTTCCTTTCGTTCCGCCACTTCTCTTTTCCAGCTCTCTGCCTCTCTGCTGTCCCTGCACCCCCTGCACTGTGCTTCTTTCCTGGAGAGCCACGACCTTTGACTAGGCTTGGAAGAAATTCAGACTTTTGCAGTAGCTCGGCAACTTTCCCATCTCTCCCTTGGGTGTATGTGCATGTTGTGCTTGGGTTCCTCCTGGTTCCTCTACTTAGTTTCCATGTCGCACAAAGCTCAAAATTCGAAGTTGTGCACTGCGCGCATGCGCGCAGTGCACAACTTCGAATTTTGCGTGCTAGGAGAAGCGGCTGACCACCGCGCTGGGTTAGCTGAATGGGTTCTAAAATTTTGCTCGCTCGACATGCCTCAGCTAGTATTGTAGAATTGGAGTCTGTCTATAATCCGTAAATAAGTTCTCCACGGCCATGAGAGTCTGCGTGAAAGAAATTGCTCCGTGATGGTTGCTTTCTGTCTCATCTATTGGCCCCCAAAACATCACCTGCTGCTATGTTTTCTCATGTTCACTTTTTTTGCCGGTGTCCCCTGAAAAAAACATTACAAAGTTTTACTGTAATAATTCTGGTTGAGATTGGGCATCATACAAAAGCCCCTTAGAAAACAAATTAGACACAAAAAGTACATAGCTTGGGTGTAAAATCATTTATTTCTTCGTGGCATGGGCAACTAATATGCCTAAATATTTTTCTCTTGGCCACTTTTACTTGAATTGTACATCTTTGGCATCATATAACATGAAAAAAAACAAAAGACATGGCACAGAGGATGCTCACATTTATAAAAGCAGAAGACATTTTTATATTGTAAATATAGATATTATGACGATATGAGAATGTATTAGGCAGCATAACTAAAGAATTTGGTGCTGTAAATGGAATATTTTGTCTGCAATTGAAAACATAGAAATTAGCTGCATATGGCACAATCTCCCTTTGGTTTAAGTGTGTGCTATGCTACATAGTATACATTCTTGTGACTGAAAAAATCTAGTTGAAAGTATCAGCCAAAGCTCTTGCCAAAATAGGGGACATGCACCTAATTCAAAGTGCAGGTGTCAAGACTGGTCTTGCAGGAAGGCTTAGACAAGTTCACACACTTGGACAAGACTACTCTGAGTATTATATCATGATGCCAATCATCATGAGTGAGAGTATGTGTTTTCATTCCTATTTCATGAATGCTGGTAGTGAAACAAAAGGAACTGGTACAGCAGCCATAACAGTAGTCAGCCCAATTATTTAGGGCAACAATTGGTGTTCAGGAAGATATTTCCCTATCTGATATAAAGTACTATATGAGTAATCTATTGGAACTTTTGCTACTCTTAAGAAAATTAAATTGTGAGGTATAAGTTGAATCTACACACTCAATTTCAACAATTTGTTGCAAGATCAAAGTTCAGAATGAAAATAAAGGCTTGGCACAGATTCTCCTGTACACTTCACCAACTCTGCGGTTGGCAACAAACAAGATTCAGTGGCAAAAGCTGGCTTATCAACAGCAATGACATGTTATATGACCCAAGCAATGCCGATATGCATGCATGGGCAACGGTCGCTCATAATAGCGGTTCGACGGGCTAGTTGGTCCTTAACATACATGGTAAAGGAGCAGCGCAAAAAAAGACGGGACACAAAAGTAGATAACAGGACGAGCGGTAGCTTGCAACTAAAAGGTACTTGGGAGTCAAATTGAGTCTTTGTGCCCCCAGTATAACAGTACGATATGAGTTGGCATTATACCACGGTCACCATCAATAGGGGTGCTGAATGGCAAGGAGCGTGATCGGAGCTAAAATTCGAACTGGCTAGAACATCTGTAAGACAGCTTCAGGTATGAGATTAAAAAAAAGCACCGAGGCTTAAGCAGATGACATCCACTTCCACTTTGTCGTTTTTCGTATAGACACTGTGTCATCTTTATTCATCAAGATAGTTGTGACGTCGTACGACGTGTGTGTGCGCGAAATATGTTTGCTCAGTGGAATTTTTCAATAAACCTTTTAGTTGCAAGTCAGCGCTTGTCCTGTGTTCTACCTCTTCTGTCTCCCGTCTTTTTGGTGTTACTCTTTTACCATGTAAGTTGCTCATTCTTTGTGGTAGAGTGGTAGGGAAGCATTCTTTGTGGTGTTGACTTTGTGTGTCCCCAGTATAACAGCATATGAGTTGGCATTATACCGCTATCACCATCAACATATGCACTGAATGGCAAGGAGCGTGATCAGAGCTAAGATTTAAACTAGCTAAAACATCTATAAGACAGCTTCAGGTATGAGATTAAGAAAAAGCACTGAGGCTTAGGCTGATGGCATCCACTTCCAAGAAAAGAACTCCAGACGCTATACTCCGTTTCATCTTTTGATGCACTACGACGAATGCTACAAGCCATGTTAGCCAGTTCAATACTGCATGCATGCTATGAAGCATGCATGTAGTTTAATACTGCATGCATGCTTCAAGCTATGAATTGGCTTCGATGGCTTGTAGCAGGCACGTAGCCAGGGGAGAGGCCCATGGGGCCCGGGCCCCCCCCCCCCCCCCAAATCTTCCATTTTGCATGGGTCCTCCTCTCCCCCCCTCATACAGCATTTTCTCATGGATAGGCCCCCCGAAACAAAATCCTGGCTACGTGCCTGGCTTGTAGTATCTGCTGCGGGACATTGCAAGGTGAAAAAAGGTATAGCGCTGGGGTAACAACAGATGCCGGTCATTAGAAAACTAATTTAGATTCAATACCACCTGAACCACTTTGGCATCCGATTCGGTTTGCACATACAGTCTGGAAAAAAGGGACCTTAGAGCTGGGATGTCTTCATCCACCTTTTGCAAGATGCTTTCATAAACCACCAGGCATTGATGTCCTCGTACATTCGTGGTGGCAACTGCTCGTGAAGCATTTGACACAGGTTGCACTGGAAGGGTCTCCACACAATCTTGTACCTCTGCCGCCAAGCATGGTAGCTATTGTACAGCAGTGGATCCTTGGCAATTTGCCTGAGGTGGTCGGCCAGATGCCTCACATTCTGGAAGGAGAGTGCGTCGATGTAGGACCTTGGCGGTGCTACGCTCGTGTAGTTGGCGCCACTCATCACAATGGGCACCATTCCCCAGGTCAATGCATTGTAGAACTTCTCCGTGATATAGTCGGTGCAGATGGAGTTTTCGAGTGCTAGGTAGAAAAAGTAGACCTTGGAAGCGTTGTGGTAGCAGTCTGCTGACATCTTGGGCAGGCAGGATAGATGTCCACACTGGCCCACCACGTCGACTTGAATGAACTTGCGCAGCTCTTGCACGAAGCCTTCGCGGTTGCTGGGCGTCTTGCAGTTACTCACCAGCCACAAGACATGTCGGGTCTTGTCAGTCCACCAGTTGAAGGGCTTGGCCATCTGGTCTGGGGCGTCTGCACGTCGCAGTTGAGGCAACACGTTGACGTCGGAGTCTTGCCGATAGGTGATGGTCCAGTTGAAGGTGCCCTTGAGGACGTCGGGAACCCGGGGCGTGTGCGGAGGCGCCTCGTAGTCCAAAAGCGCCCAGCGTTGTCCGGGCGGCCTCTCCGCCGGAAGGTCATCAGCGCGGATGTCTCTCATATGGAAGATGACGAGGTCGCTCTCATTCAGCAGACTTCTGTTGGAAGTGACGACACACGGCGGTATGGAGATTCCGCCGCATTTAGTGCTTTCCAATTGGCCAGACGGGATGTAGTCCACGTCCCCGAAGAACGGTGTCCACGTTAAGACGTACTTGGGGGTTAAATTGAGTCCCAGGCCACCCCGTGGCGATGGCTTCGTCAGGAGGCGAGGGGCGACGTACAAGATGACGAAGCACGCGCAGATGAGCACAGCCACGAAAATAAACTTTATCGCGAATTTTCTTGTCACCATGATGACGGGAAAACTGTGTACCATGTTGCGTGGTTTAAGTTCAATCTGTCTGAATCGCGCAGCAAAGACTAACCTCGCTTTTGTTGTGCTCACTGGATGAGCTTTCCGTGGTCGGATGATGCAGTCCGCGAACCATGCATGGGCCGTACAGTCTTATTTTATTCCTTTACAAAGTAACAATATGTAGGGGCTACATAGCCATAAAATGTTCCGAGAACAAGTGGCCAGCAAAGGCTGGTAATACAAAAATGTATGGGAATAAAGAATGGTGGCGTACCGGCGTACCGACAGTCAACACGCTGCACGGAGGGCTTCTCCGCATTGCACTCTGTTGCACTCCTTCGCTAGGACGGGACGTTCCGCGCGAAGATCGCTTCTTCAAACAACTCTCTTTTTGATCACACCAAAGTACTGGGTTCTGGGTATTCTTGTTCACAAATACCGTTTGCTGGCAGAAAATTTAGACACGTTAGGAAAGGCGCAGCACGGAAGCGCAATGAAACGGAAGATGCGGAAGATGAGAAGACGTAATAGAACCGGCGGACACATCGAGCGCCTTCCGGTTTGCTATTTCAGCGCCATCTCTTATCCGTTGGTAATCTATTAAGTCTTTCCGGTTTACGCCGGAAAGTTTATTTAATAGGATGAGATACATATTATTGTTGCTACTTACAAATTTCAAAAATTATCCTGGTAAGATGAAACAAATATCTTGGTTAGCTAAAGTTTCGCCCTCATACTTTGCTCTCATTGGCCGGTTGTTTTTTGTATTTTGACCGTTGAGAACAGTTGCGCGTCGGCTGCCGCGCTCGCGGATGCGTCGGCTGCTCGGCGGCGCCTGTGTCAGCGGTGCGGTGGTGGTTTTCGTTTGCGGCAGCGGGCAGTAGCGTTGACCTATTGGTTATCGGTCTCTTTCTGCTACCAGTACACAGAGCAAACGAAACCTTGTTCATTGCTCGACTCAGTGGTGCTCTAATTCCAGTGGCAACAGCTCTGCCAAGTTCTTTGGGTTGCCGATCGAGTGACGAAAGGTAAAGACGGGCTGCTATACTTTTGGTTATACAGTTTCGGATTGCCGAAAACTTGCTGGTGCATGTTTCTTTATGGAAGAGTTATTGTAAAAGGTCACAAGGGACAGTGCATGTATCTTAAAATGGGCGGTGTGGGCGGTATCGGTGTTAGAGCACCGCAGCTCGGTAGCTCGTGCGTGGAGCAGCTCGCTGCAGAAGGAACCTGCGAGAAACCCCGGCGATCGAATCACTGTCGCTAACTACCGCAAAGTTAAATGTGTGATTGCAGGTCTGTGAATACTTGAATAGTAGTTTCGTGTAGATTTTGTTACTTTGTTGTGCTGTGCAGTGAACGTTTTTTTTTTTTTTTTTTCTTCTTTGTATAACGAGCCTGCCTAATAAAAAGAGAACTTGCAAAAGAAGTTTGGACTTGTGCTCAGACTGGCGATGTGCGCCCATCTTAAGCCGCTAAACAGCAGCGGCTGGGCGTGCTTTGCATTCATTCATTCACGATTTTATGAGAACTGGCTGTCACTGAACATGCACTGTTGCTAAGCCGATCTCAATCGAGCGAGGCAAAGTCAAGTGCAATTGTTTCGGAAGCGTCAGACATTCGCAAAAAAAGGTAAACACTTTTTTTGTTGTAAAAAAGATTACATTGTATTGTAGAAGAACGAGACGGCGGCAATGGGAGCAGTTCCCTCTTCTCTCAACATCAGCGACAATAAGATGCGAATTCGTTCGGAGTTCGGAGGCTGCTCCGAACTCCGAACGAACTCGCATCTTTTTGTCGCCGAGGGTGAGAGAGAGGGAGAGGAGGGAACACACTTCTCTCACCCTCTCCCATAACCAAGCGGTTGCCATGACGACGGTGCGCGTATTGTTTTGTCTATTTCTTATTACTTTTGGAGAAACCCAACGCCCGTTAGGGGAGATTTGGCGCTGCCGTCTGCAATTGGAGTCCCAATGGGAGGTATAGGAAGAGTCCGCCGGTTGGTAATAGGTAATAGATAGGGGTGTCGCGAACCGGCCGCGGTTCGAGTTCGACCAGGTTCGACTTTTTCGAACTTTTAGTGGAAAGTTCGTCGAACCTTGTATTGAGGTTCGACTCGTGTGCGCATGCGCGACAGGCTGACTAGTTGGCTTCGGATTGGATGGTAATGGCTAAGAGATGAATTAAGTGCAGCGCTGATCGGCTATTTCAATCAATACAGTACTAAAATTTAAGTTATTAACTTCTTCAGTGAATTGAATTAGTTTCGTTTATTTTTAGCTGTTCACACAATAAAATAACCCTTTGCATAAAAAAAGAAATTCTCCAAACTTAGACATGCTTGTATCAAGGTCTGGCCACACTGTCCACAAAGTAGACCTGTGCGCCGGTCAGAAATCGCCGGCGGCGGCGCGCCGGTGTTTGTACCTCCGGCGGCGGCGTGTTGACGGCGCGGGGATCAACGGATCGGCGGCGGCGTGGCGCGGAAGAGGGAGGGGTGGGGGGATGGGGGAGGGGGTGTAAATTAGAGAGTGAGGGGGAGAGAGAAAGGAGTCGTTTGAATTTGGAAACCAAGATGCAAATACCATTAAAAGGAACACACTTTTTTATTTTATTTTTTTCTGGAGAGGTATGGACATTGCCTTCGCTGTGAAGAGTGCGTCCGTTAGAAGAATCAGGTACTTCGGCGTCTTGTTTATTCTCGTTTGTAAGAGAATATGTCGCCGGCTGGCAGCCGCGGCGCAAGATCCTCCGCAAGACGAGGACCGACGGCAACAGGTATTTTATCACCGCGTTCCGCCTCACCACGCGCTTCTCGCACGCCCCGTGCCTAACAAGTCGACCGAGCACGTCCTTCGATTTATAGAACTCGTACTCATTCTGTACGCCGCAAGCCGTCATCACCGACAACGACAGGGTCCTAACCTCTCGTTCGGCTTCGCGGTACTTCGCCGACAGGCACATTCAGAGCATCCCTAACAGTACCTTAGGCTCCCGAAGCTGACGGCTTTGTCGAACGCGCCAACGGAGAAATCCTTCCATGTCTGCGCGAAAGAAAGTCAACGGCGACATCGACCATTGGAGCGATTATCTCCAGGCAACCAGCTTTCGAGTAAACCAGCAGCCGTACGCCAGACTCCAGAGATCACCGTTCGAACTCCTGTTCAACTTTGTCCGACGTCGACCAATGGAATTTTCCCCGCTTCCCGACGAGGTCGGTGACGTCCGCGCGAACTGCGACGCTGCAAACGCGAACCACGCTTACCTTCACGGCATGAAACGTTCCCACGATGCAAAATATCGACCAGCTCCATGCAGCGTCAGGGACAGGGTATGGTACACAAACGGCCTTCCTACCTCGCAACTTGGCCTGCTTTTCCACGAACACTTAAGTCAACACCAACGTGAACAATCAAACCTACACCATTTCCAGGTTTACCCCGCAAGGCACACCGGATTGCCGCCAAGCTGCCGCACGATAGCTCTTTTTTTTTTTTTTTCACGAACAACCTGTCGATTTCAACCAACTCGCCTTGCACCGCAGCAGATCCTCCGATTACAAGCGCATCACGCCGACGCCGCCCTCGACGATGGCTAGACGCATAACAGAGGATCATGACAACATTAACAAAATGTGCGAGGGCACAAGGATTTTGAGCTCGGGAGTGTAAGCAAACACGCTGGCGGCAAAGACCCGTAAGGAGAGCCTCCCCTACTCGACCGGATGGGAGCTCGACTTCGACCCCCGATGCTGGATCCCGGCGTGGAAACGAGAAATAAGGACCCCTAGAAACACGACGTGACACGAACAAGCCAGGCGTGTGGATAAAAATAAAATACGTTTGAAAGAAGCCTGAAAACGGACGCGAATATAGCCCTCTTGTATCAAATTATTTCACAAAGTTTTCATTAAATCGTTTTACGGTCTGCAAAACCGTTCAGTCCGTTATAGCACTTTAAAAACACAGGCGAGCTGGTGAAGAACTTCCATACTAACGGGAGACATGAAACGATAAAAATAACGCACTAGACAACAAGCCTCAAACACAGCTTTTATACCCGTTTTCACGTCAAGAACTCTAGCAAAAAGAGTCCGACTCCTTGCGAACCATTACTAATTTCCACCTTTATGTAAAAATTAAGATATATGTAGCTGGATTCCATTATATGTGTTATCAAGACGTACACGTTCCAGCGCCAAAATCATCGCTTCTTTCTTCGACAACCAAATCTCGTAAGACTTTGCGTCGCGTATACGAACATCTTTGGTTCGTGTATGTGCTCTCCCCCTTTGTAATGCCTTCGGGCCCTGAGGGTACTTTAATAAATAAATAAATAAATGCTCGAAACTTTTCTTTTTTTCTTGAAAAAACGGATGTAGCTTATTTGAACAAGGAACGCTCCTCACCACCAAAAAAGAACTTTAAAAAAAAAAGGGTATCACCATACACCCTTTTGTCCCATATAACGCACCCCAAAACTTTAGTTTGACGCACAGCGCACAGACGGCCATACATTTAACAAGGGGCTTGATAACGGAGCGATATAACTGATTAAATAGCTAAAGTACGTATCAAAGACCACAGAAAGAAAGCACTGAGGTTTTGCAGTAGGGCCAAGAAAACCTCAATTATCTTTTTTGTAGTCAGTAACACGTACATTAGCTATGTTAATAAGTTGTACCACACGGCTATCAAGCCTCTCGTGAAAGTTAGTACGGTCAGATCGACGTCTGAAGTGTTGGGGTGTCTTATAGAAGACGAAAGGTGTAAGAATACACCGTTTTTTTAGAGTGTATACGTCACTGAAAGCCGGACACTCAGACAGATCCAAATGATTCATGGTCACACCAACCTGTCACCCAGACGACCCCGCTTGATGACTGACCAGCCACATGCGATAACAGGCAACTCCATCAGAACCCTTACTAATGATACACGCGTGACGAGATGTCCCTAGACTCCCTACAGCGTTCAATTCGCTTAACGAGTGTCGAAACGATCGTGTCGACAAAACGTGTGTCCGTGAAACGTGTGCCCATGAAAAGTTGTCTGCGATACGTAATTCTACGAAACGAGTTTCGACGAAATGAGAGGGTCCCGTACACCACTCCTGCCTGAAAAGTTACATTTGGTTTCTTATGTTTCTTTCTGGCGCCCCTGAATACCACCAGAAAGGGGGTTGACCTTTCTAATTTGTGCCGAGCTTTGAAAGCTAAATTTACACCGAACATATTTGCCACTGATATAAAGTTATGAGAGATTCCATGGCAGTAAGGCACACACACACCATTCTTCACAACCGGTTTTTCCACAGGAGCCGGATTAAACCTTCAGCACCTTGAGCACAACTCTAACAATTACATCGTGGTGATGGCCCGCTTTCAGACGACGCATCTTTTGCAACTCAACTGCCTCACCAACCCAAAACATACGGGATTCTTTACAGGCGTTATCCATCGCAGACGCACTTACACCGCTCTTAACTATTTTCAAGTGACAGCTGTCAGCTGCCAACATAGACGCTGCCAGCAGAGGCTTGGCTGATTCCTTGCCGTACCTCCAGCACAGGCCCTTTTCCGTGTGCAACAGTAGGTCTATAAGTACTTAATTCGACTGCTGCGATGGCAGGGTTCTGCAGTCCAATCAACAAGGACCGCACAACCGTGTCAACGTGTACATAAGTCTTGTTTAAAAAAAAAAAAGAAAAATCTCGGACAACACTGGAGCAATTCACGACCCGATACGCACACCCTGTTTTTGAATAAAAAGAGAACCATCAAAGTCTACGGCAGTGGACTCGAAATGAAACTCCAGAATGCTGATAAAACTATCTACATCAATCCCAGTGGCAGACTGCAACTTCACTAGATTATCATCACACCACCTCCTGACCCTTATTAACGGCTCCGACTTATCCATAAAGTAACATAAGTACTTGATGTCTACAGTTGTCACATCGCACCTTCGCCCATGATGTGGATTCAATATTTGAATCAATTAATCAGAGTTTTTGAGTGACAATGGACTGTTGCTCCACTTCTGTCAGGCATTTCTAGATAAAAACCGACAATATCTTCTACCAAGCTCAATTTTCGTTCACAACCATTTTAACAATTACACCAGGATGGGATTGTTACAGTTGTGCTGAAGGTGTAAGGAACGTACGTTCAATCCGGCTCCCGTGGAAAAAACCGGTTGTAAAGAATGTTGTGTGTGTGCATTACTACCTTAATTGGAATCTCTCATAACTTTATATCAGTGGCAAAGAGGTTCGGTGTAAATTTAGTTTTCAAAGCTCAGCACAAATTAGAAAGGTTAACCTCCTTTTCGGGTGGTCCTCAGGGGTGCCAGAAAAAAACACATGCACAACACGTGCCGGAACTATTGATGGCGTCCGCCTCAGTTATCTCTCTAACAGTCTTATCTTTGTACCTAGCGAGAACAGTGGAAGAAGCAAATAATGGTTTGCACCTGCAGCCATGCGTGGTTTCAATCGACTTTGCAGAAAAAGAGATAGTGTATTTGCGGTCCGCGGCGGGGCCACGGATTGGTTGAGATGTGGTGTGGTGACGCAGTGTGTATCTACGCTGAGGCTCTTGGATTAAATCAGTTGACAGTAAACGCTCTGCGGTGTTCTTCCTCTGTCTAAGCCTTAGAGCGCAATCATGTTTTCTCACGCACAATACCAACTCGCCCAACAATCAGCAATGGTAGGAGAGTTCTGAGGGAGACCATGCGTATTTTGACCTCTGGTAATTGAGTAAGCACACCGTCCTTGGCACTGGACAGTGACATGAGGCGTTTTTTGTCTGTTTTCTGAAAATTGTAAGGGCTGTGCTGGAGCCGGAGTTTCCTGTTATCGCATGTGGCTGGTCAGCCCTCAAGCGAGGTCATCAGGGTGACTGGTTGGTGTGAATCATTTAGATATGTCTGAATCATGAATCATATGGGTTCTGTCTGAGTGTCCGGCTCTCGGTGACCTAGTGAAGAGTAGGTGTTTCTTTTTTGGTGGTGAGGGTTTTGAGGTATGTGTAACAACGTTCGTTGTTCAAATAAACAACGAACGGTGTTTGAGACTTGTTTTGTCCGTTTTTTTTTTATCGTTCCGTGTCTCCGTTTTTTTATGGAACTTCTACATTTATTGATATATTTACAGGAGTAAAAATGAAAGGCAAAAAAATCTATTCATTTTTATGCATAATATAGTAAGGAAAACTCATACAAAAGCAGGAAAAAAAAAACCACCAATACCCCCTCCCCCCCCCCCCCCCCCCCCCCCCCCCCCCAAAAAAAAAAAAAAAAAAAAAAAAATGGTGGCGCCGGCGGCGCGCCGGATTTATTGTGCGGCGGCGGCGGCGGCGTGCTGGCTCTGGGGATTCCGGCGGTGGCGCAGGGCGGCGGGAGCAAAACAGGCGGCGGCGGCGCGGCGCGGCGGCGCGGCGCACAGGTCTACCACAAAGTCGAACCCACTGGTCGAACCGGTCGAATCTGGTGAAAAGTTCGAAGGTTCGTCGAACCGGTTCGACCCAGTCGAACCCCGAAAGTTCGACCAAAAAATCTGGTTCGACAAAAGTTCGCGACACCCCTAGTAATAGATCGAAAAGATGAACTAATGGTAGATGACTGAAAATAGTGGCGGTAACTTGCGCCACGCGCTGATCAAATATTCATTCTTATAAATTATGGTCGCTTGCGTCACCTTTTCGAATTTGTATAAAGCAAAACAATAGTTTTAAACAATACACCTGATCAACCTCATTGCGCCTGATACACCTAGGTGACGCGACCTGCCGCCGTATTTACAGGTTTGACCTTTGCTCAACGGGCTCAACGTGCCGGCAGAGTGCCGCCAGAGGCTCTGCGTGCCGCCAGTGGTCTGCCAGTGGCGCTTGTGCTTCTCTAGCAGTCGCCTCGCATACTCGCATATCCGCCATATGTTCTGTCTCTGCGTGGGTGGCCTGCTCGGCTGCCTGTGTTGAGGTCGGCTTCGCACTTTGAGAAGATCGCGACTTCTCATTATGCCCGAAGCCCTGCCTACACTGTTCTGAGCTAGCCACAATGTTTCCCAACGTCGGGCAAGCCACGGAAGACAAAACGGCTGGCGGCAGGCCTGGAGACGATGCGCCGTGGTGGCTCAAGTACCTCGGCAGGTTCGTGGGAACTGTCAGTGCACTGGGTAAGCCTAACCAACAACCTAACAACCTCCCCTTTTTTTTTTTTTTTTTCCTATTTGTTTTGCCTCTTACGTGTTCTCTGGTGGCTCTGAGTAACCACGCGCCTCGGTCTCGTGACGAGCTTGGTCACTCGCCAAGATTACGGTCAAAGGTTCACATATAAACTGCGCCAGCAATTTACTTGGTGCTCATTTTTATCTGTGTAAAACACTCCATCGATAGCGCCGTTTGGGTGGCTCATTCTCCGAATAAAGCTGTGTTTATTAATCGCGTTAATGTATTGATCTAAAACAAGTAGAGAAGATAAGTTCGACGTTGATTGTTTTCTTTTATCTTGTTTTTGTTGATTTGGTTTTGCGAATCGTTTTCTCAATGTGAGCCACGCACAATGCACCTCTGTGAATTTTGCCATATTTCGGTCGCAACTCTAATTAGAAGTGAGAAAAAGAAAAAAAAAAAAAAACACGCTGGTGAAAACAGCGCAGTGCGTTGCAATATTTCATCGAGATTCGCGAGATCCAACCGTATTTAGTGAACCCCGAGACACTTTGTTCTACACGGGTCTCTCTCTTTTACTTTGCCCCACTTTCACGCGATCACTGCGGTTTGTGGCCGGTTTGTGCTGCCGTAGCTGTTCTTAATTTATGCACGATACCAAATTTGTCGCTAATATCGACCTGTGTTCGTTTCCCAGTTTGCTGCGTTTCTTTCCAGAGAAGAGAAACGATGATGATTTAATTTTTCTAAAAAGCCGTCCCATTAAACTTTTTCAGCACTCGTGAATACTTGTCATAAATGCAGCTGACAGAACGAGGGACGTTGGTATAGCAAATAAAAAAAAAAGTGATTCAAGAATTGTGCAAAGACAGTCAAGTGTGAAACAAACATTTGAGACGCCTTGTGGTGATTCCCGTTTTCTGGCAGCCAAATATGAAACAAACATTTGAGACACCTTATGGTGATTTCCGTTTTCTGACAGCCACAGATGCTGACACAATGGAAACACACAAATTGACCGGTGCAAATACTGTCGTCTTTCTCAAAATCCTTCGCCTTTCTCGAACATGCCATACAGCAGCATAGTATGGCTCGTCTTGACTGTTGTCCTGGGCTTGTGCTTAGAGTGAGTTGTAACAGTGTTTGACTGTGCACCAACAAACCGTGACGAGCAACATGGTTGGTTACATCATAGGAATATCTGTTCTGAATGAAGGTCGAATACCCTTATAGCCAGTACAATAAATGACTCGCACATTTTTTTTTTTTTATCTTTTTCTCTTGCTTTATTGCAGTTGCAATTGGTCTGGGTGCGCAGCTGGCTGTTTTATCGGTCGTCACCTTCTCGTCAGCATGCCTCCTGGCAGCTATTCTCCAAATGTAAGGGAAATGTTTTTTTCTTTTTCTCGTTTCCATAAATTGTGAATATGCATGAGAATGGGCTTGATTAACTTGTACCTTGTCATTTACCTTACCTGGTAGTCATAGAAAGTCTAGTTAGTAACTGTAGCACAGTGTGTAGCTGGGTGAGCTGTTCATATTGAGAATAAATAAAACAGTGCAAAAAGAATGCAGGCACAAGTGGAAGACACAAACACAGCTCTGTGTTTGTTATGTATGTCACTTAAGCCTGTGTCCTTTTTGCACTCTTCTTTATTCTTAATCTTTGCTTTGTCCTCTCACAAAGCATTTTTGCATGCCCAAATTTTTACAAAGTCACAATTGACCAGGGTCTAACTATCGAGAAAAAATGTTTGTTACTCAAGACCTTGATTTTTGGTTCAAGAATGGGCCGCTCGGTGCTTCTCACTTTTTTTGCCCATCACATGTGATTATGACAGCTGACCCAACTACACCCAACCCCCCCCGCAAAATCATTTTGCTGAGACGTCCTCTCCCCCCTCTTCCTCATACAGCATTTTGTCATAGGTGGCGCCCGTCCCCCCCCCCCCCCCAACAAAATACTGGCTACGTGCCTGAACTGCCGGCTGCTTTTTAAGTCATTTTCTATATCTGCGCAACACTGTTACTCCAAACAAGGAATAGCCTCCTTTCTTTGTCTTTTTTCTTAGAATTAAAAGGCTGTCATCGAAACAATTTTTGTGGCGGAAGTTGTGTTTGGACTCTACTTCATCTCCAAAACATAATTATTTTAATTTAAATAGGACCACTAGTTTACCCCTGGATTAGAGATGTTCAATTTTCACAGCCTTACAAGGAATAGAAGGAATAGAGAGTGCACAGTACTCCAGGTGTGTATGTAAACTTGGCCTAAAGTTTCTTTGTGTCTTAGCCCAGTGAGTGCCGTCTACACAAAGAAGGGTAGCTTTAGTTTTTTTTGTTTTCCCTCTGCAGGATTGTAGGGCTGGGGGTGGCCCTGGTTGAAGCACCCTGCTTTTGCGCATTTCTCGAGTTTGCCCAAGCTCCAGGGAACTTCTTCGACCGCAAGCCTTATTGGTACAAGGCTCTTCTGTATGGAGTGTGAGTGCGCACTTCTCTCTCTCATGCAAACAGCGGGTTCTTCTCTGAATATAATTCCTGTTCATGTTGAAGTAATTATTTGTAGGGAAATCCCTAAGCAGACTTGCAATAGAGAAATGGATACTTATTTCCACCTTGGATTGAGTGCAACTGATGTCTTCTAGGTGACTCGTGAACAGCTAAAAGTCAATCATAGGTTTCCTATCACAAGTGTACTGCACTTTGAGGATTTACATTAAATTTATTACCTGTAAATTTTATATATTTTCTTCCATGCTTTCTTTGTTTTGTGGTTTGGTTTTTGTGTGACGACAGTAGGCCCTTGGTAAAACGCTCTGCCATTCGTGGAGACCAGAGCCCAGCTCATAGAAACCATTGCAAAGAATAGCTGAAACTGCCAGGATTTGATGACATAGCTCTAGGCAGGGACCAGTAGAAAATGAACGAAGAGAAGCGTCCGCCCAGATTTAATGTTGCTGTAGGAGGGACGCAGCTTGCCCTGCCTTACTGTCCCTTGCTTCCGTCGCAACAGGGGTGGTGTGTTACCTGTGGCACTCTGTGGTGGCATAACCACTTTCTTCGGTGGTGGCCTGGTGTTTGGAGCTGGATGCATCTATGGCATCATGGCTATGGGTCGCAAGTAAGTGCCGCACTAGATCTCGTACTAGTGTTAAATTAATGGCTCTTTTTAAAGTGGTTGTATCATTTTTCAAACTAGTTTGCTACTCATTCTAGCAGACCAAACTGCATTTTTTCGTTGCATAAATAATGTCTATATTGCCAAGAGCTCAGTCCTCAGCAGATTGTAGCTGTAGTGGGTGGGATAGGAGGCTGATGTTTCAAAACTTGGCTTTGCCCAGATCAGAAGCTAGAAGGATTTCCAAAAATTATAGTTAAGAAAACTACTGTGTCCGGCAGATTTCACAAATAAGAAATCAGAAGTGCATTCTTCCCATAGGAATTGAATTGGAATTGAAGATGAAGCCTATAACCGAGTTTTTTCTTTGGCTAAGAATTGCTACATTTCTTGCCCGCTTGAGACGGCAATTCTTCCCGTCTTGACGTTGCAACACGGGGCTCTTGCGTTCACACGCAGCAACTTTTGAAGCTCGAATTTCTGTGTTATGTTCTCACCATTTAGTCGTGGAAATTATTTATTTTAAACCAAAATCAAGTTAAACCACCTGTCCAGTTAATCACCACCACCACAAGGGGGTCATATGAAAATATTGCGTCCCTGATTGGCTCTGCTGCTCCAAAAGTCTCAGAGTTGTTGGAGTTGCTTGCCCATTTCAAGCCAGACTCGATCCCAGCAATTCGTGTCGGAACGCAATGATCTGGGGAATCATAGGGAAAACTCGCCAGCAATACCAAAATTGCTGAGAAAATTACCCCATCTGAAGCAGGCCTTGGAACTTCTTTTTCGGTGAAACAATCTTTTGCAGAAAAGTAAAAGTTTACAAATCCAGCAAAACTTCTTTTCTAACAAAATAGTAGAGGGTTGAGGACTTTACCATAACGGAGGTGTGGTTGAAGCTGTTGGCAAAATTGGTCAGTTTGTAAGTTTGCGTTGAACAGCATTCAATGGAATTCTGCCGTAACTCACTGAAGGCATGTTCATCAAGCTAGTTGCTTGCAGTCTAGATCATAACAGCACTTGCATCTAGTGACAACAGTTTTGAGGAGACAATCTGTGCCAGTGAGGAGTGCATTCATGCTTTTAGTTTGACCAGTATTTCTTGAACGATTTCAATCCCTGGAAGCCCGTTCCCCATGCTAGAAAGATGCACATCTGTAAATTGTGTTTAATCTGTCCAACCTCCCAAAGGGCCACTACGGAGCAGTCTTTTTTGTAGTTTTGTTGAATGGACATATGTTCACTGGTTAATCTTGGATATCTCTTGGTTTCAATATTGCAAAAGAAGACCTGCAAAATTTATACATTGAAGTTAGGGTTGTGAAGATATTTTTGATAGTTCAAAAATAATATGCTATTAATTTTTTTTTTTTTTCGAGATGTGTTATAATGTTTATATTTTTCTAAATGTTGGCAAATTCACGGTGCTGCTGGTTAGTTAGCTCTATTGAGTGTGCTTCTCAGCGAGCATCAGTGCAGTGCAGAGAAGCAGTGCTTGCGGGCCAGAGAGTGTGGTCTTGCGAATCTCGCTTCACTGCAGTGCTGCTGTGTGTTTTGGAGATAAGTGAATTTTCAGTTAGGTATGGTGCACACAGATGCTTGGTATATTTATAAGGAAAAAAATGGAAGGTAGTGAATGGTCTTGATCTATATTGCAGTAAAATTTTCAGAACTAAATTGTGACAATTATGCAAGGAAGACAGCTATGTCCCGACAAGCTTTGTGCGTAATTGGTTGTGCTTGTTTTAGTGTTTCTGAATGAAGTATGTGCTTCATTCGAACATTAAATAATAAAATACATACACACACTGCTTCATTACAAATCAACATGAATCAATGGCCAAGTGCAGCCTCAGAGAATAAACAGAAGTATTTGAAATATATACTGTAAAATACCCCAGAAGCACCCACTATTAACATTTTCAAAACTTGGGAATTGTGCAAATTGGACGGTAAGTGCCCGATTAGACTGGACAAGCTCCCATGTTGTGGGATTTCCCTTGTTGCTACCTGTCTCGGAGAATGACACAGCACATTAGTTCAACAACACGTAAACATTTAATGACCGCTATCGCCCGTGCCGCAATCCCAACACCCCCGCGCATACGCTGCGACGTCTCTTTATCAGCGGCGGAGCGCCGCTCGCGTGGCCAGTTGTTCTTGGCCCCCTTGTGGTCAAGATGACCACTCATGATTGTAGGAGGGGCAACCTGGGCCAAACGCTTAAAATCCTCAGGTTGCCCACAATGTTTAGATTAACCCAGTTTTCAGTAAAAGTAGGGTGGGTGCTTCCCCAGTAATTTACAGTGTACTTGTTTCGTAGTAACTTTTAGTCATTATTTGGCATTGGTGAGTTACGAGCATCTCAATTGGACATTTGCAGAGAGGGTATTTTGGCTTAGAAGGGAATAGTTATTTTGACCAAATAGTTTCTAATAAAATATGATATGTTTTGTATGAATGGTTCCGTTCATATGACAAAAAACTGGTGGGTGTCAAGCTTGTGCATTCTGGTACAGATTCAAATAGTATAGAGTAGATCCAGTGGTTGGACACTTCTCAAAGATGGACAAACTCACTGAGCTCCTTTGTAGCCGACAGTGCGACGGGAGCTGTGCACTCTCCAGACCAACCCGACGCCTCCCTTTCATCGTTCAACTGCCCTCTCTACACGTAGGTAGGGGCAGGAATGTGATCACATTGCAAAAGATAGACTTATGCTTGGTCAAACGAGCACATAGCTTTCACTGCACTGTCAGCTTGGGGGAGAACGGAGTATAAGACTGTAGAGCAAGCGAAAAATAAAGCGGCGGACGATTTTGACAATGACCGTTGTCTTCGTTCTCGTAGGGCCAGCGCCGAGGAAATGCGAGCGCGTGCCACAAGTACCGCCAATCTAGTTCCATCCGGAAGGGACGTGGAGGCGGCTTCAGGGGACATGAAGTTCTCTCCGAGCTAGAGGCCAGCACCGGTCAGGACTCAGCGCCTCGTTCAAGACAAAGAGGAACACAAGCCGTCGCTCGTGTTTCCCCGTCTCTGCTTCGGCGAGACATTCATTCCAAAATTACACGCCTTTGTTTTTGGCATTGTTTCACTGTCCCCAAGTCCCATGCCCCAACCTGAAAACGGGGCCACTCAGTGTTGCTTTTTTCCTTGTGTATAAAGATGGCTACACTGAACGGCTTCTATTTGTATTTGTTTTTGATTCAGAGGGGCTGCAGTCATGTTCAACTTTGAGTTGCCTACTTATGGGAGCTGCGTTGCGTGCTTTGGTTTTGGAGAGCGGTGTTTAGAGAGACCAGCGAGTGCGAGTTGCTGCACGAACTTGCATTCCTCTCTTGATGCTCGACAAGTTCACGCTGTGGAGGATCTGTTAATACTCTTCCTTTTTGTTTTGAGATCTGGAGTCGTGGTGTATAGCATAACTTGAAATGGCTTCGTACCATTCCAAGTAGAGCCCGTGAAAGCATGCAGTTGTTGCCTCGTCAGATACTGAGAGCAGCAAGAACCGTAGCCGTGTTGTCAAGCACTGAACATACGTAGTTCACAAAGTGCAAAGGTGGTTTGCCTGCCCTATTTCGCGTAGGCTTTGGTGTTGAGTTCAGGGTGGATTGGTTTCCAGCAACCTCTTCTAGCCATGACATTAAAGTGTTCAAAAGTAAAGTGTGTTTCTTGTTTTTAGTGGTTTTATGGTGCGAGGTTGGTGAGAGTAGCAACTTCCGTGTTAGTCACCGGGTTTGCACAGAAGTGGGTTTGGTGCACTCTACTGTTCGATGGTGGTTGCTCTTTTGGCGGAAACTTGGCACCTGTCAATTTGCACGCTGGTTTCTGTAAAATGTGTTTGTTTGCAGGTTATTATCCATCCATATTGATTGATAGTCTGCATTTCATGATCAAAATAGCCGTTGTGTGCCAAGCCCCTGCCAGTGTGTACACCTCAGTCTGTTCATGGGATATTGTGTAAAAATGAATGTCTGTATTTAGCTATGTGGTAATAAATGTTAAGAGTAAACATGTTTCCTTTTAATTTTTCAGTTAATACCTTTCACAGGCTGTGGTCATTGCTAATAGTGGTAGTAACCTATGGGTTATAATACCTGAAGCCTCATCTGTAATCAGGAGACACCTAATCTAGTAGCACAGTCTAGGTCAAACCTAGACCATGCTGAGCTCCCTTTTCCCTTTCAACACTATCACTACGTAGACCTTGTCGTCTGTTGACATGGGCCGATCTGAGGAAACGTCTTTTGTGGCAATGACTGCCATTGTAGGAGAAGCACAAAAGTAAACTCGGACTTTTGCGCTTCTCCTACAATATGAATATCCAACTCGCCCAAGCATCCATTCTGAGAAATGACTGCTATGTTGTCTCTCGTGAAGATGGAAGAGAAACGCATACCAGGGGACAGTATGAAGGAGTTGACATCTGTAAAAGATATTTTCCCACTCAAAATTCCCCCCCCCCCCTCCCCCCCCGTGTTGGCGTGGTAAGGAAGAGCACTTGCCTGCCAAACATTGTTCCGAAGGCCAAGAATGGGGATGCGTCGGGGAGAGCCCCGACAACACGCCCGAATCCCACCGTGGCCACTGGCTAAGTCCCTTTCCCGAACTGGGAGAAGATGCAAAACCTCCTCAGCCAGTGATCCTCACCGTTTCCAAAAACAAGCCCATAAGTTCCTGGATGAGAAGGATGCAACGGTCCCCTTGCAAGGGGGTGCAGAGCGAGACACTGCCTGGAACATGTCTCCAACTGGTGTTTTTGCCAAGTCCAAAAAAGGGTTCCCTCGATTTCTACCCGATGCAGTCTTGTGCGAATAGTGGATTTTGAGTCCGAAGCGTATAGTGGTTTTGTTCGAATATTTTTTATTCCAATATTGAATAGTTTTTCCACGCCTTTCACTAACATTGCATAATGCTTAGACGAAAACTCAGCTAAACCTGTAAAGGTTATTCCACTTTTTCATTCATAAGGTAAGCTTATTCTATCTATATTTATGAACTGTGATCTCAGAAGCTGTGGTGTCTTGGGATGGCAAGTAAACAATGGATTTGACATAAAATGAATCCTATATAGATGGCCAACTGTACCAATTGAGTGAATTTACAAATCTTAATATATAAAATATTATTTTTTTAATCTTAAAAAAAATGAGTCGCACATGATGAACACAGGTTGTAAAAGCATCTCTGCCTAACATAGTATACTCTGCCATAAAAGTTTAATTTTAAAACCTTTACTACAATGTAGATATACACATTCACAAAGTTTGCATTTATTTTAAAATACAGTCGGCACGGGTGCACCATCCCGCTTTGAATGTATGCTTTTCTTGAGCACGCAATTACGATATTGTTTATCACGGCGGGCAGAGACGGCGGGTTACCCCGTTAAGTGCGCTTAGCGAGCACCGATGTAATGCGGAGAAGCAACACCCGCGGAGCTCACTTCCGCGGATTTTGCTTCTCCGTAGCGCACCGGTGCTTGGTAAGAAGCGCACTCAACGGGGCTAACCCGCCGTAATCAACACTTCGAAAAACGGGAATAGTGCAGTTCTTTTTGAAGCGAATATCGAATAGTGTATTATTCGGAACTACTATTCGAAATTTCGAATATTCGCACAACCCTAGCCTGATGGCATCTCAGCAGTGTTGCCGGTTGAGATCTTAGCCGTGTCGCCGCAGTGGTGCTGGATGTGGCAGACGCCTGTTGCGCTGTGCGCCTTTCCAGCATGGCAGTCTATGGAAGCTTCGGCAGCTCGGGGTCGGGACGCCGCGACGACAGACCCTCATACTCGTGCTTTTTTCCAGAAATTCTACTCCCAACTACCACAATCGCAAACTCCAAAAGCGCGACGCTCTAGCTTTTGCGACGTCGTCTGTCGACACTTTGAGACTACCTTCGATGCGTGGATAAAATAGGAAGCTAGACACCGGTCGGAGACCCGTTCCAGGCAGCGTAGCGAGTACGAGAGAGTCAAAACTTGCAGCGAGACGGCCAAGCACACCTTCCTGCGGCCCTATGACCAACACGGGCACGAAAATTGAAGAAATCTGCGCAGCATTGACCGAATAATACCTTGTAATGAAAGTGGCAGATTTGGGGGGGGGGGGGGGGGGGGGCCTGGATTCTGACCACCCACCCCTTGAATTCTACATGTGTAAAAAGGTGATGATTATTGTTTTTCGGGACAGTAATGATGTGCACGTAAGGGCCAAACAGCCATTAAGAAATATTACCGTTACCTCTTGATGATGCTGCAGGAGGCCAGGAAGCATTGTGGGCAGTGGATCAAGGGAGTGCATTTGCTCCACCACAATGCACCAGCTCATTCTATAGACAGCAGATGGTGATGCATGCTGTTGCTTTAGGCCAGTGGTTCTCAACCATTGATGTTTCGCAGACCCCTTACGGATTGGCAGAGATGATGGACGACCCCACTCGTGGTGTGGTGAAAGGAAAGATATTGGTTAATTATGATAATGATTTAATAAGTGGATATAACAAAGGGCAAGTGTGAAGTAGACTTCTCTCATTGAAATGCCCACGAGAAAACTCGCCTGAAAATTGAAATGTTTCTTCTCAATCTGAAACGAGACTTTTATTGCCGGGCTTGACTGATGAGGCAGGGCTTCGCGGACTGCCAATAGAAAACCACTGCTTTAGGCTATGAAGTTCTGCCTTCTTCCTCTCGTGAAGAATACGATGTGCGGAAGGCATTTCCAAATGATGACGAGGCGATTGTTGAGGTGGAAAACTTCCTCAAGAGCCAAAATGAGGAGTTCTACAACAAAGGTGTCTGCCAGCTCATCCATGGGTGGAGGTGCGCCGCCTTGTGTACTGCACATGTGAAGATGGACTAACCCCACCATCAATGCTCATGACCAGAACTCTTTTCCTTCATGGTAATAATACAAACTTCATGAACACCTCTTGTGTGTGGTCACAGAAATTTGAAGAAAAACGGAGGACAAGAGTCCTTTAGTTAGAAATGAGCGCTGTGTGTACACTTGGTCTTCTTGTCCTCCGTTTTTTCAGCGCTGTTTTACTTTTTCTTCAAACATGTACCACCAACTCACCCAACTTTAGAAAACATGATTGCGCTTTGAAGACGGGGACATAAGAAGGACAGACACCACAGAGCGCATAGCGCTCTGTGGTGTCTGTCTTTTTTATGCCCCCGTCTTCAAAGCGCAATCATGTTTTCTAATGTACCATACCAATCTGCCCAACAATCAGCACTTGTCACCCAACTTTCTGCCATATTAGAGTTTTTCTCCTCTACAATGGGCTCTTTCTTTTATGTGTTTGCCAGGTATGCATCCCAACATTTTATACATCAACACCATCGCTGTTTCACGGGTGAGAGCAAGACATTGCGCCTACGCCGTCAAGAGTGGTTGCTATCCTAATGAAGTTGTGAACCTCTGCAATTTCCCGATGTCGGATAGCACGCCAAGAGAGTCGCCAAGATTCTATGCCCTGAGGCTTGGCGGCAGGCCAGACTTCTACAGGACTCTCTGAAGCTATGGTGCTATGTTGTTTCCAAGGACGAGAGTGTGGCAGTCCAGTTACTGGGGAAATGCCTGCACGAGGCGACTCGGAGCACCGAGCTTTTGTGGCAACAAGTAAGGGTGTTTTTTGGAAGACCTGGAAAGAAACAAGTGAACGGTCGCAGGAACGTGGAAGTCCTGGAAAAGGGTCCTAAGTTTGCGAGCGAAGGGACGGTGAAGCCTCAGGAACTGCTTTCTTTAGTTCGGAATCAGTGCTCTGTTTGTACACTTTGTCTCCTTGTCCTCCGTTTTTTTGGCGTGGTCTTACTTTTTCTTCAAACATGTACCACCAGCTTGCCCAACTTTCTACCATGTCATAGAAAGCATGTCTTGTAGTGTCCCTTTGAGTAATTCCACAAAAATGGTGCATTTTCACTGAGTAGCATAGTGGTGCAGTTACAACATTCCTGGTTACAACAGACATTGGATATAACATACCGACTTGTGAAGTTCGGTTGGTTTTCTTCTACATACCACTGACTCAACTTTATATCTGCATACAACATACTCCTCTTACAACACACCGAAATCTTGGTCAAAATCAAGGTCTGTTATAACGAGCTTTGACTGTACCACTGTTCTCTGGGAACTTGGGGGTGGAGCTTCTGCTGTACATCTTAAATTGGAGCAGAACACAGATGTAGGCACAAAAATAGTTTTAAGTTGCAATTCATGGGATGAAATATATGAAGTTCATTTACATAGCCATCATCTGTACCATGTCAACACCGCTGAATTTTGTACTAGCTTGGTTTAACTTCATAAGTGCACTCTCCCACACAAGTGGGACATTCTGTTCAACAGGAAACGAGATGACAAATAAAACAATGAGATGTCAGCCAATAAGTGAGTAGCTGTCAATTATTTTCTGAATCTAGGATCCTTTTCATACAAGAATAAAGATGGTGCATGGTTCGATAACTGCACTCTTCCTGGTATAATCTGTCAATTGTAAACCATTTTGGAAAGAAGCATACTATACAGATAGTCAAAAATTTAAATATATATATATATTTATTGGGAAAAGATTTTAGAAATAAACACTCCCAACTTTTTTTTTGTATGGAAAAAATGTGGAAAATATTGGAAGCTCTAGCACTTAAAAAAGTGGTGATAGCTTTTTATGATTGCAGCTCCATTATCATTCTGGCAATGCACTGGGCGTGATGCACAGCACTCGGCATGATTGAACATGCTCGAATGTCTAATAACTTTTGACAAAACTCTGCCGGAAATGCGTAACATGCGCTCTCAAATAAATTGCACTAAAATTTCGCCTTACGCTCGGACATGACAGTCCATACCAATTAAAGATGAAAAAATTTCCATGTGGCAGATACTGTGAAAATATTTCCAGTCAAATTACCACTGGCTCAAGGTTGAAACTAGCTTTGAGGTGGTAATGGAAGAAAGACATAATTTGCTTCTTCGGTGGCACATCACTTGAACCAAAACGCAGTTCAAAACATATTTCGTTTGACCGACATGTATATAAGGCACTTTTATGTCGTAAGCAGTAGACACCTCACAAGCACACTAGCATGGGAGGCACTCACTTGATCGAATGACGTTTTAGCGAACGCCCACGTTTCATCGAACGACACTTTAGCGAATAGTCAGACGCCGCGAAGCGGCGTTTCCGGGTGGGCCAAGTGAATTCATATTTTTGTAATGAGTTGCCGCAGACTGTCGCCGCGAAGCGGCGCAAAAGCGCAGCTCGACGGATGGGTTAACGCGCGCCCCCGTTATTCGCTAAAACGACCATTCGCTCAAATGTCGCCGTTCGCTAAAATGTCATTCGCTCTTGTGATATGGACCCCACTAGCATGCTGTAGAAAGGCATTTTCAAGTCGCACAAAACAAAGAAATTGCATAAAAAGTGAGATTTGGCAAATGTTGAAATTTCGGGATAGAACAAAACATGGTGACATAGTGTAGCATGTTCATATGACAAAACACAGTGACATAGTATAACAAGTTCATGCATGAATGCTCATATGACGTGCATGCTACCATCGTCATTTTTCAAAACCGATATAATATGACAGTTCTCGGGGTGACTGCATTTACTAGTATACATAGTTAGTTCCCTGCCAATCTGCCACTAATGCTGCTGCTGTCCAAATTTTTGCAAGATCAGATGTTTGAACTCTAGGAGCACGTCCACAATTTAACGATCAACACTAGCTGCCTTTCTGACAAGTTCAATGTTTCGTACGTATATCACGTGAACAACTTGCAAACCCTTAGGAACCACTGGAAAGTTTAATTTTGAGCAAGAAACCAGACTATGATACATCAGGGCAGCAAACTGACTCAGGATATAAGTATTGACCAAGTTGAGAACCCTACATTGTCACTAAGCATTACAGATCCATATGGCATTCGGAGTTTGAGGTTTCACGTCAAGAAATATTTTTTATAATACTCTAGAGTAATCTCTAATGTCCATATACTACAACATGCATAGAGGATTTCCAAGCACAAAATGCAAAATGCATATATATATAGTATATATTTATCTCTAAAGACGTATCCCTGTAGTATAGACTTCAAGAGCACTTAGTTTGGTCAGCACCCTTTTCAAGCTCATCACCCTGATTGTCTTGCACATGGCACAGGTTGAAGTGGCACAGACTGCACTCGTCCTTTTGTGTGCCATCTCAACTTCAACAAAAATAAACCTCCGTTGTGCACCGACCAAAAAGAGTGCTTCAGAGGCACCCCTGGTGGGTGTCTTGAGGCCTTCACATGAGTGTTGTCTCGTCCACGTGGCCCTTGCCCTGTGACCGCGCTTGGAAGAGCTCCCGTATCAGCGTCGCCTTCTCCCTCTCGAGCTGCGCAATCACTTCGCTCTTCCTGCTCACCTCCTGAAAGAAAGCAACACAACCGGCTCACAACTATGCTGGGACTAGAGACGATTTTAAAAAATTTCACACCCTTGTCCGAAGTCATCCAAAATAGTAGTTTACATTCTACATGGCAAGCAAGGCCACCAAAACATGTCCCTTCATACGCGAGAGCAGAGGTATAAAACAGCAAGGAGAGTTCCCAGAAAGAAGTCGCAAAAGGGAGAGAGGGAGTGATCATCTCGGTGACGAAGCTCTGCCCCTGCAGATGCTATTCCCTTCGGTGGGTAGCAAACATCTTTGACCGTGAACCTTTTGGTCAATGTAACGTGTCCAATAGTTGTTAGCTAAAAAAAAATGAGATGTTTACAACTCCCTGCAATGCCGAATTAGAGCACAGCTCTTGAGGAGGAGGAGGGGATGGTATAGAGAGGAGGGTATGCTCCTCCTCCTACATACCCTCTCCTCCTCCTTCATCCCCCCCCCCCGTGAGTCACTCGTGACAATCGTGAAGGTCGTGAGCTTCACTGTGAAAATTGTGGCCTTCACATGACCTTCGCTGTGAAGGTTGGAACCTTCGTCGTGACTTTCACAAGTGGCCTTCGTGACGTCATTATAGGAAACATGCCGTAATGCAATGGGCGGTTACAAGTGATGTCACTCGTGACCCTTGTGACGTCACATGTGATGTCATGATGGGAAATGTCCCATAATGCAACGCGCGGACACGCTGACGGCGCCGCCGCTCAGGCCAGAAACGGGCGCCTAAGAGCTGCGCTCTAAAATTATGTACCCTTATAAATATTTCAGCTTCTCTTTCTCGAAGGCCAAGTCCTCGTTCATAAAGAACCGGTGGATTTTTGAAAGTGCTAGAAAAACAAGGCAACCATTGCTACAACTAGCAGACAACGCCGGAGTTCGCCACTGCTCCCTCTGTGCAAAAGGAAGACAAACTTGCTCACTCTGATCGGCGTATACACGGTGTGTAGACACCATGGCTTTTGTCTCCATCCCCTAATCCTCTGATAAGTGTTCAGCACCATGACAACACTATAACTCTCCACGAGAAGTAAATAAAACTTGCTTGCTGTGCTGCTTATAGTCATATTATGAGAACAGTGGAATCTCGTAGATACATTTTTCACAGGAACCGAAAAATAAAATGTATTATCCGATTATTGTATTATCCAAAATGAGTTCTAAAAGGTCATAAAATATGCATACACGGTGAAAAACTTGCTCCGATCCCAGAGGCAATGCACTGCTTCCCAGATCGGCCCACATATATTTATTTAAATATTAGCTCAAAGTTGTATTTTTGTTTGTATTGTGCTAATATTTTTTTCTTCAGTTACAGAGGCGTAAAGGTAGTTGACCGTGGTAGTCATGGCCGATCATTGGGTCACAGCATTGGTCGTTGCGCGATTCCAAGTCACGCAGTGGCTGACCCCGACGTAACTTTAGCCTTGGCTACCGAGGCCTCGCAGCAGGTCGTTTGTGGCTTGTTGCAATGTGATTTGGGATAGTAGACTGAAATATAAAGATATATGTTCTTAAACACCCGTCGAAGCCCCCTTCTGCAGTCATAGTTTCTAATTTCAAGCAAAAACATGATCGTAATTTCCACATCAAAATATGCTGCTTCTACAGGACATTGGCCGGGAATGAAAAGAAAAACATATAACTAGAGATTGTATCAACGAGATTCCACTGCATTTGCTTTTTGAGTGACCTAATAGACGCTGCAGAAGGTCCTGAAACAGCCTCTGGCTTTTTTTTCTCCAAATAGGTTCTGCCTCTTCAACAGTCTGTTGTTAGAGACGAGTCCCTTACCTCCGTCAGCAAGTGGTTCTGCTCTTTAAGTCTCTGCACTATGGAGTTCTGGTGAAGCACGTACGGAGGCGGCTGAACTGCCAGGTTCATGTGCATCGGGAATCCCTGAGAGGAAAGCATTGGATAGTTATAGCACTACAAGGTGTGCCAAAAGGTGTAACAGAGGAGGTAAAGTTTGCCAAGCACTGACCCATATGACTCTCTGCTCTAAGGCCTTGGCTACAGTATGGCACTATATTTCAGAAGAGAGAAAATGTTTGTGATGAAATGAAGTACCAGCAGAAGAAATTATTACAGCGAAGCTGTTACACGCTAGGGTCTGGGAAAAAAATGCGTCCTCACATGTCGACAGAAAACTCACCATTGGTCGTAGCAAGTAAGAATAAATAAAAACAAAAAGAGGGGTCAAGTATGAGTACATTAAATAAAAAAAGAGGGGGCAACCAGCACAAGTCAGCCTTCCTTGGCATTATTAGATAGTGAGATCCAAACCCCTTGTTATCATCTCTAGGCATCGTCCTTCGGGTCGTCCTTGAGGTCGTCCTAAGCATCGTCCTCAAGGTCATCCTAGACGTCGTCCTCGAGGTCGTCCCAGACGTCGTTCTTGAGGTCATCCTAGACGTTGTAACAGACATCGTCCTCGAGGTCGTCCTAAAAGTTGTCCTTGACGTCATCCTCTAGGCATCGTCCTAGATGTTGTAAAGGTAACAGCTTCGCTGGTCCTCCATCTTCAAGTGAAGTGTAAGGGCTCTACAATTTTTGAAGGTTGACATTATAATTTATAACTAAGGTTTCAAAGGTTTCAAAAGCAGGTAATGGGCAGTCATCGTGGCAAAGACGCCTGCTCAATGTTTTACAATACGTGGCTCTTTTCCGAGAAAAGGAGGAGGCTTTGGAAAAACGTGGACCAACTGTACACACTCGTATGTACGAGTGAGTGTGCAATTTGCCCCAACTACCTTCTCCGAGCTGTCTATGAGTGCGTTCAGGTGCTGGTTAACGTCCAAGATCCGGGCCATCTGGAACCGGAGGCGCTCATCCTGGGCGTCCATGGAGTACTCCTGCAACAAATGCAGAGAAATGCACTGATGCCTCTGCACTGTGAGCCACATCCGTGAGGGTAGATAGAGCAGTTCGAAACAAAGCAGTCTGACTGCACTACTGCCAGCTTCTGGCATTTTGTATGCGCGGCCAAAATACTGTCATCAGAACTACTGTAGGTGTTGTGAAATCTCTATACATTACGTCAGGCACGTAGCCAGGATTTTGATTCAGGGTGGGGCGGAGGGGGGGGGGGGGGGGCCGCCTATGACAAAATGCTATATGAGGGGGAGGGGGAAGAGGAGGTTCCAGCAAAATGGAAGATTTCGGGGAAGGGGGGGAGGGGGGCAGGCCCCATGGGCCCTCCCCCCTATCCACGTGCCTGCTATACGTACAGCAACATAAACTTGCCGGAAAAAGCTTACTGACGAACATATTTACGAAGACAGATGCTATTTAAACAATTAGGCCAGATGTTTTTTTATTTATTTATTTACACATACTACCACCTTCTCTTGAAAGGTGTCGTAGGATTTAGTTTTTGGTGCCAAAAATATAAGGGCACAATCAAATTTTTGACATTGCAACACACGATGCAAATAAATAACAATTATGCAATCGAGTGCATTTGAGCTCTGTGTTCTATTATGTGCCGAGCAGCTATAATAATACTAATAATAATAAACAGCTTTATTTTTTCTGTGCCCAAAAACAACCTTGCGGTCATATGTTAGTAAAGAGCAGTAGAAGAAATAATATCTTTCGACTGGATAGGCATTGTATCGAGGCTGCCCGCCGAAAAATTGTTAAGGCCGTAACTGACCCACCAACGGCTTGCTTAGTATCAGACGGTCACTGAAAAGCAGCCGTGCATGTAAAAGAAATGTAAACGTTTGTAAAGGCACTTGGCGACAAGGACCCAGACTTAGGATGAAAAAAATGCTGCAGTGGGACAGGGAACGGAGGGCGGACTAGAGGGAGAGTGCACAGAAGGCAATAGGCTTCAAAAGATGGGGAAAAAGAAAAGAATGAAAAGAAAAAAAAAATGAAAGGAGCAATTATCTTAAGAAAGACAGCTTCGTGTTCTTTGACATAATTAGCTTCGAGAGAGATGGATGCATCTTTCAGAAAGGTAGAGGGTACAACATGGCAGAATGCAGGAAGACAGACCCCTGTGACAGCCAGCAAACAGCGAATATAACTAATTGCTAGATGCCAATTAACAAAAAGCAGAAGGACGAAGAAACACAAAAAGGTCCGAGGGTTTAAGCTTTGAGCCAACGAGGGGCTTGAGGAGTGACAGAGAGGGGGCGGCCAAGCTGGCAGAAACGCTTTGGCCGGCTTACGGGTGCAGTGTGGCACTTTCCGGCTTGCAGCATCTTGTCCTGGACAGAGCCGATACGCTGCTGGTACCACTCCCTGGCCCGCTCGACGGCACTCAGGCCCTGCTGCAGGCAGTTCTTCTCCTGCTCCAGTTGCTTCATGCGCCGCAGCTGGAACAGACAGACAAAGCAACTGGGAAATGTCCTCTAAAGAGAACATGGGCGCACCACGTCGAAGCACCTTCCTAACTTCGCCTAAGAAGTAACTTCAAGGGTTAAGCTGGTGCTTGCTGCTTCTGGGGGTCAGCCACGCACACTATGCGACACTGTTAGCATGAACACGACATCAGTACATTTTCGTTTTTTACCCTGAAAGGCTAATAAGGGGCATCAGGTTTTAACACTTAGATTAGCGTCCCTAGTGAGCACTGCGCACCACACTAGTAGTTTTGATGATAGCCCTATAATTCTAAGAGAAGAGAGAGAAGTCCCGCCAATTGCCTGCTCGTGCTAACAGTGTTGCGCTGTTTACGGCCTCCAACGATATGAAAGACCCGGTCGACAGGGCAGGTTTGGGAGGCTGTGCAGAATATGTTTTTGACAGACCCACACTGCTTGGAATAAGAAAATAAATTAACCTTCGTTCTGTTATTTTTCTTAATGTAAGTGCCTTCATCCTAAAACAAGGTGCCCTTTATATATTTATCCCCTCTCTCAAAATAAAGTGTCTCTACTGCTTAGCACAGCTGCATATACTGCATCGGCGAATGGGCCTTTCCTATAGTGCGAGACTGTACTGCTGAAGGGAAGATGGCTCGAACCATTAAACAATAAAATAAAGACCAGAGGATTTCAGCGTTTTGAAAACCCGAGACCGAGGAACAAAAAAAAGAAAGGAGGAACAGGATGGGGTTTTAAAGTGGTGAAAGTTCACCATTTCTACCCAGAGAACTTCCATAAAGAGAATAAAGCAGCTATAGGCAAGTGTCACCTCAGGCTTCAGAACTGCAAACAGAACCAGTATGTTGTGGCTTTGCTCTGTGCCGTGAAGGTTGCGAATGGCACAATGCTACCAGATTCAGACCACTATTAGCACACCCCTACTATTCATATGTTTTGGGTCTAGAAAACACAAACCACTCCCATAGGAGATTTCATGCTCCCAAAGCACACAGAATGTGCATTGTACATATAGAATCTCTTGTTTCTGTTATTTTTTTAACAACACAGGGAAGTGTAAGCTCACTATGAGTATTTTGGTAGATTGATGGTGAAACAAAAGACTAAATCAGTGTTTCTCAACCCCATGTGTTTTGAGGACACCTTCTGGATTAGGCTCTGTCTCACCTAGCAGTGGTATTAACAACAAAGAAATAGTATGCACTCCCCTATACCGTTGCCACAAAAAAGAAGGCGTAACTGGATAGACTAACTCTCAACTGACGAACACATCTTACATGTAGGAAAATCGGCACTTGAAATTATGTTTGTAAACTGGAAATGCCAGGCGAATGACTGTGAGATCAACGAGAGTTTGTTTATACATACGAAAGAGTTGTGGACAAGAACTGTGCACGCTACAAGCAAGTTTCTTTCTAAAACTCTCCCCAAACAAAGAGCACAGATGTCGATCCAAGTCTTTGGACAAAGAGCATGGAAATCGACTCTAGGTGTTCCTGCCATGTGCTTGCACCCCAAGTTACGTTCACGGGACAGAGTGAACAGAAGGCAACAATACTACTAATCGTAAAGGGTTTACTGTTATTCTGAAGTGCAAACAAATTAAGAAAGCCGCTTATCACTTGGCTTATGTGCTAGCTTTAGACCAAGCACAGTATCTGTTGTCAACACGAGCGATGGAGGATTTGCACTGTAGTAACCTCTGCACTCCAAGAAACATTTTTCACTACTATTTTTAACTTGTTGAAGCGAGAGTAATATAAGGCAGGCAAGTTGGTACAGATTCGTGGTGTGATTCAAGACCAAGGTGTTTGTCCATTGTTTTAGTGGGTCTTTTTGGCCTTTGGCACCCTTCAAGAAAGCCGTTTGCTGCACTTATTTTGCAAAGGCACTGACTACTTCGACTGCCACTGTCAAAATAATTTGACCATTATTTTGACGTCCATGATGCCACTTCCTAAAGACGTGAAAATATTTCTCACATTAAAATATTTATCGTGTTATTTTGACATCTCCCGTCAAACTTGCCACCACAAACTGACTAAAGTTTTGACTTGGGAGCTTCGGACTGGAAGTGATAGAAAATGTAGATAAAAAGTTATCACCTTGCTCGCAGTCGGCATCAAGCATTTTTCCAACGAGTGTCATGCAATCAACTGCAGATTTTAAAATCAGATTCTTTTAGGTGATCGGGAATCTAAGAAATCTTAAAAATACAAATCGGCTATCACGCCGTGCATAATGTTTAATTTGGTAGTACTGTGATAAACGTCAGCCAACGCATTATTGAATTATTTTACATTATTTATGACAGGTGAAAGCAGTTCTGAATCTCTTAAAAAAATCGGGGTCATAAAAATTGCAGCTGATTGCACATTTGGTGTTGGACCGCGGTGCAAATTGGGAGATGATGTTTTGCTCGGTGCCTTGGAAGCTTTGTCGTTCGATTGCACTGGTCAAGAAACATCAAAGAGGCAATGTTTGTGCTCACAACACTTTAATGCCCCAATCGTTTAGTCGCTACTCCAAACTCGTCATACATGAAGAAAAAAATCTTAATGATTCAACGCACCAGAAGCAAAGCGAGACTTCAAAACCGTTCGAAGGCGTGCTCGGATGAACGCGCAAGCGTGGAGGTACAAAAAACCTTTAAAACTCTCAGCGGTACGTAGTATGTGCACTTACATTTGTCAAAGAGAATTCTGAAGCGGTGTTGTATTCAAGAAAACACACTTAAATCACCTTTATTTGACCTCCAGGATCTTGAATATCAAAATTATCTTTTAATTTGGTGCAATGAGGCTGCAGAAAATCATTTTTAAAGTAATGTCATAGGCCCTCCTTCCCGGAGCGTGACGTCACAAAAGGATTTTGCGGAATCTCCGCTCTCACGCATCATCAGCGATTATCAAAGCTATGCACGTGCAATCTCACTATATTTAAAAGGTGCTTATTTAAAGGGGACAAAAAAAGGTGCCACGACCAGTACCAACGCGCGGGAATATACCTGGCAAGCTTCTGACTGCAGGTGGCACCTTCCAGCGACGCGCGCTTGGCGGCTGAAAGATCCTCTTACAACGTCACGAATGGTCGGAGGTTTTTCATGTTTTCTCGCGTTTAGTTACATCTTTGGGGAAAACGAACGTGATATTCAGATTCAAGGGATAAAACTGCACTGGACTCAACCTCTATTTCGGTTTTCAAAAGAAGTGTTTCAGCTTCCATTCAAGTGCAGACAAATAATCAAGGGATGTCCAGCTTGCCATTGTTCAAAATTTTACGTCAGACCGAAAAGACTTGAGAGACAGTGTCGTCGCTGGGCAATGTCCCGCCCAAAAGGAATCATTCCAACTGTTGAGCACACACTCGTTGAATGAGACGTTTCCAGTGTCAAGTAGGACCAAAGCTTCTTAGGCATGAGACACAGCGACATGCGACTCTGTCAACACAACACCGAAAACTGCTTCCCCAACCAAATGAGGAGCAAACAGCTACCCCACTTGACGTTGACGGGAAAAGTCAAAATAACATAGCGACTATTCTGACGAAAGACGTCACGATAATGAGTCGTTAGTTTGACATGGGACATTAAAATAATTGTGAAATGAAATTGACGTCAGGAATGTCAAAATAATGATTGAAGTTATTTTGATGGTGGACGTCAAAATAGCAATTGCCTTTTCCAAAGTAATAAAGCGGCGAATCACTCGCTTACCATGCTGTACTCGATGCCATGGCCCAAGGTGTGTCGACGGGGTTCCTTCTTTTTCGGAAACTTGCGCTCTGGAACGGCACTCACGCTGGCTGGGACTTCTCCGGCTTTAGCTGCATGTGGTCAGAAAGTCAAACAATGCGGGCAGGCAGGACTTTGCCTCTATGAAAAGCAAGAGCTGCACTGAGAGCACAGCTTTTGCAGTGCCCAGATAGTAAGTACTAAAGAACTCGTCGATCTGGACACAGAATGGAAAGACTGATGACAGCAGCCCCATGGCTAAACTGACTGGGTGTCCCAATGTAAACGGGACAGGGCCCACTTTTCCGTCCGCGGTCCCGCCAGCGTGCATGTGGGAAGGTGTTTTTTCCCGGTTTGCCTTCCTCAAACCCCAAAGAGATAAAAGATGGGATTAAACGAAAAGATGCATCAGGAGAGGGTGCTGATGCTGAAGGTTAATTTGCTTCTGGCACGTAAGCAGTACTATGAACATAGTATCTACAATAATAAATACATTAATACTAAAGGAATATTTCAATCAAATGTATTACATGTGCAAGCCAAACAATATGCAAACTTCAAGGAAAAGAAATGCGGACGGTGTATACAAAATAATAAATAAGGAGAGATTAAAGGGGCGGTGCAACGATTTTCGGACTTCGGTCAAAGATTTCTGGAAGTTACCCCCTGACACTTCAGAAGTAAAGAACAGAAAACCGATTTCGCCTGCGTGTCCTAGTTGGTGCGTAAAAAAAAGATAAAGATTGGCATTTCGGGCACCCCTCAACTCACTCCCAGCCTTCAGGGTCACACCTGGTCGCACTCCCAGTGACGTCATTCGGAGTGCCGTGTAGCTTCCCGTGTGCTATCTCGGAGAACGCTTCCCCTCCCTCTCTCTGCGTACATTAGCAGGCGCTATGCTGCAGCTTAGAGCCGAGCGAGGTCACGTAATCTTTCCGCCGTAGTTCCTTCGGCTGCCACTTGGGGCTGCAGGTGGGGGAAGAAGCTCGACTTTTGCTTTGCGATTATGCAGCGAAATCGCGACATTTTTAATGAAGGAGGTGTTTTCTCTATCCTCTGGGACACGATAAACAACTTAAAAATGACGAGATGCAAATTCTTTTAATCATAAAATCGTTGCACCGCCCCTTTAATCACCTAAATTTCAAGTCTGAAAATCTTAAAATACAACCCCCCTCCTTCGATACATGTCCCGCTTCGAGGCCCGAGGATTATGGTCACTTTACCCATGGCTAAAAAGCGAACCAGATAAGAAAAAAATCTAAACTTGTCTCGATCATTTTGATAAATTGGGGGAGACAGAACTTGTGCGTGCATTATGTGTGTGTTAGTATTTGCTTGGCTTGATTACGGGGGCTTTGGGCGTTTTTGTATCTGTTGCATGTACGACACACTCATGTGCCCCCTGGGTTTATCAGAATGATCAAGACAGGTTAAGATTAATTCAGGAGCAGTTTGAAAGGAGTATTTTTTAATTATTTATGGATCCCATCTTTCGCAGGGTGCCTGTAGCACCTGAAGTTCTTTGTGTTCTTGCATTATGAGGAGCCCTGTGTGGTAACTAAAATAATTTTGATCGACACATCTCAGGACGATTATGTCTGTACAACATGCTACACTATCAAATGGCTACCGTGCGAAGTTCAGATATCTTATGTCCGCTGCGCAATCCGTTGGTGCATTATGAACTTATGATCTGCCCCATGAAGTGAGATCACAAAGGGAGCTACACTTTATCACACAGAAGCCAGCCGCGTGCAACAAAGGTTGCCTAGTACTGCAGGCTCCCGTGAGTTGTGCTTAAACTGGCTGCTTGTGCTCCCTTTCGCTTCCTCCTTGTAGCATCGGGCAAAGCCAGTGGGGTGCGAATCAGATGATCTGGTTCAATTCCCGTTGCTCCGTTTGGTAGATCTCGTCAATTGGGATTAAATATGCTTAATTACGACTATCTATGATTAATTATTACTAAACATGTCTTCATATGCTTATACACTGCCCACTATAGGGCTATGTAACCTTTATGTCGCCTTGGCATGCATGTTACATTCTCTTATGACACCCAAGCGTAACGTGTTTTGCAAGAAACGCGGCCCTTAAACACATATCGTGTTAAGAAACGCATTATCAGGTGAAGCAAGAAGAATGACAAAAGCACAGTTTTCAAGCTCGTTGGGAATCGAACAGAGCACAGTAAGAGAGTCAACAGGCTGATCGATCTCTGGCCAACTTTTGTGAATCCTGTAGACTGTCGCCGGGGCCTTGCAGCGACAGCCGTGTCCGGACTGCTGCTGCATCGTGGCAATGATTTTTTTGTGGGACTGTGTACGTATCACACAGCACACAGTGATCAGCAAGGTAAGAGTGATAGGAGAACCAGGGCAAAAGTGGCGCCACCTCCTTCCGTGACAGTCATTGGGCTGTGACCCTGTTCAAAGGGGGAGAAGACTGCGCGTCTCACCGGGGTCGTCGGGCGGCCTCTGCTGCGGGTTGCGGTTCTCCTTGTGAGCTTCGGTGCTCCTCCTGTTAGGCCCGGCCGACGGAACCCCTTTAGCCAGCTCCACGCTGCCGGGGTCCGGAGTCTTGCTGCGTACCCGGCTGAAACGGAGGATCCCCGACTCCGAACCGGACGAGCCCTGTGGTCCGTGGTGCAGCCTGTTGTCGCTGCGATAGCCCCTCAGCTTGCCCGGAAGCTCCCTCGCGGCCGGAATCCGCCTACCCGGGTCTGACTTGGCGGCGTGCTGCTCGCCTCCTGCCCCCGACTGCAGGTGCGGCACGCTGACAGAGCGCTGCTGCGCCGTGACTGCGTTGTTGGGACGCACCGTGGCCGTGTTGGCGGCGGGTCGCCCTCCAGCCGGCGCGAGCTTGTCCAGGGACCGGTCTGAGCCGCCGTAGAGCTTGGCGATCGCCGAGGGCTTGGGGACCGTTAGGTTGCTTCCGTGCCCGTTTGACCTCTCGGCACGATCGGGCAACGGCACGGATGAAGGCCGTCCTCTCGCCGGTGGTTCGCTGACCTGACCCAGAGGCGGTTGCGCGGCGAGGCTGGCGGTGCTCCGGTGACGCTGCACGATCGCGTGCGACGGCTGCCGGTTGTGGGAGACGCGGTGGCGGAGCAAACAGATCTTCAGGCCCGCGCAGAAGCGCTCGAACGTGAGCATGCCGTTCGGAGGTGTCACCTTCTGCAGGGACTCGATCAGGCCGTTGGGCACTGCTATGCTGCCGTGCCCGTCGCGACCGCTGCCTGCCCAGCGCGCTTCGATATCCTTGAAGTTGATCTGGCCCGTCTTCTGATCGTCCATGATGTCGAAAAGGGTCTTCATGGCGGTCACGAAGCGCTTCGGAAGGTCGTCTAGCGATGGCTTGATATGTCGCTGGGTCACACTGGTCATGTTTTCGAGGAATCGGAGGGTGGGTGTTGACAAAAATTGATCGTTCCGAGTTGTTGATGTTGTTGCGCGGATTCGTTACTCAATCTGCACAGAGCACGTTTATTGGTCCGATTGGCGCTCTTCGGAACGCTCCTCCGCCTAGCGGGCAACCTGTAAAACGCTTGAGTTGTAAAAATATAAATATAAATTAGGCTAATATATTTGCTACGTCGTCTCTTTTTTCTGAAATTTATCATTGTGCAGTGATTATTTTGAATTATAATTCTTGAAAGCAAGTATTTTTTTTATTTTATTTGTTGTCAGTTGGTGTTGGCGGTGTTGGTGCCGTGTGCAACGCCGGTGTCTAGCTTGCTTTGGAACGCTGTGAAGTTACGTCGCAGGAAATTGGTAAACATTTTGTTCAGGATGTTAATTTTCTTATTCTTGCATATACACGTAGTAATCATTATTCACACACACACACAAAAAAAGGAGGAATTGCTGTATGACACTCGTTAAGAGCAATTTCAAAGAAACGAAAGGTAGTTTGTTAGGCTTAATTCATTGTGCCAAGACGATTCACCGCTTGTGCATGATGAACATTTTACGAATTGACAAGAGATTTCTGAGCGTCGGACAAGAGCAACCAGATCCAGACAAACATCTAACTTAGAAAACCTGGAAAGGTATCGCTCTCGAACTTTCCACTTCGCGCGGACGTGTACTACCGCAGTTGTCCGTGTTCTTCTCGTTGGCCACGCCGGCAACGAACAGCGGACTGTGTACACGTCACTTTACGACTTCTGTTTAAGATCATGCGGCTGAACTCCGCTAAAATGCTCGCTCAACCCGCACAAGGAGGCCCCGACACGCATTCTAGGCCCAAAATTGTGTGCGCGCGGATTCGCGTTTCACAACGGAGCCTCTGTTGATGTTCAGGAAGACAACATGCAGGGCTCGGGGAAGCAGTGTGTGGTGTCCATTTCGGTAGTGTTTATAAAAAGAAAAAAAAAAAAAAAGTATGCCAAGCAACAAATAATATAAAAAAAAAAAAAAAACTCGGCTTTTGAAGGGCTACACAAACGAATCATTTCAGTGGCTCCGCATTTTGTCGTCCGTAGCTCAGATCCTGCAACGTTATTTGTGTCTTTGTTGCACGTAGCGATAGCCTGCCTGCGTTGTTTGCTGCAAAGCACTTCCGACGGGACGATGCCACCCTCGGAAGAGCGTCTCCCGCCTGACCTCTCTTTCTCTTTGTCCCCGCTCGGAGAGGTCCTCCTGTGCGGAGCGGCGCTTGACCCGGGACCACCCTACCACCTTCTGCTTGCAGTATCATGTCACGGAGGTCGGCGCCCGATAGCCCCTGGCAGAACGGGGTGCCGCCGTTTGGTCTCGGCCAGCAGTTCAGTCCGATGATGAATGTTAGCCCCGTGTGGGGCCAGGCTAACCTCCCCTTCATGGGCGGCGGGAACATGATGTCCCCCGACATGATGAGGTTCGGAGGCAACGTTTCCTCTCGTTCAAACTTTAGACGCTACTACGACCAGGTGAGCTGCATTCTCGGCCTTGTTGTTTGCCCAGTATGGCGTGGTGGTGCGCCCCCCGCCCTCTCGTGACTGTGCCGCTTTGTACGTGCGCTAAGCGTCGTCCTTGTGCGCCCCCGCTCGGCTGAAGTAAGCTTGGGGACACGTAGCCTCCCTCCCCGCTGAGCCTTGGAACCGAAGGGCACGGTTAACAAATCCGTCCCCCGGCGGACGACGCAACCTCTCGACGAAGGAAGCTTGGGCCTTTACGGCATCGAGGCACTTTTGCTTTTTTGTCGACGGCAGACACTCATTGCCCCGTCTGGTTTTTTTGGGCACGTTGCCACGAGATGCTCGCGGATCACCACTTTGAGACCTTCGGTGCTACTTGTAATCGGGTATGAACTGATTAACACGGAAGTTCTCTGGTTCTGTCTGTCCGTGCACCTGTCATTTCTAGGTGCCGTCTAACTCTGGAAACAATAAATGGCCTTATGCGTACCCAGCCATTTCATTGCAAAAAAAGAAGAAAAAAAATTTTTCGATTGTGGGGAATTTAGTTTCTCTCCGTTTCAGTTGGATTTGTTTTATCGGGCTGAAGAAGAACGCTCAGTGAGTTTGGTTTGCTGTCGATGCTGTGCAGAATGGCAAGACTGCAAGTTCAATATCGCCAAAGACTTCTGCTTTGTGCAGAAGACGATAGGGAACACAGTATGTGGCAACGAAAGAAATACTCTTTGATTCAGACAAGAACCCCAACTTGGTTCTTGTTAGTCTGCCGGAAGAAGGGTCAATATTAGAAGAATATTCTGGAGCAATGTTCCTCAAATTGTATTGAGACTTGTCTTTTCATGCATCTTGTTTTCTTGGCAAGTCCCACATCCTTGCGACGAGTAGTGTAGGAATTCTTCCCACACCTCCCCTTTGCTATATATGCTGTCAAGCTTAGGAAAGCCAGATGTGGATAACTTTTGCCAGTATTTGCACACCCTGATACAGACGTTCGGTTCATTGTCTTTGCACTGAGTGAAATCCAGATGTGGTGCTTTGGGAGGCTTCCTTGTCACTTCGCTGGTAAACCGACGTTATAATTGGGGTTCCGTGTTTTCTGTATATACCGGCAAGCCCCAGAAATTGCCTCTGCCCCGCCCCGGTTCGTTCTTCCAAAATCTGGGAAAACAAAAGAACCTGAAATTATCCTAAAAAAACTTCACGTGAAAGTATTTTTTTATATCTTTATCTTGCGTTGACCCGTACATAGTACAGCCGCTATTGAATTGTCCATGATGCTGCTGCTTTCTTTAAAAACCACACCCCTCGTCTCCTTCTTTTCTCTTTTCAATATTGGGACGGTTTCCAGGCGTCGTGCATTGTGCCCACCTTCTCTGAAGGGTTGAGGAATCCCACGCCTATGTCCCGCTTTTTAAACGCGAGCCCTGATGAACGCAAGTTTTCTTTTTTGCCATACGCCGGATCGGTTGGGGAGTACGAGCCCCGAAAAAGTACCCCCGAATCTCGAGAGAAAGAGACCCCGAAAACACGGAACCCTAGGTAGTTACGATGGAAGACCACGACGCCAGACGAGCTTGCGTTTTGAGATTCCTAAAGCGTGTCGACTCCGACAGCCGGACAACCGCTACAGAGGCCAGCAGAGAAACCGCGGTGGCGGCGGTTATGGGGACAACAATGGCCGCTACGGCAGGAACCAGCAGAACAGCGGCCGCGGAGAAAGCAGGAAGCGCTTCGCTAACCGCGGAGACGGCGACCGCTCGCCACCGGCCAAGCGACCCAACCTGAGCAAGAAGGAGGCGCCCAAGAAGGTGGAGAAGGCCAAGCAGAAGGTTGAGGGTGACGAGGCGGAAGAAGCCGTGCCTCGGGAGGAGGAAGAGGAAGAGCTGTACGACCCCGCAGAGCCCACCAACGACGCCGCGGAGGCGGTGAGTGTCCCTTTTGGCAATCTTATAAACTACCTTTTCTCGGAGAGTGTATGTTGGTTTAATCTTGTAAACACTGAAAAACCTTCGCTTTATTGAAGTCCAGTTCGAGGGTCGCCTTGTAGATGGTGAAAGCGTGCAAGTGCATTCCCTTGTCGTAAGATATCACGAGAACATGGTCGTAAGCAAATGCAGGTGTGCGAACGAGCTCTAAACCGAGGGTCGAACCGCAGAGCTGGTACCTTCAACATGGCTTTGCTTATGTCTTAGTCTACCAATGTGGCAAACATCGATGACCAACGCGAACCAATCTCGAGCATGTGCAGCTTGTGTGGGAAGAAATTTTTGTCGGGCTTGTAATTTTGTTTGGCTTGTAATTTTGTTTGCGAAGGGAGCAGGAGTGATTGCAATCCTGCCAAAGATAAGCTTTGGGTGCATGCTGCTTGAGGCAGGTTGGTGTCGGTTTTTGCTGCCCATCACTCAAATGGAATGTGTTCCCATTTATTAGAGTATGTCGATTAGGCGAGGATTAGATCTTTATTACCTTGCCCGAAATAGAAGTGTGGCTGTGTCGACGCAACCTGTTGCACTACACCGGCTTGATGTGCTCTTTCTGGGGCCATAATTGAACCTTGGCACAGTGTGATATTAAACGGCGAAGGCAAACCATTTGGAATTTTGGTCTCGGGTGTAAAGAATGCAACTCTATTAGCTTTGATTCATCTTTTGTTAGTGTAAGGGATCTCTCGTCCTTGATAGTACCATATTCAAATATAGGAATAAAAATGCCATTATAAGGTATTACTAAATTTTTCATGACATACAGATGGAGCAAAAAACTTTGAATCGCCAGGGAATTTGACTGAGCCTTGAAAAGCCAGAGAATTTGAGCTTTCCTCACATCTCTTGTGCATTGGGATTGCAACAATAGAGTATGAATGAGTAAAGCCTTTTATGGTAAAAGATTAAATCTTTAGCAAGACCCAGGAAGATATGTATGAAGAGGTCATTTTACCCCGTTACAAACTTGGTGTTATCAAAAAACGAGCATGTTGGTAAGGTTAATTTAGGCATGAAGGAATAAACACAGGACAGGACAGAGCTCGACGTTTCAACTAGCGACAAACGAGAATGAAAAAGAACCGCCCTTCCAAAGGCATTAAAAAACTCACTTTACTGTCGTGTGGTGATTTGTTTGATGCTTTTGGAGGGGGCCTTATTTTTCATTCTTGTTCATTGCTTGTTGTCTGTCAAGTATGTTTATTCTTTCGTGCATAAATAAACTTTTTTTTTTCACTGCAAAAATAAACTGTATTGCTGAATGCTCAGCCTCTGCCTCAAATAGTCTGAGCATTCAGCAATAGGCAGTTTACATTAGGGTCCCTAATGTAGCGCTAGTTGTCCGGTTCAGATGCTGAAGCTTCAGAACTAACCATTAGCTCGTTTAAAAGTTGAACGCAATCACTCAAGTTTCAAGAGGACAAAAAGGGGGGCTGCTCCCAGCAGCTGATACCATTTACCTCCGTGTATTAATGGGTTTTGTCCGCCATCATTTTGCCATAAAAATTTCTGAAAGTCGTTTATAACTTTTGAATCAAACAACAACAAGCTCTGAAAGTTTTTCATCTCATGCGGACTGCTAGTGCTAGATTTGGGCAGAGACTGAGCATTCGGCAAGTCTAGAAAGATGTCTATAAATCAGTGGTCGGCAACCTCTTGGCGAAGCGGGCTGAGTCGCCGCGATGCCTAGGTGGAACGGGTTGGATGGCAAGCAGGGGGGGAGGGGAGGGGAGGGGAGGGAGAGGGAGGAGAAAGAAAAAAAAAGTTAAAATTAAAAAAAAAAAAGCACTTGCACGAATTTTCATTGACATACATAAATCGAAAATGAACAGTTTCTTTATTTCACGACAAACAACATGAGATACAACATTTCCACGAAAACCTAGACTCCTCTCAGTGAGACTTTTGGTGTTGAACTGCGGTCGCCAAACTACGAACATCCACATTCAAGCTGCTAACTGCGAGCCGCAAAACATTGTGGAGGTTCTCGTCAGTCATTCGTGAGCAGAAGTTGGATTTTATGCACTTCATTCGTGGAAAAGTCTGCTCGCAGACGGGCAGCGAATTAGTCAACTTTTTTTTTTTCTTTAGCTGACTGCGTAGGGGGGAAGGGGGGGTTACCGGGAGGCTGAGTGCCGTATGATACTACCTCGCAGGCCGGATCCGGCCCGCGGGCCGCTGGTTGCCGACCACTGCTATAAATTAACGCAAAAAAAGAAAACATATTTTTTTAGGAAGACATACCCCCATCCTCTTGAACATTGTAGAGCTTTCTCGTGGTGTTCAGGGGCCAGGAAAACATTAGGCGTCAAGTGGAAACACAAATAAGTATTGTTTACTGCATCCCTCAAGGTCTCGGACTTAAGCAGTGGACACACTATTATTCGACTTTAATGGCTCAAAGACATATTTGATTGGTCTGGAAATTTCAGAAATGTCAGCTCAGGGAAACAGCGTCGAAACTAGTCGTTGTTACGTGTGGTATTACTACATGTTGGTAACCCTTTTGCAGAGCACGCAGTGCCATTTGTGGCACCGAAAAAAGTGCCGGTGACCGGCTGTTTAGGACCGGCCATCGCAGACGATGGAGGATGCGAGGGTTGGCGAGCAACTGTGTTGCTCTCTCTTTATCGCTCTCTTTCTACTTATCACATTAAGAAAAAGTGATGTTTTGCACATTATTCCTGTGCTGCCTCAAAAAGTTATACAGGAGTCTTTTTAGTTTATTTCTTTTTAGAAAAAGCAGTGATCTTGGCTCTTCAGATGTGTACTTTTCCATGAAATAACAAAGCCAACCTAAAATCCTCCTACATATATTTTAAAGGGCTACTGCAACGAAATTCTAGCACCTATTTTACCGTGTTTGCTCGAGTAATGGCCGCTCTGTTCACGAACAAAGCCCGTGAGTCTGCTTTCCCGTGGGGTATGGGTATAGCGAATCACTGCGACTGGCAGAAAGATAGTGGCGATTTACGAAACAGACATAACGTCTTTGCACGAAAATGCTATCTGCTCAGATAGCATTCTTACGAAGGATCGCGTTACTCGACCTCGTTAATAGCTGCGTTTTTTTTATGCAGAGTGCGACGATCGGCTGCACGTGCGTTTTGTAGGAAAGTAGATGCAAGGGCCTCGTTCATGAGAAGTGCGGCCGTCACATGAGCGGATAAGGTGCTGTCTAAATGTCGGCCACGTCCTGGCCACACTGCAGAGACATCAATGTTTTGCTCGAAAAGACGCCGAAACATTGTTTGAAACGAATAAACTGAATGTCGTCGCGTCAAAACTGCCCACAAAATCGGCGCCGCTCCACGGGAGTACGACGGCAAGCTGCGTGGGTGCGAGCCCCGTCCAACTTTGCCAAACCAGACTTCCCTTCTTTCCCGCACTCATTCAACACCTGTGGGGAGCAGGCATCTCGAACGACCATGTCGTAATGCGTTGATGCCGCCGAGTGGTGAAGCTCGCAGCCGTGCCAGCCTCTGTAACCTTGGCCGTGAAGGTAAACGTGACGTCACCAATGCACTCGAGGTGCCGCATCTCCTGAGACGTATCACGCTCTTTGGTGGCTATTCTTCGTGTGCTAGCTGGAATCTGCTGTTTGGAACGAAAAACATAGCCATCCGTTTAGAATACAAAGCTTGCGACTGTCATTGGCAGATTTTGTCGATTTGCTTTAACTCGTTTCTGAATGTGAGAAGGTATATTTAAATTTTAATTTCAGTATCTTCTTAATTCGTTGCAAGAAGAGGGAAATTAGTGACATTCGACGAGGAGCCCTACTTTTTTTTTACTACGGTTCCTAAGTGAATAGGTGTGTTATGTCATGCGACAAGTGTTGCAAAGGCAAGGTGGAGCATTCATTCATTTGTTGGGATTTTTGAAAGACTTGTCCCCAGTCGTAGAGTCCTTTCGGTCTCCTCCTAGGCCACCAACGGAGACGCCGAAAAAGATGGCGTCGCAGCAGATGAGGAGCCGTCTTGCCAGGAATCGGAAGGCAAGGAGAGCGAGGCGGCAGCCGATTCTGCCGCGGTGAATGATGAGGGAGGGGCCGACGGCGAGGCCGAGCAGGCCAGGGAGGAGGGAGGCGAAGGAGACGAGGCGGCACCCAAGGCCAAGGAGCCGGTCAAGGCTGCTGCCAGTGCCGTGAGTGAATTTCTTTACGTCATGTGGGGGAGATGTCGTTGGAAGGGTGCTTCCGTGGCTACGGTTCCTGAGGCTAGATATTATTCCCCGCGAGGTCGTACTTCCCTCTCATGGAGCAAGCGAATATGGCGTTGGTAGACTGTTCGTTTGCTAACGCGAGTGAAGAATGACGTTCGTCCGCTACGAAGTGCCATTCTTGGACAGAAATAAAACGAGAGATGGCCGTAGGTCGTTTCCTATCAAATCGAAAGAAAAGTCTATCGTCCGTTACGAACTGCGCATTACAACGGAGTGAGATGGAACGGAGGCTGGATTTATGATCATCTGCTATTTCGCTTTCGTAGCTGTTGACAACTCGCGCTTCATTTACAAATTTCGAGTTGTTCTGCTGCCGCACTCAAGCTTACTTTCACTGATGGGTGAAGGAGTGTTAAAGGGGCCCTGCAATGATTTTTTGACTGGTTTTTAATTTGCACCGAACCTGAGCACACTGAACGTAGTACCTCAATGAAACTTTTCTCAAATTTTGCTGTATTTTAAAAGTTATAGGCAAATTAAAATTACAAGAACTAGCAAGAAATAACCTCCTTCATGACGTCGTTGGTCCTGGCTTGAGTGGCCGGGAAGTAGAGGAGAAGTAGTGAGCTCAGCGAGCACCACTGAAGCATGTGCTATAGGGTGGATAAAACGGGCGGCCAGGGCGGCTCGCTTGCTGCGCGATTAAACACTAATTCGGCATGACACTTCTTTGGCCACGAACGACAGCAAACATGGGCTAAAGATCAGAACAGGAGCCACTTCACGCTGCCATACCGCCGAACCCTTGCCAAAGGCCTTCGGAAGGCTCGGAACCGGTCGGATTCTCGAGCCCATACGACCGCAGCACTGCCGTGTACGTGCTGGACTTTTCTACGCTCGCTGCTCGTCTGTTCCTGATCCCACTACCCCTTTCTAGTATGCGCCGCCTTTTCCACCGTTCGGTGGCGGGTATTTCAACGGATCATTTATTGTTTCCGTACTTCATAAACTGCGTTTGTTTCTTTTGTGATCTAAAATAGTGAACAAAAACTACTTTCGTGAATACTTGAAACGGTTTGTGCCACTTATATTTTGTATTTCGACAGTAAAAAAAAAAGATTTTAGCGGCTCTGACCAGTAGTAAGGCGAGGACCAAGAATGTCACGATGTTGCCACATATCGCGCGCTTTTGGCATTGCGGAAAGTCTGTGTTGTCGGTTAAAATATGACGCACTGATATTTAGTTACTCTCTCCGTGCCCACTGGCTTGCCCAAACCCAAAAAAACACAAAGACCGCAAAAAAAAAAAAAAAAATAGACGCTTAAATATGATTGCAGGGCCCCCCCATTAAGGACGAGCACATCAGGGGCCAGTCGCAACACCTTTCTCACTATTTGTGTTGGCGAGACATTCTCACCAAAGTTTTGCCCGATTCTGAACTTGCTCTTGCCTTGACCAAAATTTTACTACCCCTGGAGTGCTCTTTCGAACCGTGTGTTTAGCGTCCCATGCCACCCGTGCATCAAAACTGCTCCCGATGTGGCAGTGAATGACCTCGCAGGAGCCAACAAACAAATAAATGAACCCCCCCCCCCCCCCAAAAAAAAAAGCTGCCATTATTTTTTGTAAGAAAAAACATTGGAAAATTTATGGGCTACCTATGTTATATATCAGACTTGTAGTTAATGCGAGATTACTGCGCGAGATTTGATCCCATCATTTCCTAAAGGAATGCGTATGTTGCGCGAATTCGCTGCTACACAGCGTGTTTTGGTTTCGCATGTTAAATTTTTTGCTACGAACTCTTAGCACGTGATTACTCGTACAATTAACTTTTTCGGGAGTCTTGCAAGTTGTATGGAAGCATTGCCACACAAGGGTATATTATGTGGCTCACATTTGCTGACAAACATTCTCACGAGCATGTGATAGAGGATGGGATTCTAGGACTTGTCAAAACAGTGATGTCTTTCTTTGCATTCTTAATTAGGATAATTTTTTCAAAAGTTCAAAATTACCGTAGAAGTTACCATTGTTATACAGATGTTATGTAATGGTGATGCAACAACTGCTTGTCATGAACAGATTTGTACACTATGGGATATTGTCGTTTGTCCGTTTCTGAAGGAAACGACAGAAGCAGATGGGACGGAGGTATCCGTTGGTGCTAGCCCAAGTCCAGAGAAGGCAGAGGTAACGAAGCTGTACAGTCGAAAAGTCGTCGTCCCTTGTCCATGTTGGTGTCTTTCTGTTTATCTTGTTTTTGCACCCTATTTTTTCACCTCTCATGGATGTGTATTTTGGTCAACCGCAAACGAGGCATTTCGGATGCAGCAAAGGCAGGTGCACTCAGGTTGCACATTACAACTGACCTTTTGCTAAATCACCCAAGCACCAAGGTTTCAAACTGTGCTAGCATCTGCGGCCGCAACCGGTCTAAAACAAATAGAACTTTGCACGTGCGTTCGTCAACAACTTGTGTTGCGAATATTTTATACTGGTAAGACAAACACAGGCAGAGCGCGTAGGTACGCTCCCAGTATTCTCCTCGGTGCTCGGGTAATTTGGTGAAAGTTCTATTGGATGTATACAAGCTGCATGTTGGTGGGGTATGGTCAAACACCTGACAGCAGCCGGGTAAGGTTAAGCACATGGCTGTTGCTTTTTCCACTGATATGGTTTCATGATGTAAATGGCCAGAAACTGAACCAGAGAGATGGCAAGTACCGGGTGTTTGTGAGAAAAGAGTATGGTATTTGTCTCACTGCAAAAATAAACTACTGTAAAACTCAGAGTAAGCGCCCCCACCCAAGCAAGAGCCCCCCCCCCCCTACTTCACCGCTAATATCACATTTCCGTGCCATTCCGAGAAAGCACCCTCCTCCCCGCTCCGCACCCTTATCACACACTATGCCCAGGCAACACTGGCCTGCCAAATCCAGTCCAAGAATCCAATCTAATCCAATCCTACTTTGCCGCCCGGTCGCCTGTGCCATTGTCGCTTTGTTTTGGCGGTGTCAGGTCGGCTATGCATTCTTACACAGTGGCAAAAAAAATTGAAGTCGTCTAATGACATCGTGAAAACGGGAGAAATGTACACCAGATGTCTCGACACTTCAAGCTCGACCAGATACGGGAATGGGACAAGAATTTTGACAATTTGCTACAGAAAAACTACGGGAAAGCCAAACTTCGACAAAAGCTAAATAATGGCACTCCGGTGTTCAGTGAATACATGGACAACGCGCTCTGAATACCTGGAGCGCGAAGGAAGTGCAAGATGAGCTGTTAGCAACCGGCTTCTTTCTGAAGAGGCTGTCGAAATAGCCAACAGCATGCAGTTGGGAAACATTGTGGGATGCTGCGAACGTTTTCTTGCGACTGACTCTGAGGAGTCTTTTGGTGGTTTTGAAAGTGATTAGCACAGCAGTGACAAATCTTCCCAAAAATAAATAAAATATTATATCCATGTGTACCGCGCTTTTTTTTTTTCTGGCAGAGGAATTTTGTCATCGCCATCTTGAATTTTGGTGCTGTTTTGGGATAGCCCCCCTCCCCCCACCCCCCTTTGCAGGTAATTTTGACTTGCGTGGGGGGGGGGTGCTTGCTCGGAAGTTTACGGTATGTATCACTGTACACTATCTGCCCAAACGTAAAGTTTCAAAGCTTGGCGTTATGGGATGCAAAATTTTTAAGGTAGTTTCGGATATCCTCACCGAGGAAGGGGGGGAGGGGGTGACATCGATGCCTAGGAATACATGGAGTTGAAAAGCGTCTGCTACTAGGAACTGGCCCCATTTTTCCAATTAAAATGTTAGAAAAAATGTCATTAACTTTCGAATTAGATAACGCCAAGTTCTGGCACTTTGGCATCGGCCCCAACTGCTAGCTCTACACTTGGGCAGAGACTGAACGGTCGGCAATCCATAGTTTAGTTTCGTGGTGAGAAAAACACTGTTTTTTTGACTGTCCGATACACCCGGTACATCTTGCAGTGTATCCTATGTCCAAGACTCGGTTCCTAATGTGATCACTTGGCAGTACAGCAAGCCCACAGGAAAGAGCTATTTGTAAATCTTTAGAAGAGAAGACATTTTGCAGACAACGTGAAAATGTTGAGACTTTCAAGTACTTATTTGAATTATAATATACAGTCAAACCTCGATGTAACAAACTTCTATGTAACGAAACCCCCGATGTAATGAAGTACATAATTTTTTCTAACCGCAAGTGTATGCATGCCATGTATTTTTGACCTCTATGTAACGAAGTACCGTTTGCCGAAATTTCGATGTAACAAAGTTTCATGGACAATTCGTCACAAACTTTTGGGTCGCCAAGGAGATTTCGGAAAGCACATGCGCTGAAACGGGCCCTGATAAAGCGCAAAAGGTGAAACTGGCCGAATCTGGCGAGTGTGGTGTACAGAACGGCCACTAGAAGACACTAGAGCCGCCGCCGTTTCGTCCGTTGGCTCCGTTCGCGCTGCGTAGTTCGTTTCGAGGCCTAACTAAAATGTGCGTTTCTCATCCTGAGTGATGGAGCTTTAACTTTGAAGGCGATGGAGCCGCCCCCGACAACGTCGACCTCGACAACTTTCTATAAGCCGACACTGCTGTCATTTCGACGAGGAAGTGACCAACGAGGCGATAGCTAGCGATGTTCGTGGCAACCCGAAGACGGGGACGACTTCGAGCCTGATGAGCAAGACACCTGCGATGTGAACAGTAACCGTGAAGTGGTGGACGCGATCGATGTCTTGAGGCGGTTCGCGAGCACACAGCAAGAGGAAGACGCGATGCAGGCCGTCTGGCAATGCGAACGTCGCGTGATGCCAATAATGATGCCAAGAGTGGCCCAGATAAAGGTGACGGCCTACTTTCAACCGAAATAAAGGTGCCCTTGGTGAGTTGTGTGCACTCAAGAAACATTTGTGGCAACTTTCTTTACCGTTATCCCCAAATTTCTATGTAGCGAAATTTCAATTTAACGAAGTAAATTCCGAATTTTACCGGCTTCATTACATCGAGGTTTGACTGTATTATACATGAATTAACTTGCAGAACAAATGGTACTAAGTTGCTTTATCAATTTGTTTCTCTCCAATAAGTTGCTAGTGCACATCAAAGCTGAGACCCGTCAAGACTGTATGCTAAGCACTGGATAGCTAAAGCTTAAAGTCGTTTCATAGCCCTTTCACAGTTCAACTAAAAGATTTTTACAGCGGAGTTGTTGTGGGCTAGTTTCCCCGGGATCGTGCCCGGTACCAAACAAATGTCGACACCCATGGCTGACAACACTCTGGTTGCCGCCGTCGCTCATAGATGACGGTAGCTGTCCAGAATGTTGTGTTTGTTGGTTGTCTGCTTGCTGCCGTCGCTCGTAGATCGTGGCAACATTTTTTCGGAGGAAGAAGATAGGGAACGGAACGAGCGGCGATGTGCACAGCAGTGCGAACGGTTTTGCAATCGCCGCGAGGCCGCTAGCGCCTGAAGTTTCACTGCGTCGAGCGCTTCAGATTCCCTGGCGAAAGAAGAGCAGATCGCTCGCCTGGAAAGCCACCGCCGAGAACAGAAGCTACAGCTCCGCTGCTCTTCCTTCTGCACCAAAGTGGAAAGGCTGAAAGTTTTTTGTTTTGTTTCTTAAATTTTAGTTGTCAATCTTTAGTTTTAGCTGTCAGCCCTCCGGCTGTCAGTGTAATCCTGAGGTCTGAGCTTTGCCCTGGTTTGGAAGCTACTTGAGGAAATATTCTATTGGACACGATTCTTTCAACGCAGGCAAGAAGAGAAGAGCGGACGCCCTGTAATTTAGATGTAACAATTGCAAGTTTTTGCGGTACAACGGCTACTTGATCTAGTAATCCTGTTAACCCCTTAACCGTTTTGGACGAGCCTGGCTCGTCAACGTAGTGCTTTGCCCAAACCGTTCGGGACGAATATAGCTTGCCCACTTTGCCGATTCACGCATTCAACCATTCTGGACAATCCAGGCTCGCTCATGGTTAAGTTTGCGACTCTGGCGACAGACGACAGGACTGTTTTTGTTGTTTTAATTTTTTCCCCATTATGTTTGTGAAAAGAAATTTTATCTGTACGGCAAGAAATTGTAACTCGAAGACAACAATAGACCCTTCTCAAAAGTTCATTGAGCAACATTGGTGGTCGTCATTTCTAGGGCATGAGGTGCATGATTGGATCAAAGTCAACGCCGAATGCAGCCCTCATGTCCAATACATGCTCAGAGTATGTGATCAAGCAATGGCGGGCAGGCGATGGTGCAGACCTTTGGAAAGAGTCTGCAGTTAAGGGTCAGAAATGACGAAAACTAGAAGTGGTTAAGGGGTTACTATAATAGCAAGGGGCATATATGTCGCAATGAAACGAAAAGTTTTTTATTTTTATTTTTTTATTCTTTTGGGGATGTATGTTTCCTGTTTTTGGGCGTCTGGCCGTGCACAAAGTGTTTGAGACGCACGAAACGATTGTGGGAGCTGACTGCGACGCCTCTGACAGGAGGCCACCCCAGCAGCCAAGCCCAGTGCCACCCCCTCCAAGGCTGCCGAGGGTAAGGTGCCCGTCAAGACCCCCGAGGGCAAAGCGTCAACCGCCAAGACTCCTCCGGCTGCCAAGACCCCTCAGCCTGGACAGAAGGGACCGTCCAGGCCCGCCAGCGAGGCCAGCGCCAAGTCCGACAGCAGGAGGGAGCAGGAGTCCAAGTAAGGCTGGGCCTTTCCGCACATGTCTGTGTTTTTTGGTGTTTTGTTCCACTTGACTTGCGAGTTCTAACGTAAATGTGTTATCTATAATGCTCCATTAGAGTGACAAAGCGAAACAACCAACATTGACAAGCCGTAAACATGCGCATCATGTAAGCGAGGGCATCTCTGGCAGACTTGCAATCACTTGTGCTTGCTGCAGAGCACCGAGAGACCGCAGGTTTGGCAAAGATACCATCGTGTGCATGCTGCGCGTGTGTGAGGCTTGTCGGTTGTTTCTGGTTGTCGCTCTAGTGAGACTCCGGCATAAAAAGAGATGTTTTTCTTTTCCAGATTTTTTATTATCAAAGATTGGTGTATTTTAGTAGTTTGTTTTGCACAGACTCTAAAAACAGTGATTATGAGTGAAAAAGTTTTGTGAAAAACTTAGAGTTGAAGGCTTCAATGAAAACGGTCCTAACTGGAGCAAAAGGTTCCAGACAGTGCTATTTTTTTTTTCATTTTTTGCTCATGTCATATTTTTCACACCAGTAGATGTTTATCAGTTTTCTATTTTTTCACCGACAGATTCTTTATTGGTGTTTTTCGGTTGAACCAGAAAGTTTGCAGCCACATTTTGTGCGTCTGAGTTCCGCAACTGCGCTATTGGGCAAATGTGGCGGTCTAATACAGGTCGTACCGTGCCATGTGCCAGCTCTACGCACAACGCTGGGGCATTAGCAAGCAGGTATTGGACTCAAAATTGGTTCCCCCGCTTCTTATCTTCCACGTTTCGAACCTGCAGCGATGGATTTGCGTAAGCAAACTTCCAGAGGCTTGACTTTCTTTGAGGAAGCGATGAAAGGACTGCCTACTGTCCTTTCACAATGCTAATGAACATTGATAAATGCAGAATGTCTGGCTCACGCGGTTGCATAGGTCGCGTGCAGAGCATCGTGGGAACAAGCTGATACTACAGTTACGACAGAGTCACTGGGACAACTGTTTTATCGCACAAACCACCGACAACATGTAAACACGGAAGCCAGAAGAGACGAGCAGATATCGCGAAAGGACCTGTTCCGGACGGTTCAGTGTTTTCCCACTAGGTGTCGTTCGTTTTGTTGGAGTCGCGAATATCGGATATTATCGGGACATGCTTAAATTTACAGCTTAGCTTGCCGATAGATGCCACGGTGTCATTGGTGTGCCGGCGACTTCAGTTGCTCTTTCATCGGGCCTTCTGAAAAATACTGTTTTTATTTGATAGAAGCTACGGCGGGGGAAAGCTTATGCCATTCATTCAGGTAAAAAGGAAGCTTTTTTCGTCCTAAACAATGAAGGTTAGCACCGTCCATTCCGTTTACATTATCTCACATTTTTTTAATGCAAAATTGCGCCGACATTTGTTTTGTAACTTCGTATCAGACAAGCTCGGAGGAATATCTGAGGTCTTCCTCCCACCTCGTCCACTCTCCAAGTCTTGGGAAATCATAACCATCCCAGCCACCACGGAAGAAAATAAATTCCCGGCTACGCAACTTCATACGGATGCACACGCATTTTCTCTCGTGGGTTCAGCCGTTCTCTCGGCAAACCACAAAGGTTTTGATGTTGCGTTGGCACCCTCCTGTCTGAATGATTTCTCCGATGCGTGACCAGGTGTGAACTAAGGCATCTTGAAGTCTATAGATGACCTCTGATGGGCTGTTTTGTCTATGCAGGGGTTACCAGAAGAAGGGCAGCCAGCGTGGCAAGGGCTGGTGCACCGTCTGCGAGCTCCACTTTGTCGGCAGCTTCCTGGACCACAGGAGGGCAGAGGACCACAAGGTGCGGAGCTGCTCAGAGTCTTTCCAACGCTCGACGAGAGCCTTGCAGAGTGTGTCGAGGAAGAGAATCTGGAGGGCCCCTTTATTACTCACACTTTCTGAATTGGATGTAAAATATTTCAGACTTGATTTCAATATTTTAAGCACTCACACACCCTTGACTCTAAAGAAGCTCTACAGATGCTATTGGAAGAGGAAATTGGGTATGATCATTGCACCAAGGGGAAGCTTGGTGCCACTGCTCCGAAATTCTCTGACAAAGGAGTGGCCTCCAAAACAGAAATAGTCCATGAAGATTTTTTGAACACGCTCGCCTGCTTGGGTCTGTGTGCAGAACACTCCTCGTTGAAACGAACTGCAGTGAAGCACTAACACGAGTTTGTGGAAAAGTTAATTTTTTTTCTTAATGTGAAACATTTTTTGGCTAGTTCCGGATTTCGTAAAACCAGATTAAGTTTCTCTGCTAGATTTAATGGGAAAATTGACGTCACAACTTCGTGTCACATGACCTCTGCACAAATTCAATTTCTTCGCTAGATTTAGCAGGAAAATGGACATCACGTGACCTCAATGCCAGTTCAATTTCCCCGCTAGATGTAGCAGGAAAATTGACGTCACGTGACCTCGACATGAATTCAGTTTCTCCGCTAAATATAGGCGAAAAAATGATGCCACATGGCTTCATGTCACATAACGTATACACAAATTCAGTTTCCCTGCTGAAATTAGCAGAAAAATTGATGTCACGCGACCTGTTTTTACAGCGGAGCTGTTAAGGGCTGGTTTCCCCTGGATCGTGTCTGGTACCAAACAAATGTCGACACTCGTGATCGACACAACACTCTGGTTGCCGCCTTCGCCCATAGATGGCGGTACAGTAGAACCCGTTTATAACGAACTGCATAAAACGCTACGTCTAGTTCGATATATCAAGTAGTTCGTTATGGAGATATTCGCGTATAACGAATTTCTACGATATGTTCGTTATACACGGGTTTATGGACATCGAACAGCAAGAAAACGCGATGCCACTTACTGTTCAAGAAATCCATTTATTGGGAACAATCTATTCACAGTAGGCAGTAATCTTCGCTTGGGTTTTTGACTTGGCAGCATCCATAAGAATGGCGTTCTCGACACGTGACACTGCTTGTACGAACTCCAGTCCGCTTCCCTCGATGTCGGAGCACTAGCGACGGAGCACGTCCACCGCTGAAAGTGCCTCGTGAAGCGTCGGACGAGGTGGACCTTCATCTTCAGAATCCTCTGCTTCCTCGCAGTCACCAATGGCAGCAGCTGCCGCCACATCCGCAATGATCTCTGTGTCCGAAGGGCTTGCAGCCACAGCAACGTCGTCGCCGGCCGTCAAAAAATCTTCGAGGTCGACTCCCTCGGGCAACGCATCAGGGAGGCTACCAAGTTCCTGCCAGAGGACTCCTATGTCATCGTTCTCTTGCACTGGGCCCGATGTTTCGCCGTTTTCCACGCCGAGTCCAGCGTGCCGGAAGCAATTGCGAATTGTGTCGCTCGTGACATCACACCAGGCGCGGCTCAGCATCTGGATCGCGCCCAGCAAGTCGATCTTCAGCTCTCCGCCGACGCGCATCTTGACGAGAAGTTGCTCCACAAGACGCTTTCGGTAGCCCTGTTTGAAAGCACGGATGATGCCCTGGTCAAGTGGTTGGAGCACTGCCGTTGCGTTGGGCGGCAGGAAACACAGCTCGATGTTCTTGAGCGATACACCGCAGTGGTGAGCGGAACAATTGTCGAGCAGTAGGCAAACCTTGCGCCCACTTGATGTTAATTCTTCGTCCCAGTCGCGGAGCCACGTCTCGAACAACACCCTGGTCATCCACGCCTTCTTGTTAAAGGTGTATGTTACGGGTAGGGGGCCGCATCCTCGCAAACATATAGGCGACTTGAACTTGCCAATGACTAGCGGGCGCAGTTTCGATGATCCGTCCATGTTGGTCGTCAAAAGGATCGTGACGCGAACCTTGCTCAGCTTTCCACCATGGCAGTCCTCATTTCGGAGCGCCAAGGTCCTGCTTGGAAGCAGCTGCCAAAATAACGCAGTCTCGTCCGTGTTAAAAATGTCACATGGCTTGTACTTCTCAATAATTGCCGGCCAGTTGTCATCAATCCACTTCTTGACGCCTTCCGTATCGACGGAATACCTCTCGCCAGCCACGACTTTTCCAACAATCGAGTAGCGGTCCTTAAACCGTTGCAGCCATCCAGTGCCTCCGGTGAAACCTTCAACCCCCAGGACGAAAGCGAAATCTTTCGCCTTGCTCTGCAGCATGGGACCAGAGACGGGTAGGTTCCGCGCGCAAATGTCCAGGAACCATTGGTAGAGAGCCTTCTCCACAGCGTCGTAGGCCGGTTTCCGGATGCGTTTGCTGTCGGCGTTCGGCCGTTCGCGGGCTTGGTTCTTGATCGTCGCCTTATTCTTTAGTATCGTGCTCAACGTGCTTCTGGCGATCTTGAAGGTTGCAGCCACGTCCGATTTTTTCTCGCCGCGCTCGACACGGCGAATAATGTCCACCTTGTCAGAAAGCGGCAGCGCTTGCCGCTGCTTTGTCGTCATTATTCTAGCGGACTGCACGCACTGCCAACCGCAACAAAACAGAAATGGCGAAGACTGCCAACGGCAACGACATGCTTGCGAAAGGACATGCGATAGGCGCGATAGGACCCGTAGCCCCAGATGTGAGAAGGATGGCAAGGTTACGACGTTCTCCAACTCTCCGACAGATGGCGTTACGGCCGCGTCGCGGTTGTGCGGAGTACGTGGAGTCGCGCGTTGATCGTCAGCTCCGTTCGCTTGCTGCCCAAGGTCGAAGAAAGCTGGCTTCCTTTTTCTCTTTCCCTCGTTCGTTCATGCGAGGCACGGAGCGGGCGAACCGGTTCTGCATTGCGAGGAAGCCAGACTCCGCGGGCGCCCGGAGCCGCTCCTTTTTTCGGGTATTCGCGAGCGCTGGGAATTCGATATATCCAATGTGCGGTTCGTTATGCGAGATATATTTTGCATAGATAGTGATCAGAGAATTCTGTGTGTTCGATATAAGGAATAATTCGCTGTATCCGAGTTCATTATAATCGGGTTTGACTGTAGCTGTCGAGAGTGTCGTGTTTGCCGGTTGTCTGCTTGCCGCCGTTGCTCATAGATCGTGGCAACCTTTCCAACCTCGGTAACCAGACAACTGGTTGCTGACGTCGCTCGTAGATGGTGGCAACGTTTCTTCAGTGGAAGAAGAGCGGGAACGGAACGAGCGGCGATGCGCGCAGTAGTGCGAATGGTTCCGCAACCGAGCCTTCGCCTAAAGTTTCACTGTGTCGAGCGCTTCAGATTCCCCTGCGAATGTAGAGCAAATCGCTCGCCCAAGAAGCCATTGCAAAGAACGGAAGCTACAGCTCCGCTGCCCTTCCTTCTTCACCAGAGTGGAAAGGCTGAAAGATCTTACTTGACCTATACACAAAATCAGTTTCCGGCTCGATTTAGCAGGAAAATTGACGTCGCGTGACCTGAATGCCAATTCAAATTCCCCACTAAATTTAGTGGTGGAAGTGATGTCTCATGACTTCATGTCATGTGATATCAAGCCGGATTCAGTTTTCTTGCTAGATTTCGCGGGAAAATTTGCGTCACGTGACCTGATGTCACATGACCTATGCCCGATTCGGCTTCCCTGCCAAATTTAACGGGAAATTTACATTACGTGACATCGATTGCATATACCTGCAGTTACGAGTTTTAGCTGCCGCTAAACGCTTATGATGCTAGAAAGTTTCACATGTCCAACAGAATTTGCCATACATTTTTTTCCTTGACTGCCACGTTCACCCGTAAGGTCTTTGCCACCTACGGCTGAAAATGCCTTAAAGTTCCGAAGGGACGCCCACCAAAAATGAAGAGATAAATTGTGAAAAACGGGGGGTGGGCTATCTTTTGGAATGCCGCAGCAAAACTTTATTAAAAATTAATAATAAACACTGGGGCACCAGTACAAACCACACGATGCGGGAACTGATACTCCAGATCGTGAACACCGCAAATTCGCGTTTGACGATCTGATAAACACACGGGAATTCGCTACGAACTCCTGTGTCACGGTAGGGTCTTGCCGGCTGCGGACGCAGCAAATTCGCGTTTTACCGTGCAAAGGACCAGCGGAAACCCGTTAAGAACTCGCATCTTACAGGAACGAATACCACAAATGGCGGATGCAGCAGATTCAAGTTTCATGGTGCAATAAACACGCAGGAAAACATCACAAACTTGCCTGTCACGGAAACTGATATCGCACGCAGATCGCGGACAAAAATGCGCCGCTACATTGTACTGATACAGTAGACTCATTAATTCAAACTCCAGGAAGTCACAGATTTTAGTTTGAATTATCAGAAATTCATCTAAATATGATACTAGACAACATTATGATTTGTTACATGGATAGCTACACATACAAAGCAGATTTTTGCGTTTCCTCTACATAGGCCTAATTATAAGCAAGTACAGACATAACACATTGGTGAAAGAACTGTGACGTTAAGTTTATTCATTTGACAAAAAAGTCGGCGATTGTGGACTGTTTAGTCAGTACATGAGATCTCAAAACAAAATTTTCAATACCAGCCAACGCCAGTAGCTCTTTACGGGACTCTTCCTTTGCATACAGAAACTTCTGGAGCTGAGCGATGTGCTCAAAGGCCTCTGCGGCTGTGACAGTTGGTAGTGGGTCATCCCTTTCTTCATCATCCCCTTCACCCTCACTGCTGCACTGTGCAGGCATTACTTCGTCATGTCCTCTAATGAGTCATCACGACAAACACACACATCGTCGTCAAGACTAGCATATTCCGCCAGCTCGGCGTTTACATTATGTGCTTCAAGGCCAGAAAGCATGATGCCAGTGAGCTGTTCCTTATCCTCGATGTCGTCTTGGTCATAATTGCTAGTCTTGAAGCATATAATGTGAACGCCGTTTTCCGCTAATGTGTGCCTTCTTGAGCCCCGTTGAGTGTGCTTCTTTCCGAGCACCGGTGCACTGCGAAGAAGTAACCTCGCAAAAACAAGCTCTGCGGGTATTGCTTCTCTGCGGTGCACCGGTGCTCGGAAAGAAGCGCACTCAACGGGGCCGCGAGAACAAAAAAGTATGAATTAAGCGAAAACACCGTTCGAATTAAGCGGCTTATAAATACATTAAAAACATAGCAGGACAACCAAAATTTTCAGATCTGTATGAATTAACCGGAAGTACGAAATATCTGAGTTTGAATTATCGCGAGCCTACTGTATTTCACGGGAATGAATACTGCAAATCGTAGATGCAGCAGAATTATATTTCACAATGCAATACAGTAGCACCTCGTTGATACCATTCCCGGTTCATACGTTCACGAGTGAGGGTACGGGAAACGTCCCATAGAGCTGTGCTGTTTTTCTTCCGGTTTCTACGTTCCCGGTTAACACGATTTCCCGGAAAGTACGCTCAACATTCTGCCAAATGTCGATTGGATTACACAATTTTTTGGCAATCAGCGTTGCACTCGCTTGTTCGGAGCTTCGAACTTCCGGTCTCTACGAACGAGCGTCGGGGCAGCCGTCCTCAAGGGCATACAACACGGCGCATGCGTGCGGAGCCGCTGCGTTTATTGTTCTCCGCTACTTCCGAGAGCCGTCAGGGTGCACAAGGGCGTTTTGATTGGAACTGTAGAACACACAGCGTGGTTTTACTGTCTTAGCTGATTATTCGATTAGTCAAAGAATCTTTCCCATGAAGTAATAACAAAGGATTCCAAGTACATACTTTATGTTTCTCGATCACAACTCCAGCAGCTTGGGCACAAACCTCGGCACTCTTCGCCAGCATTGTTGGCGGTTGGCATCCGCACCGCTTCGTCGCCGTACTAACTGCTCGGAACAACAGCACGTCCATCTGATGCTGTCACTCATTTTCCTCTCGTCAAGTGCTATTGCTGGTGAAAGTGGTATGAATGCTGTCGTAACGAGCAACCCAGCAACCAAAGCAGCAGCGTAAAAATCTAAACCCAAATGCAGCTGTCTACCGATCTAGCTTCGCCCGTGCGAGCACGTGTTCACTTCAGTTGTCAGCACCGGAGCGCTTGTTCAAGCGTTTCCAAAGTAGACACGTGATTATGTGTCACTCTCGGTAACTCCAGCAAGTACTTTGAGGCATTATTCGGAGGGTTGAAAGCACTGATTGCAAGAGTGCGCAGGAGTAACTCTAGACTACGACATACAAGCGAGTAGTAGCGGTAGTAGTAAAGGAACAAATCTGTCATTTCTTTATTTATCTCTTTGGGTTGGCTCAGCTCCGGTTACTTTATCAAGTTTCGCCAACACTTTGGCAGCTTTGGTTTTGCATTCCGCCCCAAACCCGTGCCATCTCATTTAGCCATTTTTCCTGTCTCGTGTAGGCTTGTTTCATTCTGCGATGGCGTCGTTTTCACGACGCCGTCGCAGAGCAGCTTGTTTTTGAACTACCGTGTAAACCGGAATATAGGTCGAATTATTTTTTCAAAATGAACCTGAAAAAGTTGATAGTCGTCTTATGTAACGGTCGTTAGCGGAAAAACAAAAATAATCTCGCAACACTGGGTGGCTGTAGCCGCCATCTTGTTTTTTCTTTGCAATCGCCTAGCGCTCATCCACTTGTCAAAACGGTGACGATTGACTTTCACTTGTGCTCCTTGTTTTGTTACATCTACCGTTGCCGCTCCCGGAGTGATAATGAGCGGAAGTAGAAGACAGTTCACAGTAGCCTTCAACAAGAAGGCAATTGCCTATGCAGAGATCCACGGGAATCTTGCAGTTCAGCGAGAGTTCGAGGTATCAGAGAAGAACATATGCTACTGGCGAGGCCAGAGACAAAAATTGGCAGCGTGCAACAAGGCGAAGAAAACTTCATGCGTGTACCCGAAATTGGAAACAATGGTGGCAAATTTTATTCGGAATCTGCGCGCCAGATCGCTACCTGTGACGTTAGAGTGAATCCGTACGGAAGCCGTTGAGGTCACTTGTGCTTCCGAGCTCTTGGGGGCGCAATTTAAAGGGACGTCATCGTCCCTTTGGATTGCGTTAGTGAACTCATCGTCGGACAAAGGTTCTGAAGAATCTGAGTAGTAACGATGGCGCACTTCCTGTTTTATCACGTGGGAAGTAATTGAATTACAGGAGCCGATATCGCGCGCGCAGATCGCGGACAAAACGCGGGAACTTACTATAAACTCTCTTATCAGACGTACGGGTACAGCAGATCGCGCGGCAAATGCAATTCCCATCGGATATTCACGAAGTTCGACGGGAATAGGGAGTTGGGCGATGTTTCAGAATTTTATGATACAGATATTTTAACCAGAACAACTGGATGGGCGATCTTTTGGGGGCGGGCATTCTCTCGGACCATTACGGTATGTTTTTCTCCTGTAAGGCCTTTGCTGTACACAACTCAAATTAATTTCTTTCCTGCCCATATAATTGAGGACAGTTGATTCATGCAATTTGTGAATTGAATGTCTGGTGCTTACTTTGCCATTGTGTGGCACCCCCTCACTGTGTGGCTGTTGTGCAGATCAAAAGAGACGAAAAGTACCCCAAGTGCCACCCCTGCAGCATGGGTTTCAACAACAAAAAGCAGTTCGAACTGCACTGTGCTGGAGACTTCCATCGTAAGGTGAGCGCGGCCAGCTGATTTTCCTGTCCTCTATCCTTTGCCTTAACTTAATCTGAAAGAAAATTGCCTTATTTTTATTTTGCTTCTCCAGAACGTGGAGGTGCTTGATAACGAAGTCGACGAGACTGCTGGACCGCTAGGTGAGCGAGGCTGTTCTCCTTGTTCTCTTTCTCGACTTGCTCGGTGGTACAGCTGCACCGAGAAAAAGAAGTCTCGACAAAAGAAGCGTTTTGGGAAGCATGGCTCCTCGGGAGCATTTGTAACTTGTTCCTTAATGCTTCACACAACATTGAGTTTGTTTGAAAGTTGAAGCATGAAATCTGAGTGATCGCAATGGACCTTTGGTCCCATTGTATTATTTACACACACGATTTTGATTACTAGGGTGATCTACGAATGATACTGCCTCATTGCTCCATTGACAGTTCCTTTTGCTTTAAGCAAGCATGTCCTGCTTGCTCAAAGCATGAGGCATGCTTTGAGCAAGTATGCCTCACTGCTCCATCAACAGTTCCTTTTGCTTTGAGCAAGCATATCCTGATTTAGTGGATGTCACATCAAATTATAATTGGGGAGTCACGTCGACGCGTTTAATGAACCTTCTCTTTGTAAGACGGTCCGTTAGCCTGTGGTGATGGAATTAATCTGATGGATTGATGAAAGGGTTGCCAACTGAAGCACAATTTTGTTTTTCAGGAGAGGAGTATCTGGAGGAAGCTGCTGCATTCTTCTGCACCCTGTGCAAGTTGTTGCTCAAGGCCGACATGAAGACGATGCATTGCCGCACCCAGGGCCACTACCGCAGACACAGGGTGAGATGGTGTTTCAGTGATCACCGATCTCGTAGAGATAACATCTGTCAGCACATTGTTGTGTCCAGGGATATAAAAGCAATTGTGAAAAATTTCTGTTAGTGGAGAATATTGAGAAAAACCTGAAGAGGTTTTTGAATTTCTAAAAAAACTATAAATAAGTGTAGGCACCTTGAAAATTGTTTGTGTAAAGTTTTTTGTTTGTTTTATTTACTAGAAATGATCTAATGGGCAATTCGTTTTGTGGAAGCTCCGTCTGCGGGGGCATGCATAGAGCAAGAAAGCTACCGGTAGTTACTTAACCGGCTGCGTCGGATGGCCCTTGCTTTCCTCTAAGCTGACTCAAAGAGGCCAATGATGATGTCGCAATGCCTTTGACCGATAACAGGCAGCAGAGGCTTGTCGCGAACACTGCAGCAATTGCTGCTCATTTTTTTGTAGATAAATGCGGTCTGTGTTTGCTTCTGCCAAACTTGTGTGCGGTAATAGACCGTTTCCGCAATTTAGTCTGGCCACATTGGGCCTTCTGGTAACTGATGATGGAAGAAGTTGAAAATGCTCCGAAGTGGATGATGTGAGGTCTATACATTCGAAACGGTAGTACAACGCGATGCCGGAATAGAATATGAGAGCTACGTAAGCATCCATATCTAAGTCGGGTCCAGTCCATCAGTTGGCAGGACATAATTGGCTTTACAGTCCCTCGGTGTATTAAATTTTATAACGGCTTCAATGTGGGTCGGTGCATCGTCCTTACAGATTGTATATTTTTCACCATTGAAGCTGAGAGATGCAGAAAGAATTGTAAGGTAAAAAACACATTCTCGACTGCTGTTGGCTAGGGAAAGTGATGGTGCCCGGCAATATACTGCAGACTGCAGGGCATTAACCACCGCCATTAGTACGGTAAAAGATAAACTGCTGTTTGAGCCACCAGATGGCACTGAATTTCTAAAATGGTCTGTTGAATTCAGGGGACGAAGAAAACGCTTAAAAAATCGGCTCATGCACTTTTTTTTTTATTTCAAAGTGTTTTGTTCCTTAACTACATATTGTCAATTGGGTGTGGTGAAGTTATTCCCCAGTCTTATTATGGCAAACATTAACTATCACTCCTGTAAACAAAAAGAAAGTATTGAAATTAATTAGCAGGGTGTCTATCAACGTGGAAAAGTCAGCGCAGTGTCAGGGAATCCAGAAAATCAGTTATGTCTGGGCGAGTGACTGACCTTGGTGGCACAGTGACACACAACAAAGCAAAGGGTGTGGCATACTATGGCTTGGATCACCTTCACGCCGAGTCACAGTTGGCTGAGGCATCACTAGACAGCAGCGTATGCCACTGCCCTTTTTACCGGATTAAATGGGAACACCCCAAACAGCTGCTGCAACCCCATCCTCCGCATTTTCTTCCTTTGTAGTGGTCAGAAAATTTATTTGAAATATTTGGGGGAGACCTGGGAAAGTTGGGAAATTTCTTAGACCAGTATCCAACAAGCTGCTGGGCTCACCGGTTGCCTTAACGTTGTCCATACGCCCACCAGGACCTGAAGCGCAAGGAGGAGGCAGCCCTGAAGGCCCAGCAGGCCAAGGAGGAGGCTGAGAAAAAGCAGAAGGAGGAAGAGGAGGAGGAGGACGTGAGCCAGATGGCCTTCACCATCACGGATGAGATTGTGAGCGACGACGAGGGCAAGGCCGACGCTGGTGCCCCGACAGACAAGGCCCCTGCCGCGGAGGCACCAGGTGAGGCGGCACTTTCGTTTGAGTCCGCCCTTTCCTACGCTGCGCTCTTTTGAGTCGCAGACCTTAACCCTTGAGTGCCACGCTACAGTATACTCGGGCACTTTCCCGTGTAGCTACGATTTGCTTCCTGCTCTTGCCAACTGGGCTGTCATTTAATTTAACTGCAGTGGCTTGTATGAGCAAGCGATGAAAAGGAGGTATTAATTTGTGGTGTCACTTTTTGATGGCATGCAATTTTTGTTTGTTTAGGTGACTTCCGTTTCGGTGTGCTCCTTTGTTGTTACAGAATGGCGAGTGTGTGTCTTTCAGCCTCGCAGTTTGTGGCAAACGCCGAAATCCAGGAGTTGCCAATAAACTCGGTATTCTGCAACTGAAAACGGGGAAGTTCCATCTCCGAATAAACGAAGGTCTAGTAAGGCCGCTCAGAACGGTGACTTCCGGGTGCAAGGTTGTGGTGCCGCTGCATGGTACCGTGTCTCGAAAAGTACAATACGAGAAATGTGTCGTGGATAGGAGGGATGTGGAATTTGATTAGTTTTTTTCCATAAAATAGTCTTTTTTTTTAATAGGCATTCTTCATGGAGAATGCTGCAGTGTTACAGAGTCCAAAATTCACATTTGGTATGTGGGAAAAAGAAACGTGGCACTCGTAGAGTGAACCCATTTCCTTCCAAAGCCGGCTTCTTCCGCCAATTCCAAAGTGTGAGGAGCCGGTGGATTGCCATCCTTCGGAAAATGCATTGTTTTTAAAAAGCCCCAGTAGATGGCGCATCCCTGTACTCTGGTTTCTTGTTGTTTTGTTTAGCGTCTTTTTCACACCATATGGATGTAGTTGTCCACTATTTCTGAGCTTGGTTGTTTATAAAAAGAAAACAAAGTTTGTAGGTAGCTTTTTTTTTTAATTTCGAGGCTAGTTTTTATTTGTGTGGCCCATACGCGGAGAAAAACAAAATGGTTTTGGATGTGCCTAAAAAAATTGATGTACTCGCTATCACTCGCAGTCAGTCGTCTTGACCGGCTTTATTTTAGTCTTGGTCGTTGTAATTCACAATATCCTCGGCGCTCGAATCTGACCGGCTTTAACAGTGGCCAGAATTGCTCTTTTGAGCCATCCAATAAGTGCCTTTTCAGGGTTCGTATTAGACATTTATTGCTTAGAATTTCATTAACTGTATTAATGAACAAGTCTTCAGCAAGAAAGTCGTAAACGTAGAAAAATGTTTGAACAGCAGTAGAGGCTTTAATACACGACGTTTCGGGAAGAGACTTCCCTTCTTCAAGTGTGCAGAAAATACAGTTGCAAAGCGCTTTTTTGGAGAGACCAAAGGAGAGGAGGAGCATTGGAAAAAGCGAAAGAAAAAAGTCATGTATAATAGTACAAGTAAAAACACTCGAGCGTGAAAAAAATACATTCCAACAAAACACATAAAAAAAAAAAAAAAAAAAAAAAAAAAAAAAAAAAAAAAAAAGAGATGTGGTAGTTTTAAGGGTAACATGGTCGCGGCACTCGTTAGCGAAACCAAGAAAATACATGAAAATACATCACAGGCAACGGCCTCCGTCACGTTAGAGTTAGAGCTCCAGATCCAGAAAAATAACAGCATACAGGGGTCAAGTCGAGTGAGCCCAAGCCAGTATAACGCCGAAGAAAACGAAGGTCATAAATAAGCCCGAAGTGTGTGTAAACGGACACCAGAAATGTCACACGCGGGTGGCACCGCTCAACAGAATACCGAGAAATACTCCTTAACACGCCTCCCAACTCAATCTCCCACCTCCCCGCAAAAAAAAAAAAAAAAAAAAAAAAAAAAGAAACAAACGGAAAGAGGAGGGAAGTTAGCGGGCGACGTCCCCACATCCCAATGTTTCTAGCTCTCCCCTCAAAGAGCTTTAGCTCTCCCCCGCTCTCCTCCGCGATGGGGGAGGTGGTTAGCCTGTAGTATACTAAAAACCAAAAACCTACAACAGCCTATATAAGTTTCCTTTTGAAATGTTCATACCAAGCGGGGTTAGTGTTTTAAATTTAGATATATAAAAGGGCTCTTTATTTTTGCGTGTAATATCATTTTTGAAACTGCTTTCCACGATGATAATTTTTAGGTGCGCATGAATGTCGTGGTCGTCGGAGTTAAAGTGTTTAGCTACTGGTGTTTGTCCTTTATTTACAATATCAGACTTATGGCCATAAAATCGCTCTTTCATAGAATTTTTAGTTTCTCCTACGTATTGCTTCTTACACAGCGTGCAGTTAATAATATATATCACGTCAGGGGTTTTGCAGTCGATATGCTGTTTAATATTTACGTAGAAATCTGATGCGTAGCTCGAAATTTTATCAGCGGTCGAAACGAACGGGCAAAGTTGGCAAGGAGTGTTGAGGCAAGGACCACAACCACCGCATGAATTGGGTTTTTTTATATACGAGGGACATAACATCCTCCCAAGATTCCGATGCTTACGAAATGTGACAAATGGTGATTCGGGAAATATTTTTTTAAGTTTATCGTCGGCATGTAGGATGTTTAAATGGCGCTTCAATATGGAATTCAGGCTTGATAGGTTCGAATAGTAGTTTATAACCAACGGAACCCTTGTTTCGTTGGAGTGAAGCTGTCGTGTGGATTCAAGGAGTGTGCTACGTTCCAGAGCGGATGCCTTTCTTGTGGCGTCGTCGAGAATAGAAGCAGGATATTTTCTTTTGAATAGTGTATTCTTCAAGGACGTTACGTTTTCCTTAAAGTTCGATTCTTCAGAACAGATTCTACGCAACCGGAGGAATTGGCTGTAAGGTATATTATTTTTTTGACATTTCGGGTGGTAGCTATCATAGCGTAGAACCTGACGTTTGTCTGTGGGCTTTCTGTACAACTCCGTTATCAAATGGCTTCCCATCTTTTTAACGTTAACGTCGAGAAAGTTCATAGAGTCTGATGAGTAATTACAGGTAAATTTAATTGTACGGTGGCAACCGTTGAGGTAACTTAGAAAAGAGAGGAGTGCATCTTCAGTGTCGTTCCAAATGATAAATATATCGTCAATATACCGAAGATATATCGCGGGAATCTTGGCGTAAGTCCACACAAAGGTCTCCTCAAACTTGCCCATAAAAATATTAGCGTAATTTGGGGACATTCTCGACCCCATGGCCGCGCCTTGAATTTGCAAATAATGATCATCATCAAACATAAAGTTATTGCAGTCTAAAATTAATTCCAATAATCGCAGAATACAGCTACTGTCTGCGAGAGACGAAGGGTGGAGGAAAAGGAATTCCTCCACGGCTGCCAGTCCCTCATTATGTGGGATGTTAGTGTACAAAGAGCTCACATCGATAGTGACCAGAATGCTCTCCTGTGATATTAAGCCGGATCCGTTCATATGGTCGATACGATTAAGAAAGTGCGTGGTGTCCTTTACGTAGGATTGTAGGAGGGGGGGTATATGTTTAATAGCGTGGTCTACAAATTCTGAAATTCGTTCGGTCGGTGTGCCTATGCCTGATATAATGGGCCTCCCTGGATTGTTGGGCTTGTGAACCTTGATGAGCATATAGAAGACACCTGGATGAGCGTTTTTTGACTGAAGGTAATTATATTGATCGCCGTTAATTTTATTGGAATTACGTAGATCTTCAAGTGTTTTGTTAATTATAATACTAAACCGCTGGGTAGGATCGTCAGGTAGACGTAGATAAAAATTTGGGTTTTCAAGCTGGGTCAATGCCTCCCGCATGTAGTCGGCCCTGTTCATAATTACAACACCGCCACCCTTATCCGCAGGACGAATAATGACGTCCTCCCTAGACTTCAAATTATTAAGGACCTGTTGCTCACGTCTAGACAAATTACCCCTCTGTGGGGTAGTTTTAGCAAGCGAATCAAAAATATCATTCCGTATAGCTTGTACATAATTATCTATGTACACACTGGTCTTGCTTGAGTCCGGGGTCCAGTGTGACTTCAACTTGAAATTTGGTGTTGTGCTATCAAGACCCCTAGTTTCATTGCATCCCTCTTTTCCATTAAAATACGTTTGAAGGTGTAACCGCCGGGAGAACTGCTGTAGATCATCTAAAAGTTCAAATTCTTTTGCTGCCTGTGGGGTGGGTACGAAACTTAAGCCTCTAGATAAAACTGAACACTCCGTAGAGGTCAGGGGAGTGTCAGATAGGTTAATTACTGCACAGTCGCTTGTTTCATTAGAACTACCAGCCACATCTGACACACTGTTTAGGGAAGGCAATATATTATCGTTGTTAACCTTTGACAGGGAAAGGCCATCACGGTGCGCTTTTTTTGCCTTATCAATTTTCAACTCATCAAGCTTTTTATCTGCAAATACGTTAAGGTCACTCATCTCCTCCTCGGTTAGTTCGGCAACGACAGTTTTTAGTTCAAGATCAAGATGTTTGATCACAGTTAGGCTCTCCTTAATTAGAATCTTTAAAAGTTGCATGGAAGTGGCCTCGAGAGTGTTGTCCCAGTTCTTGGTATTATCTGAATTTCTAAAATTGAACGACGGTTGTATAGAGAGGGCGAGTCCCTTTGGTATCACATTCTGATCAATGCAGTCCCTGTAGAAAGAATAATGCGAAACATACCTTAATTTCTTGTCTATAAGTTTCCGCACACGTAGAAACAAAGGGGTAAAAGTCTGGCCACCATATTGTCATCGTGCGAACTTGTGCGACTTGTTCTGCCGAATTCGGTGAGATCGGCGGGGGCCGTTGTGTCGAGGGTGGTGGGTCCCGTGAGGTACTCGGCTTCGGAGGCACAGGGGGAAGGTCAGTGGGCGTTGTGTTGGATTGAAGTAGTGTATCCATAATTAACAAAACACTTGAAGATCTACGTAATTCCAATAAAATTAACGGCGATCAATATAATTATCTTCAGTCAAAAAACGCTCATCCAGGTGTCTTCTATATGCTCATCAAGGTTCACAAGCCCAACAATCCAGGGAGGCCCATTATATCAGGCATAGGCACACCGACCGAACGAATTTCAGAATTTGTAGACCACGCTATTAAACATATACCCCCCCTCCTACAATCCTACGTAAAGGACACCACGCACTTTCTTAATCGTATCGACCATATGAACGGATCCGGCTTAATATCACAGGAGAGCATTCTGGTCACTATCGATGTGAGCTCTTTGTACACTAACATCCCACATAATGAGGGACTGGCAGCCGTGGAGGAATTCCTTTTCCTCCACCCTTCGTCTCTCGCAGACAGTAGCTGTATTCTGCGATTATTGGAATTAATTTTAGACTGCAATAACTTTATGTTTGATGATGATCATTATTTGCAAATTCAAGGCGCGGCCATGGGGTCGAGAATGTCCCCAAATTACGCTAATATTTTTATGGGCAAGTTTGAGGAGACCTTTGTGTGGACTTGCGCCAAGATTCCCGCGATATATCTTCGGTATATTGACGATATATTTATCATTTGGAACGACACTGAAGATGCACTCCTCTCTTTTCTAAGTTACCTCAACGGTTGCCACCGTACAATTAAATTTACCTGTAATTACTCATCAGACTCTATGAACTTTCTCGACGTTAACGTTAAAAAGATGGGAAGCCATTTGATAACGGAGTTGTACAGAAAGCCCACAGACAAACGTCAGGTTCTACGCTATGATAGCTACCACCCGAAATGTCAAAAAAATAATATACCTTACAGCCAATTCCTCCGGTTGCGTAGAATCTGTTCTGAAGAATCGAACTTTAAGGAAAACGTAACGTCCTTGAAGAATACACTATTCAAAAGAAAATATCCTGCTTCTATTCTCGACGACGCCACAAGAAAGGCATCCGCTCTGGAACGTAGCACACTCCTTGAATCCACACGACAGCTTCACTCCAACGAAACAAGGGTTCCGTTGGTTATAAACTACTATTCGAACCTATCAAGCCTGAATTCCATATTGAAGCGCCATTTAAACATCCTACATGCCGACGATAAACTTAAAAAAATATTTCCCGAATCACCATTTGTCACATTTCGTAAGCATCGGAATCTTGGGAGGATGTTATGTCCCTCGTATATAAAAAAACCCAATTCATGCGGTGGTTGTGGTCCTTGCCTCAACACTCCTTGCCAACTTTGCCCGTTCGTTTCGACCGCTGATAAAATTTCGAGCTACGCATCAGATTTCTACGTAAATATTAAACAGCATATCGACTGCAAAACCCCTGACGTGATATATATTATTAACTGCACGCTGTGTAAGAAGCAATACGTAGGAGAAACTAAAAATTCTATGAAAGAGCGATTTTATGGCCATAAGTCTGATATTGTAAATAAAGGACAAACACCAGTAGCTAAACACTTTAACTCCGACGACCACGACATTCATGCGCACCTAAAAATTATCATCGTGGAAAGCAGTTTCAAAAATGATATTACACGCAAAAATAAAGAGTCCTTTTATATATCTAAATTTAAAACACTAACCCCGCTTGGTATGAACATTTCAAAAGGAAACTTATATAGGCTGTTGTAGGTTTTTGGTTTTTAGTATACTACAGGCTAACCACCTCCCCCATCGCGGAGGAGAGCGGGGGAGAGCTAAAGCTCTTTGAGGGGAGAGCTAGAAACATTGGGATGTGGGGACGTCGCCCGCTAACTTCCCTCCTCTTTCCGTTTGTTTCTTTTTTTTTTTTTTTTTTTTTTGCGGGGAGGTGGGAGATTGAGTTGGGAGGCGTGTTAAGGAGTATTTCTCGGTATTCTGTTGAGCGGTGCCACCCGCGTGTGACATTTCTGGTGTCCGTTTACACACACTTCGGGCTTATTTATGACCTTCGTTTTCTTCGGCGTTATACTGGCTTGGGCTCACTCGACTTGACCCCTGTATGCTGTTATTTTTCTGGATCTGGAGCTCTAACTCTAACGTGACGGAGGCCGTTGCCTGTGATGTATTTTCATGTATTTTCTTGGTTTCGCTAACGAGTGCCGCGACCATGTTACCCTTAAAACTACCACATCTCTTTTTTTTTTTTTTTTTTTTTTTATGTGTTTTGTTGGAATGTATTTTTTTCATGCTCGAGTGTTTTTACTTGTACTATTATACATGACTTTTTTCTTTCGCTTTTTCCAATGCTCCTCCTCTCCTTTGGTCTCTCCAAAAAAGCGCTTTGCAACTGTATTTTCTGCACACTTGAAGAAGGGAAGTCTCTTCCCGAAACGTCGTGTATTAAAGCCTCTACTGCTGTTCAAACATTTTTCTACGCTTAGAATTTCACCTTAACAAACGTTTTTTATCACCACATCGAGCTGCTGCGGCATACTGGCAAGCCCTCCTTGGACTGCACGCTTCATCTAGCACCATACGCATATCTTGTCGGCACCGTATTCGTGTGCCATTGCCGCTCTGCCACACTCCAAGGCTTGAGTGACGATTCGAAATTACTTGCCCACTGCCCTCAGGTTGTGGGGCCCATATAAACCAACTTAGTAGAACAAAACATTCTCGAAGTCCAAGAGCGACGTTCAAAAACCAGGTGTCTGATTTTACAGCAGCTGTCGTCATATTGGCGGAAGGCAGTGGGTGCATGGCGAGGTAAAGATGACGGAGACACGGAGTGCATACCACACTGCGAAAGTGGTAATCGCTCCTCGGAAAAAAGAGAAAGCTAATGCACAAAAAAAAATATTTTTTTTTTTTCATATATTTTTTTTTAAATTTATTTTGGTAGAAATAGGGGGGGGGGGGGGGGGGGGGGCCCATGCACTCAATTGTCAGTATGTTTTTCTTTTCTTCTGCCGCAGGAGAACTAGCGCAGCTTCCTTACATAGACCATTCGCAGTTCGAGCTTTTGCCCCCTTGTTGGGAGGGCCTGCATGTGCACAGAACTCCTTTTGAAGAAGGTTTATTGTTACCTTTGAGGTCTTCACTTTGATACTCGAGCTTGGTACGAAAGTCATTGCAGCTTCAACATACTACTAGAATGCTCACATTTTTGGTGACAAACGTTTGCGTGTTTGCGAGGAACTAGAAACAAAATTGGTTTATGAGCCTTTAATTTTTTAACTAAAAATTTATCTTTTAGCTAAAAATAGCTTTTAAAAGCAATTAATAGACATGCTTTAGCTCATATGCTGGTTTTTGCAGTCATTCCAAAGATATTTACAGTCTAAATAAACTACCAGGTGTAAAAAAGGGGAGTGGTGAGAGGCTTTACCCCAACTGAAGTGTTGCGCTATGATTCATTTTTCAGCTATTGTTTTAAGTACCCATTTTAAATGGAACCTACTTTGACCAGAACCCTATTTCTAAAAATAAGGTTCTGTGTTCCTTTCACACCTTATCTATTTTTATTACAAAAGGTGACAGTCATGTGGTACAGCATTAAAGAGAAACCCTCGGTCACTATTATAGATGGACTTATTTAGCAATGCAATCTCTTTTTCATTTTCGAGTGATGCACTAACAGATGTTGGCAGCTGCTCCAAACCAATATTTTGCCTGCTACAGAAACTGCTGCAAAAGGTCAAATACCGCTTCCATCACTAGTACATTCCCGCAGTCCTCTCTGTTTTATTCTTCCTCTTATCTAGCACACTTTACCAATATGCTCGTCAGGAATATAATATGTTCAAATTTAGCTGAAATTGTTTTAAGGGGGGACATGGGTCTTCGGAGCCAAAAAAACATCCTAAAACTGAATTCTTTTGAAAATGTCGATGGCTGTTGTTCTTCTGAATTTACCAGGCTTCTAATTTCGTTGATGAATATTGGGGCTATAAATCAATTAATAATGTCTATCCGGGCTGAATGTGCATTGAAGTTGAATCTGAAATATTGTTTTTACAAGACACAATTTTTGGACTCGTTGAAAATTTGCAGGAGGGATATCTGAGCATCCAGAGCAGATAGAAATATAACCTTCTCTGAAATGTGTAGCTAAATGTGTGAAGCATACAATGTTGAGAGCAGATTTTCTAATGTAAGTCTAGAAATGTTTCTATCTGATTTTTTGTTTTATTACTTGTTAGCCATCCATAGAGCACTCAACTTTAATGTGTGGTAAAATCACTAATAGTGGGTTTATCTTAAAAGTACTTCCAACATTGTATGCTCTACACTTTGTAGTATCTAGCCATGTGTTAAAAAGAATATTTTGTTGAGCAGTTTTTTTCCTATCATTCCTCTAAACAAAGGCAGGCAAGTTTTAATTACCTTCAGGACAGTTCTACTTACTGAGAAAATGACCAGATATATGAAATCAGCACAAAAAGCTGAACAAGCTTGTGCAGTTTCATTGGGTTTGGTCATAGAATAAGAAAAAAGCTCCAAGACCAGTGTTCCCCCTTAAAAGAGTCCCTCAACTTGATGTTGACTGAATGCTACAAGCCTCACACTTGGCCCGTATCAGTTTACGGTCGGCGTCAAGTTGAAAGTGCAGCTCCTCGCACAAAGCCCTCCACTCTTTCTACTTTAATGGAGCGAACGGTAGAGAGGAGGTGATTCCTCCTCGCCTCCTTTCCAGCGTTTGCTCTGCTGAAGTGGAAAGGGTGGAAGTCTCTGTGGGCGGAGCTTGTCCCGCACACTCTGTGGGATCCCCTTCAATCGACCATGCTTGAACCTGCACAGAAGCCCCCGTGGAACCAGAGAAGGAGGAGGAACGAACTGTCCAGCCCCCCGTGGAAGAGAACAAGGAGGAGGAGAAGGAGCCAGAGACAAACGAGCAAAGAGAGGATGAGGCCTCCGAAACCATGGACACCGGTGAAGCCGGGCAGAAAGAAGCCGCACCTACGGAAGAAGCACCTCCCGCAAAGAAAGAGAACGTCGCGGAACCTGCGGCGAACTCGAAGGTTGCGGTCCGCGGTCGTGGGAGGGGCAAGGTGACCAGGGGGGGACGCAAGAAGTAGGTCCGGGGACGGAGGGGGTTACAGGACCTGGGATGCGAGGCTGGGTAGAGTGGTACAGAGCGAGAGCCCCCGCAACTTCCAGTGCACTTTGGTGGGGGCACCGTTGCCACATGTACTTTTTTTTTTTCCTTAGGCAAAGGAAGATATTGAGATAAAAGGCCCAAGGTCTCTCACTCCTCCATTCATTTTTTTCTTGCATTTGGGAGAGGCATGAATGGTTTAACGGTGTTGCTTTTTTTCTCTCCTCATCAGCAACTTTGTTAACTCTTGATGCACTAAAATATATATTTTTTTGCATTGGTAAATTGCTAGCACTCGGTCCTAATGGGGCATTTGGGGTAAAAGGACCAGCCGGACCTCCTTCGGTTTCACTTTAAGAACTCATAGAAGGTTTTTTGTTATGTAAATATGTTCATGTTTCAGTGTTGCCCACAATATCTGCTGTATCTGCTCATTGCTGCAATTTCTTGTGTGAAATAAAGTCTATGTGTCACATTGGTCACAAATGCACTTTTTTTATGCTTGCCAGCCATCTCGTCTCCAATTGGCGAGGGCAACTGTTGTCTTTTAAGCTAAACGTGGTTGTCTATAGTAGTGCAGCTAGATATGCGAGATGTCCAAATTATAAACGACCACGGGAAAAAATTTTCACTAATCTTTACTGTTCAGTGTTTTTTTTAGAGCGCAGCTCTTAGGTGTTTGTTTCCCGGTTGAGCGGCGTCGCCGTCGGCATCGGCGTAACCGCACGTTGCATTATGGGACGTTTCCCCGCTAAATATAGCGGAACAAATTTTCCGCTAGATTTAGCGGAAAACATTCCCCGCTATATTTCTTGTTAAATGAAGGGAAGGGTACGAAGAGGGAGGAGGGGCATACTCTCCCCTCCGTACCCTCCCTTCCTCCTCAAGAGCTGCGCTCTAACTGGGCATTACAAAAAGTCATAAACGTCCTTTTTTTAAATTTTAGGTCTCATTTAGTATATTCCAAATATACCAAGAAAGATTCAGACGGGTGTCCGTTAAGATGTAGAATGGGAAAAAACTGGCCCCACAGTGGTGTGTCATATCTAAGGTTCAGCGTTTTCGGTTTAAACCGAAAAACAATAAGTCTACCGAATTTTTTTTTGGTGCAAAGAAGGCCTTCAACATTAGGGTGCCCGGGGGGGGGGGGGGGGGAGGGGGGCTTTGGCATGGGTTAAAGTTATGTACATCGTGTGCACTGTATGCAGAGGGCACCTGGAAAAGCCCTTAATCCTTTTAGAGCGCAGCTCTTAGGCGCCCGTTTCCGGCTTGAGCGGCGTCGGCGTTACCGCGTGTAACCCTCGTGAGAGTTACTAGGGTTACTCTCATGAGGGTTACGAGGGTAACCCTCATGATCATCGTGAGGGTAACCCTTTTGAGGGTAAAAGACCCTTGTGAGGGTTACGACCAGGAGAGTTACCCTCGTAACCCTTACGAGGGTTAGTTACCCTTTAAAGGGGTTACCCTGATGAGGGCTACCCTCACGAGGGTTATGAGAGTTACCCTCGCAATGGTTACCCTCACGAGGGTGATGAGGGTTACCCCCTGAGATCACGCGACCCCCCTGAGGTCACGTGATCCCCTGAGGTCACGTGATCCCCCTGAGGTTAGGTGATCCGCCTGAGGTCACGTGACCTCCAGGGAGTCGCCTATCCCTTCCATCCTCAAGAGGTGCTCTCTAATCCGGCGTTACAGGGAGTTGTAAACGGCTTTCATTTTTTTTTACACCATCTCCCAAGCTTTCTGTAGTAATTAAAAAAAATCCACAAAATAAAAGATAGGAAAGAGGTGCAGAGCCTCCTTGTTGAGGAAGAAAGACTCCGAACCTGCCGAGACATTTCAGTCGTTCTGTAAAGTTGTGGCAAAAAAGTAGAATGACAGTGTCGTTATGAATGTTTCAGGTAGCATGGGATTCACCGCTGCACTAACAACATTCTGGTTTAACGTGTGCAGCTCAAAGCACAACGGGTCGACATCTCGTTGCCGCCAAAGTCGAATTACAAAAAAGAAAAAAAATCCTATGGCTTAAAGCGTGTTTCACATGCAGCGATTTTGGCCCTAAAGCGGCGCGATTTCTGCCGTCGCGGCGCTCGTGCCACTGAATTGCTGGTGCTGGCCAGAGCGCCGCGACGGCAGAAATCGCGCCGCTCTTGGGCCAAAACCGCTGCATGTGAACTAGGCTTAAGAGTGGAGCAGCGGCCATCGACGCTCCCTAAGCACTTCGAAGCAGACAACCAGCCAACGTTGCTAGAAAAACCCGTTTTCACCTCAAGAAAAAAGCAAGTTTTGTGCATTGTTCATACGCAGTGCAAAGTAGCTTTTACGAAATTTGGTTGTCGGAGGAAAACGCTGTTTATAGCGTTTGGAACGCATGCGTCTTGATAAGATAGCATACATCTAATATAAAATTAACCTACATATATCTTAATTAACATAAAGGGGAAATTAGTGATGCTCCGCGAGGAGACGGACTTGTTTTTACTACGGTTCTTGAAGTTCGGAAACTGACCATTGTCCGCGCCCTGGTCGGGCCCGGAAAGAATCCGTGCTACTCGGCCCGGTTCGAAAACAATCCGCGCTACCCGGCCCAGGCCCGACCTGCGGGCGTCTTGTTTCTTCCACCCAGTCTCAGGTGGTCTAAAAAATGGTGTTCTAATATATCTGCCGCGAGTGGAATAAACGAGTGTGACCGAGAACACAGTAGTGCGCGTGTTACATGCCCTTGGTAGTGTGGTATCTCCGGCTTTAATTTTCTCGGGGAGGGTCGTGTATGTCAAGAGGTTAATATAAATTTCCGACTAAATCATCTATTCAAACGTAGACTGCAACCCCAATAAACGACTCGCACCAGGACACGTAGAGCATCGGCTGCAGCGACACTCTTACTGATGAGGGGTAGTGGTTCTCACGAGACTTTCCGTTAACCCTTCGCCCTGAGCTAACGGATATCCGAACTGGGCATGCAGACGGCACAAGCGTTTCTCCTGTCTTGAAGATGCCGCCCCGACGTCGCCGCACGAGTGGATGGATCTTCTGTTTTAGGGCGTGCTGGTTTATCATCACGATGAGAGTTAGCGCTTTACATGTAGAGCGGTGAGCTTCCATCACACCGGCCTCGCCGACGACCACCACCGACGCCATGTTTTTCAGCCGATAGCAGGAACATCTAGCAGGAACTAAAGGAACCACGACCGGCATGCAACGCGCGCGGACGAGCTCTCCTCGACCCATTGGTCTGTTGTTGCGGTCGCTCTGTAATGAAAGAAGTTAAGCTGGGCTCAGCTGGCTCAGCTCATTACGTCGTGAACGACACGGCCGTTTTGCGCACCGTTGCCATGGCAACTCGTCGTTCTAACCGATTGCATTCGTAACGCAAGTGTGCGAACAAGCCTTGGCATGTTAAAAGACGAGACCTTTGCAAGAGGGCAGTGATACGTGCGTGCGTGCATGTGTGCGTGTGTGCTTACCGCGTGTGTGTGTGTTTTGTCCTCTGCCCCTTTTTGTCAGTCTTGCTATAGCCTCATCTACTAACAAAGCCTGGCAGATCGTCACGAGAAGCGGCCGCCGAAATCGAAAAGGTAGAGCGGCAGACAACGGATGAGAGGAGAGCCACGTGACGGGCGCCCCGCTGCGGCAAGACGCCGAAACACACTTCTCCCGAGCGATGGAATGTCCGCTCGTGCTCATGGCGTTCCTTGCGCTACTGCTTCTTTTCTCGTTTGGTTTGAAAACCATGTTTCGGGTCCTCGCCGCTGCAAACACTGCGCGCTGACGTCCAGGTTCCCCGAGAAATGCTCCGTGCTACCATATCTTCGCGCTCCGAATCTGCGACCGGGCACTCTATGGCTCCTTCGTCGAACTGTCAGGCTTTGTGCGATTGAACCAGCAAGGGCGCTCACGCTTCTCTTCTGCAGTCGATACAGGCTATGTATTTAATTTAAACTGTGTATTGTAATCTGAGTAAGTCTCGCGTAAAAAAACCTCAACGCCCTCGTTTTTTTTTTTTTTTTTTTTTTTTTTTTTTTTTTACAGCGGGGTTGTTAAGGGCCAGTTTTTCCAAAATCGTGTCCGGTAGCAAATAAATGTCGACACCCGTGGTCGACACAACACTCTGGTTGCCACCGTCGCTCATAGTTTGCGGCAACCTTTCCAGCCTCGGCAACCAGACAACTGGTTGCCACCGTCGCTCATAGGTGGCGGAAACATTTCTTCGGAGGAAGAAAAGCGGGAACGGAACGAGGGTGGCGATGTGCGCAGCAGCGCGAATGGTTCCGCAACCGCCGCAACGCCGCTATCGCCTAAAGTTCCACCGCGTCGAGCGCTTCAGATTCCCTTGCGAAAGAAGGGCAGATCGCTTGCTGGGAAAGCCACCGCCGAGAACAGAAGCTACAGCTCCGCTGCTCTTCCTCCTTCACCAAAATGGAAAGCTAAAAGTTTTATTTTTTTTAAGGCTGCTGTATATTAATGAAATTTCAATAATAATCTTGATTGAAAGTGCCCAAAACAATCACAATGGTATTTTGATTCTTACACTTCCACAATAACACTAAGAAAGAAAAAAAAACATAGAAGATCATACTCAATACACATTAATACAAAAATATTACAAAACAAAAACAAAACAAAAATTAATTAGCAAAACGCGAATGATTACCAAAACGTGAAGTTGCATTCCGTAGTGTATGAGCACTTGTTTCATTTTTATTTTCATTCTCCAGCAGTTAACGATAACACAGAAGCAATTAGCAATGATCAGTCGCTTTCTGTAGCTTTAGTAGGGTTTAGGAATTCGAAACGATCATTCCTGAAGCCGGAGTTGACGAAATTCATCGTTAGCCATTCACTGCGACGACCTCGATTTCGACGAGAGAACCCTGGAAGGGCAAAAAGCAACAGGTTATTCGTTTCTTCCAATTTTTGGTGCTGAATATTTCTGCATTTCTGGCTATATAAACAACCAGTCATCTTGCCCTTTTAATTTAATAAATAACGCGTATTAAGCAATAAGGCTGGACGTCGATTACAAGTTTTACCCGATTAATTGTTATTGTTTCACCGATTAATTCAGAGGTCGGCAACCAACGGCCCGCGAGGTAATATTACGTGGCCCCCGACACGCCAGTAGAAATTCAATTTTCGCCCTTCCCTCCACCCACCACTTCCGAACACACTTTCCAGAACGTAAACCCGCAGTATAATCGGAAGTATTAGCTCTGAACATGTTCAAGAGGTTTGCCAGATAGAGTTCGCCTGATCAGCTTATCCCTAAACATATAATAAGCTGAAGAATGCATTTGCAGCAAGCGACTTTTTGTTTTCTTTTTAATGGAAGTTTTCAAATCTATGAAATCTCGCAGCGGCTTTGATCGCAAATGTTTGAATCTTGGCAAGCAATATTGCACGCCCACAGTCGTACTTCGAGCTTGTTTTCCTTTACGTGTGCCTCAATCGAGAGAAACATCTTTACACATCCCTTTGAGTATGTGAGAGCTCTTCTTTTATCTTTTATTTATTGTCGCGCGGTGTACCTACATATTTTACGCGCTGTCTCTCCACCCAGCGTGCAATTTATCTCGTAGCATTTTTTTACGGAAACCGAATCATACAGTCTTGTAATGTAAACCGCTGGCTTAAAATTGTGCAGCGTCACCCTGCGGCCCTCTACTGGTATTCCGCAATTTAGGTAAACCCCGGCCTGACGTGAGACAGACGAACACCAATAATCCAAGCCTATGCACTGACTGGCGCAGATGTATGACTGACAAGATCTGGTCCCTCCATCCATACTAAGAATGATATACTATTCACTGGGCAAGTCCACGGACTCTGCCAAATTTCTACAACTAAAAATGGAATCGATCTAAAAAAGGATAGTCAGAAATATTGGTTACCTGAGTGAAGAAACTGACTTGCAAAACTACATGCACGAAAAACTGAAAATGCTCCGTTAAAAAAAAAAAAAAAAAAAAGAACAACACCCATAAAGGGGAAACTGCCGAAGTAAGACCGAATCGAACATTTATTGAACTATTTATTTATACCGACATGGCGCAAGTAATGCCATAATCCAACATATACATTACTGCTGATTAATGAATTAGTGGAATTGACCATCTAAATTTTTTTCCTGAAGAGAGAAACTCCATTTATTTTGCAATGGCGCGCTCTAATGCAAGTTTTATACTTCTCTAATAAAAATGCAGAGGGATCTGTCGCGTCTCACTCTCAAGCCAATATTGGCATATGGGGGATTTACATTTGAACTGTATTTTAAGAATCCAATAAAGATTAAATGCTCAACGAGCGCGTTGGTGATGGCAGCAAGAGCAAGAAAGGATAAACACGAAACGGACGAGAGTGTATTGTTTCGACGTCATTATGATACAACCGAGGGCCAAAAACAAAACTAAAGGGGATGTGGGTATGTTTATGCAGCCCGGACTTAGTCTGCCTCAACGGGTTACTTGTCTCCCAGCTGTAGATGAGAAATATAGCCAGCGCAGTAAAACTGCTACCCTAACGTGCATCACGCAGTATTGCGTGATGCACGGGCAGGGGTGGGAATTGAACCCAAGATCCCTGGGTTACGTGCGATCGGGCGTAGACACATATTGAGCACCGCGTCAGCATTCAGCTGGGCCTCGTGTTCAGTGAACTTGAAGCTAGTGAGGGGAGACCATTCACGGGGTTCTGCTGAACGGCGTGCAGGTTCGCCCGCTCCTTGCGCACCTCGTACGTTTCTTTACCCGCCAGGGGCTCTATAAGCTGGACACTTGACCTTGGCGCCGGCCAATCAGAGCCGCCGGATTTCTCGCCCCCGCTTTCTCTTTCCCTGCCTCAAGCAATGAGGCGCGCGCTTGACTGCCTCGTCATCGCGCGTTCCCTGCCCGTTCTCCATGGTGCTCTTTGATTGGCGTGCCCCTCGTCGCTTTCCGCTGCGCCAAACACGCATTTTGGAATACTTGCTCGCCGTATACATTCTAAAAAAAGTCTGTGCGTCTACTTTTACGCACAATACGCGGAGAACAATCAGCGCAACTTTCGGAGGCAGCTTAGCGAATGACGATGCCGAAACATCTGTTTAGACCAAAAAACGTAGACTGAGTTGTGACATTAAGCAATGCAAGCGTGACGTTTTGCATTGCTTAATGTCACAACTCAGACTGTGTTTTTTGGTCTAAGCATATGTTTTGGCATCGTCATTCGCTGAGCTGCCCCTGTAAGTTGAGCTAAGGGGGCTCCAATCTTTCTCCCCCCCCCCCCCCCTTTTCAGATATTTCGGACTGTTAAAGAAAACAATGCGGGGAAAGAGGGCGTGGTCGAGCTTATTTTAATCTCAAATTATTTATGCATATGTGTAGCTACTGTCGCTCTTCACTGCTTAAAAGATCGCGTAGATGGTCATTGTCGAAAACTCGTTGCCAGAAGACACTACTTGTCACATGCTTAGTGGTTCGGAAGTTCAAAGGTATGTCTTTTCGACCTGAATAATTGTGCAATTAATAAATAAATAAAAAAAAAAAAAAAAGAAAAAAAAAAAAACAGCATATTATATGTGGGGATAAAAAGCTGGAGAAAAAAAAAAAGACTATCAAGAGTTTACCGGAAGTGTTGTATTCTTGCATATTCAGGGGCTCAGAACTTCGAAACAAGTTTCTCCTACCAAAATCTGTATAGACTAAAAGAAACACGTCCCAGGAACGTGAAGCGAGAAAAAAAAAAAAAAGTTTTCTTTTAATGACATGCGGAACTTGAACAATATTAGAACTCTTCTCCCATGAGTTAATTTATTCCTTAACGTGAAAAAACAAAACAATAAATACATTATTTTGTATTCTGCAGATGGCAATATATGTACTGTCTGTGGTGTTAATTTAGATGCGACACCTCCAACATCTTAGACGAAAATAAATACCAAGTTTACGGCATAATTGCCCGTAGATACATTTGGACATTTCTTGGAAACTCACCTTGAATAACAATAATCTTAAGACGGCACTTAGGCTATACATAGATCATTCTTAAAAAAAGTTTAACATCTCTGCCATAAATAGCTTATGGCGCAAACGACAATCGTCAAAAACCCGTCGTCCTTCCTTGCCCCTTCGGGAGTTTATTTATTTAAAACTAAGCGAGCCAGAACATTGAAATAAACGGCATTGTCTTTCGTAAGGAACGCAGCACCGCATGCTAAAATTCGAGAAAAAAAATTACAAATGTAACTCATATTTGAATTCAAGGGAAGCCGCCCGCCGGTCTTTCGAAGTTAGACGAACGTCGAACTTTTACCCTAAAGGTCGAAGGTAGTCGAACTTTTGACTTTTAAAGATTCGAAAGCTCGAAACTTTTCAATTTTTTTGATAAATAAGTTCGAAAATGATCGAATTCCTTAACGTAGGAAGTTAGAAGTTCGAAAATCATCGAATTTTTTTGTCTATCCAATTCGAAAGTTCGACAAGCATCAAATTTTGCGGCGTGATAAGTACGAAAGTTTGAAAAAGATCGAATTTTTTAGCCTAATAAGTTCGACGGTTCGAAAAGCGTCGAACGTGTTAGTTTAACAAGCGAAATCTTTCGAACTTTTCGAATCGCTTGATTCGATTATCGAAACTTCGGTGCGAAAAAAGTTCGCGGCATCCCGTTTCTTCTTCACGGCCAGCTTTGCCGAAATTAGCAAATTCGATGGTGCAAAGATGTATGCTGCAGAAGGTACGGGCACCGGAGCTGGGTCCAGAGCGATGGCGGCTGGTATGGTGCGATATGACGTCACGTGCAAGGCGTGTGTAGTCCCCGACTGGAAACGCAAGGGCGTGACGTGTCCCAGGCACCTGGTTATCGTCTCGGAGCCAATGAACTCCGTGAAACCAATCACCGGGTCTCTTAAGCCGTCGGGGACAACATGAGGTGTTGGACAGGCACAGGTTGGGGTGTACGAACGTCTCGCATCAGTCCTTGCAGCCAACAAAGGAAGGCCCACAAAATCGTCATTTGCAACAAGACTGACGATTCTAAAGAAAAACTCGTCATTCCTGAGCTTGTCATTTCACATTAATTTGTAAACTTTTTGTCTTTTTTTGTACAGTAAAACAATGGCATTTATTCCTGTCAGTCTCCTTAAAAAAAATAGGACTAACACTCCTCACTGAGTCTTTTACAACCCGCGTCGCTGCCATATATAGGAACAAACTTGGGCATTCGGAGGAGTTCATTTTCGTCTTACCGGTGCTGGCAACCCGACTTGGGCCACCGACCTGGCAGGATAGTCTTCTGGAAAGACTGAATCCCCAGAAAGGCAATCAGAATGGGTCACTCCCATGCACGCAGCGTATAGCAGGTGCGTGGAGACGGCCACAATTTTGGTTTATAAAGTCAAACATTTACACTAGCTTGATCACGTTGACATAAACCTGAGGACACAGAAACTACCATGCACACAAAGTGTAGGGTTACGCTACCTCCGCAGATATCCGCCCCACCCCCATGTCACGCAGACAGCATGCATAACCCTCACGCTTCATGCCTATGGTAGCTCAACACATTTTGTGCCCCCGTTATTTATAATAGTTATCGAGCTAGCATTTTTTTAATTTAATTTTTACTGCGTGGAGGAACGTCCGGTGTAATTCGTATCTACCCTTACATTCGCGGTACACTTGGTTCATCGCGTCGTAGTCCTTCCAGTTGGCCAGCAACACTCTCGTGCTCACGACTGCAGGATCGGAAAGATAACAAAACAAAACACAAGGTTTACTGTTAGAAAATTCAAGGTGAAAAGTAGACACCAGGAAACAACTCGCATGCAATCTATAGAGCACAAAAAGTCGAAGTTGACTGGCGATACTTTCCCATGCACTGGCAAACAGGGGTCAACTGGTGCTAGTGTCTATGCGACTTCCGGAGCATAATTGAAGCAGACATCAATCAGTCTATTTTTGCGCGAGTGCATTTAGTCTCTTCGCCGAAAAAAAACAAAAACAAACATGGATACCTTTTGTTATTTGTGTCGTACTGAATAGTGTGTACCTTTATTAACACCGTAAAAGTGTAATTGCTTTAGTTACATCATTTTTCTTCGCTATATTTCAGGCCCAGACCTCTGTTCCATAGCAGGTATTTAAAAACGTGCGATGTGTCTAAGAAAAATTAAAATCGAAAATAATCTAGAAAGTGTTCAAAGTTCACTAGCATTCTGGTGACGCTTATATATTGCGGATATGCTCGTACTGTCTCTATATAAAAATGTCCCCATCATGCATCTTTACGAGCGGTTAAAAACATTCGAAACGTAAAGTATAAAGTACGTGGGTTATGAAAGGTGTTTTTCTCTATTATTTCCTACGTCGGGCAGCTTGTATCGGGCACTGGTTCTCTGACGCCTTTCTATTTTCGAGCCTGCGGGTGATGTTTTGAATGCACAATAAGTATCTTCGCATAAGTAGAAAGAATAAAGCAGTACTTAATTATATAAAATCGAACTCTAGCTATCTCTATAACGTGGTCTTCAATTTATTTTGATCGTATACATGCACAGGGAGTTACTAATCCAGTGTTTACTGCGTAGTTCTTGCTCTTGGTTTTCCAGATGTCCTTCGTTCGTTTGGCACGCATATCCCCCACGCTGAAAAGAGCCGACGCCGTGTTCTCGCTAACAGTGTCTGACAGTGCACTTAAATGCACGTATGAAGCTGTTTTTGCACCGTTTTAATGCCATGATTTCAAAAAGAAGACCGCCGTAACTGACCAAACATTTCGTCTGCGTGAATGATAACTATTCTAATCTACCTATTACGTACGAATTATTAGTGATATTTGCTCTTATAATCAAGCGCAGGGAGAAAATGCACTCATTTTTTCCCATAGAAATGCATTACCGGAAGTCAATTTTCGACTGGCTGCTGTCTGCTTCAATTTGCCACAGCACAGCCATTTGAACCTCTAGCGTACATTATAATGACTCCATGGGTTTATCCCTCTGCCGCAATAAAGATCTCCAGGTGTACCAGTGTCATCCCTTTAGAGCAATTATGGGTTAAAAAAAGTGGAATGATAATATCTACTTGTTCGTTAAAAATACATGTAAAGTAGCCTCGATTGTACGGCCATGAAAACTCAGTTAATTTTATGCGAACACATAAAGGTTACAAGTCTCCCTTCCTGGAAAGCCTAGACGTCCCGCTGGACAGAATAAATTCAGAGAATAGTTTTTGTTAACGAAAACGCACGAAGAATAAACACAAAGAGGACAAGAGCAGGGGCGAGCACGTATACCTTTCAGATACATACTCGTCTGTGTTCCTGTCCTCTTTGTGTTTACTCTTTCTGTGTTTTTTTTAAGTCTCTACCAACACGCTCCTTACGTCTTAATTCAAGTTATAGTTCCATGCTTAGATAGTGGTTACCTAAAAGGGCTCGTAAACCGTTGCAGAGAGCCCTTTTTTAAATCATTAATGGCCAATAGATTACGTTAGCCTCCAACATATTGCCATGGGGTTAGAAACTCTGTCCTCAAATTGGACCTTTTTCGAGTGACGAGCGCCGTCTGCGAGTTGTCAGCGAACTACAAAGGAAGGGCGACCCGTCAAAACACATTGGCATCGTGGCGTGGCATCGCGTTCCATTGCTTCTTATTCCGCGTGTTACCGATACCTAAAAACGAGCTTCTTGTAAAGACGGAGTACGCGCAAAGATAGGTTCTGAGTATGTAGGTCGTGCGGGGCGGTGCCATCCGAAATTGGGGACAGCGGCAAGCAAGGCCGGAAGAGAGGGGGTGTACGCATGCGCAAAAACTTTATGGGAAAAGGTCCGTTACGCCAACTATTTCGTATCCATACAATACGGCAAGTACGCGCCCATGCTTTTCGGAAACCTTCACTCATAATTATTTTTGCACTAGATTCCCCCCTGTCATGTAATGCACTTGACTGAAGTGCCCTTGAAAAAACCCCGAGACTGAACTGAACTGAACAACACCCCTCCCCCCTCTTTCTGTGTCCTCCATCAGCGCCCTCTCTTACGCACGAAGATACAAACGTACACACTCATTGGGCATTCGTAACGCCGTGTCGGACTTTCTTTTTTCTTTTCTGAGGGGGGGGGGGGGGGGGGCATTTAATATTTGTTCTGGGAACTCGTCTTGCCCTTTATTGCTTAACGCTGGGCAGTCACACATTTTTAAGTATTCGGTATACTTCCGAATGTTTCGATGGAATTTAGAAAAATTCTTTCTTCAAGTGTTCTGTTATAAATCAACACAAAACATGGCTTCAAAACAAATTGAATTAAAGTGAGTAATCTTGGTCAATTGACGAAATTATAAATAACACTTTCCTAAGGATTCTTGAAGTTGATGAACTCCGGGAAGGTGTTTTTGACTTCACTTTTGTTTTAGAGCGTAGCTCTTAGGCGCCCGTTTCCGGCTTGAGCGGCGTCGCCGTCGCCGTCGGCGTAACCGCGCGGTGCATTAGGGGTAAATTTCCCCGCTAAATCTAACGGAAAAATTTCCCCGCTAATTCTAGCGGAAATATTTCTCCACTAAATCTAGCGGAAACATTTCCCAGCTAAATCTAGCGGAAACATTTCCCAGCTAAATCTAGCGAAAAAATTTCCCCGCTAAATCTAGCGGAAAAAAATTCCCCGCTAAATCTAGCGGAAAAATTTCCCCGCTAAATGTAGCGGAAAAAATTTCCGCGCTAAATTTAGCGGAAAAATTCCCCGCTAAATCTAGCGGAAAAATTTCCCCGCTAAATCTAGCGGAAAAATTTCCCCGCTAAATCTAGGAGAAGAAATTTTCCCGCTAAATCTAGCGGAAAAAAATTCCCGCTAAATCTAGCGGAAAATATACCCCCTAAATCTGGCGGAAAAATTTTTCTGGGGGGGTCACGTGAATCCCCCCACCCCCCGAGGTAACGTGACACCCCGCCCCCTTCCCAGGTCACGTGACACCCCCCCCCCCCCCCCTCCGAGAACAGGTGACCCTCTGTACCCTTCCCTCCTCCTCCTCAAGAGCTGAGCTCTAATTCGGCGTTACATGGAGTTGTAAACGGCTTTCATTTTTTTATTAAATTCGTTTTGGCCCAAAAAAATTATAAAGATATTTTTTTTTTATGTCAGACAGGACAGGGTCTGGAATATGGCGGATGAGCGAGAGTTTAGAAACCCGACTTAATCGGCTACAGAATCACCATCCGTAAAACCTGTGGGTGCGCATCGTTCGTAAAAGAGGTGCGGCGGGGGAGCACTGCTGCGCAGGAAGTATCGTACCCAATAAATTGGCCAATTCCTGCTGTATTTAACGCCACATTTCTTTAATAATTCCACCAAGCTGGACGAATTAAAAAAAAACAATTGATAGTTATGACTCTATAAGGGATGTTTGATTTTACTTCGAGTTCAAACAGATGTTTATATATATATGTTAAGATGTAAAAGATGCGAGGGTTACGCAGGTGCCGACTTCACTATGTACAAGTGTGCACAACAAACTTTTTTAAAAAAAAAAAATTACGTTTTGTTAAACGCCCAGTTTCCACCGAAAAGTAGCTCTAGCGGTCTGAACTTGATGCCAAAGTCAAAGTTTCAGAACCAACTGTTATCTTATGGAAATGTCACGAGATTTCCTTAATTTTTCAATGCGGAGCGCAAGTTCATCTGCTTCTTTTGCAGATTGTGGTGACGTCAGAACGCCGAGCCCTGATTGGTTCTGATTGAAGAATAGTGGGTAGACCTCAAAGCAAGCTGCCTTGAGGCCTACGCATTATCCTTCGGTCAGAACCAATCAGAGCTCGGCGTTCTGACGTCACCACAACCCCTGCAAAAGTAGCAGGGTGATTCCACGTCAGTTCATGCAATGGTGGTCCGGGTCATAATTTTGATATTTTTGTTAAAAATATATATGAAAGCCATGCTCTTGGGAGGAACATTCCGCTATATATGAACGCCGTAACGTTTTTTTTCGCTGAGATATAAAATAGACAAGCTCGAGGCGTGGAAATTGAGAAAATTTCACTATGCTACTTTGCACAGTCGTCGTTTTCTCATCGAAACTTTCACGTTACCATAACTTTTTTAATAAATTTCGCGAGAGATATACAACACATACCCAAAAAAGTAAAAATATCAATAACATACTTCTATGCAAACAAAAAAGTCAAACATGGCATAAAAACACGTTTTAGAGACATATTCAGAATTTTTTGAGAATAAACTATCTTCTATAATACTTTACAAAACATATCAAAATGCGCGCTTTTGAATTATCTTTATGAATGTATAAAGATAATATGCCCACCCTTAATTGTCTTCTTGTTATTAACGCGGAAATGCGACTGATTTCACAAAATGTGTCAAGATTGGGCGTCGATATTTAAAAAACTCCATCTTTCATTTTTTTTTTTTTTAAATTCCCCTTGGCAGTTTGCAGTGACATGAACTAACCTGTGATGGCAAAACATTGAGCAACATATGACCTCCGAACGGGAAAAGCTGCGACAAACCTTCACTTGGAGCGAGCCGACGTCTCGTTATAGCGGCTTTGCCGCATAACGTCCCCTTCATGGAAGCGTCAAAAGCTGGAAAGCGGGACTCTGTCGTGGAGAGCGGAAAGTCGTGCTGTTCCGAGCATTGCTTTATCGTTGTGTGACTATACCCCCCCTCCCCCGCCCTGCCCTCTTCTTCCCGCCCCTTGACACGAGCAAGAAACGCCTGCGAACGTCACTGCTTGCGGTACTTAGTAATCGTAAGCACATCACATTGCCTTGAAACCGAAAGCTGTGAAGAGTCAGTTACGGCAAAATAAGCTGAGAGTAGTTGTAAGGGAAAATATGCATGTCAGTTGGTCAGGAAACATTTCAATCTAAACCGAGAGACGAGGAAAACCAAAAATAACGGACAGTGCGAAACGAACTCTCAAACGCAGCTGAACTTATTCACAAGAAGAACGACAATAAATGCATGTCCACGCGGAAAGAAATAAAATAGGGAAGATCGAGACATGCGACCGCAAAGACTTGACCGAATCTAACCAGACAAACTAAATCACTCCAAGGTTAAGGACAGCAACGGGAACGGGCACCTCTCCCAAGGACCTGAACAGATGGGTTGCACCACGCTATGCGAACCGACCGAGACCGAACCTCTAACCCCCTCTTCTATTTTACTGCCGTAACCTTCTTCCCCAACACACACACACACAGACACACACACACAAACTACACTCCAACACCGAAAACCCCAAAAACATTACAATATAAAAATCTTTTAGAAGGTAAAAGAAAAAGAAAAAAAGACGGCTGACTATCGCTATGCTTACAGGAGACTCGGTGTCTTTGGTGCTCAATAAGTGGTACTACGAACAAACAACACCAGCTTAACCATGCGCGACGCACCGATTATATCTACAATGGAAGACAGAAGTTGATAACCACAAGGACATTTTCTTTCCGAACTCTGACCGGATATTCGGAGCCGGGAGAGAGGAATTCAGAACCTTTCGAATAGGCGTTTGCGAGGACGTTTGAAGTTCTGTCATTTACGAAGCGAGTAAGAGCCTAGTGTCAAATCAAACAGCCATGTCCCAACGATTCAGCACCGTGCGATTGTTCTGTATGGACTATCTACGGAGACACAAGAAGAAAGTGTACAGCGATAAGCACCTCGTATCGGTAGGGAGACTCAACAAAGTGCGGTTGGAAAAGCTACTGGCTCCACGGACAGTGAACGAATCTGACCTTTTAAGCCAACATTGCTACAAATACCTCCAGAATGAGATTGCTTCTCCTCACAACGTGAGTACATCAGACCCTTCTTTCTGGGACTCTGATGAAGTTCTGGCTGAAGTGAGTCAAGAATTGTGTGCTGCTAGTCCGTCGGTAACTCCATTGAAACCACGTAAAACCGTAAAAAAAAAAGGCGCGAAGAATATTTGAAGAAAAAACAAGCTCAAGTGAGTTCTTCGATTAGAAGAAAGCTGTCAGGCGTTTATGGCATGAAAACCGGCGAAGACAGTTGTGAGCACTGCGCGGAGTGGTTTGACGCGTTCCACGAAGCGCTGAAGGCATGCAGTTCCCACCAGGAACGGAAGCGATTGTACACGCTTCTGCCACCAAGCATCTCGAAAAAAGAAATATTGCGTCTGGTGCCAGAAGCGACTGCCTACATGATTGATCAAACAAGAAAACTGAAGCGTAAAGGTGGTGTATGGGCAACCCCTGATCCCTACATGGGGAAAAAGGCGAATGCCGAAGACGTGAGAGTTGCACTTGAGTACTACACACCCGACGACCTCGCATGCTCTATTCAAAGCCCCAACAAAAAGGACGTCGTCAAAGCCATGATCAACGACAACAAGACCAAAGCCGTAAAAAAGGTTTATGATCCGCTCTATTAAGGAAGCTTACCAGCTGTTTAGGAAGGACCATCCCCATCGAGAACTAGGCATCTCTAAGTTCTATTCCCTACGACCAAAATGGGTAAAAAAGAGTCCCGAGCATGAGGTGTGCGCTTGCATATATTGCGTCAATTTTCAGTTGCTTTTAACGGCAATAACAAATGCCTCACAGGAGACACTTACTGAAGGCGACTTCAAGCGCATCTACATCTGCAGCGCTCCACAAAACGATTGCTTCCTGCGCCGTTGCGAAAAAGGCCCAAAAATGCAGAGCATCTCGCTGCAGTCGCTCCATCTCGACGAAGACGAGGAGATCTGTTACGCGTTATGGGACGCCGGCGAACTCGTCAAAAAGGTTTGGACACTTCCGCTTTCCTAAAGGAACTGGAGTCATGGAGCGAAAAGTATATGAGGCATTCTTACATCCGTGACCTTCAACGAAGCCTGATACGTGACACAAGAACCGCCTTACCACCCAAGGCAGTGATGTTCCACTTCGATTTTGCGGAAAATTGGACAGTCATCTTCCCAACCGAAGTGCAGAGTTTTCATTGGAAAAAAACTCAAGTGTCTCTCTTCACATGTGTGGTTACGTCCACGCAAGGCACGGAAAGCTTTGCCGTTGTCAGCGATGACACGACACATGACACAGCTCACGCTCTTCTAGCCACAAAAGCCATAGAAGAGTATGTTGATGAACATTACCCGCTCTTTTCTGAAATAATTTTTGTATCAGACGGAGCGGCGGCGCATTTCAAGAATCGCTTCCAATTGCACGAATTATCTCGGAAGCCGTACTCTTTGGCAAGATGGATCTTTTCAGCCACTGGACACGGAAAAAGCGCTTGTGATGGAGTAGGTGGTGCTCTTAAACACCACGCAACGCTCACCAACTTGAGATCTTAGCTCAACTCAACGATTGTCACCGCTAAAGACTTTGTGGAAGTGCTGCGTGAAAAAGTAACATATGTCTGCATGTTCCACCTGTCTGCGGAACGGGTTCGAGAGTTTCGTGCGGTGAAGCAAGTAGAGTGGGCCACCGTAAAACCTGTGAGAGGAATCCAGGCACCTCATCTGTGGAAGTCATCATATGCCGAGAGGCCGGATGTATACATGGCCACTTGCGCAACTGAGAGTTTTAAGCTTAGGTATGCATAGTTAGCGAGTTTGCAGAGTGGGGCCGTTTTGTTTTTGTGAATTGTAAGCTAAGTAATGGTATTCCAGCCTAAAGTACATTTTCGTGTCAGTTATACAAACCCCTTCTGAAAAAAAGAATTTGAAAAATATTAAAGACATGCCATAACTAACGCTCAAAATATTTGGTGCTGTGCGGCAAAGCCGCTATGACGAAAACGTCGGCTCGCTCCGAGTGAAGGTGTGTCGTAGCTTTTCCCGTTTGGAGGTCATATGTTACTCAATGTTTTGCCATCACCAGTTAGTTCAAGTCACTGCAAAGGGCCAAGGAAAGTTAAAAAAAAATAAAAGATGGAGTTTGTGAAATATTGACGCCCAATCTTGCCACATTTCGAGAAATCAGCAGCATTTCCGCGTTAATAACAATAATACAATTAAGGGTAGGCATATTATCTCTATACATTCGTAAAGAATATTTATAGGCGCGCATTTTGATATGTTTTGTGAAGTATTATGCCAAACGGTTTATTTGCAAAAGAAATTGTGAATATGTCTCTGAAACGCGTTTTTATGCCATATTTGATAGTTTTGTTTGCATAGAAATAATTTATTGATATTTTTACTTTTTTGTGTATGTATTGTATATCTTTTGTAATATGCATTAAAAAAAGTTATGGTGACGTGAAAGCTTTGATGAGAAAATGACGACTGCGCAAAGTAGCATAGCGAAATCTTCTCGATTTCCACGCCACGAGCTACTCTATTTTATATCTCAGCAAAAAAAATGTGTTACGGCGTTCATATATAGCTTAATGTTCATCCCAAGAACATGGCTTTCACATATATTTTTAACAAAAATATCAAAATTATGACCCGGACCATCATTGCATGAAGTGACGTGGAATCACCCAGCAGACGAGTTTGAGCTCCGCATAGGAAAATGGCGACCGAAGAAGTCTTCGAATATACGGGGACACGTGAACCACCGCCAACGGGCCCCATTTTCTCATCGAAAAATTCATAAAATGACTAATAACTTTTGAACGAGATAAAGGTTAGTTCTGAAACTTTGACATCTGATTCGGAGTGCTAAATGTATACATTTCTGGAGGAAGGTCCGGCAATGCGTAGTTTATTTTCTCTGTGTACGTATCAGACTTGGCGGACGTTAGATGAGGCAATATAATGATTGGTTTTACGGGTCATATATGGAATTATAGTATTGACGGAAGTTACGACGAGGGGCTAAGCGAATTTTAAAAAGTTTTAAAAATTCCCTCATCTAATATGAGCCGAAACTCATAAACACACGGTAAATACGACAACCATCTAACTCTCACTTTTTTTTTTCTGCTCAAACTAAAGATTGAATGCCTATATACATCGTTCACCAAATGTGGGGAGCACCGCCCAAGATTATAATTTTCGTTGGTTGGCGTCGTACGGCTAATTTTACTTAGCGGAACCCACTGTCTGGATAACAAACCCAAATACTGCCAAGTCTTACCATTGGTGAAGTTCATCCGACCGGCCTCCAACGTACTCTGAAGATTTTTAAGGACCTAGAAACAAAGTTAACACTTGAAATTCACATTTCGTGCAGTACACTTGTCTAACTCAAAAGTGTTCTCGCCGTTGGTAAACATGTCAAGATTTAAGAAGTCATGCATACCATCTCGTAAGGCCACCAAGTTCCTGGCGGTTCGCGAACGCGTCAATGTCTGGGAACTTGTTGATCCCGACAGAACTAGAGTCCTCGTGGTACACTTGGTGCTCACTGTATGTAGTCCGCGTGTCTCGTTCTCGTGACTGCTTCGATCTGTGAATAGGGTGTATTCACTGACCGCCATTGCTGTGTGCTCTACTGTTTTGCGCTGGCTGAGAGCAAGCTGCCACAACGTTCTTCCGTTGCCATCAAAGTAGGGGCGGATTTAAAGGGGCGATGCAACGATTTTTGTATTTTACGCAAATACCGCTTAGAACGGATTCCTGATGTTCATAACCCAGGAAACACGCGTTCGGTTTTTCACCCTACGCAATAGAAGTTGGGGAAAAAATTAAAGAAAAACGAGCAGCGTTCTCCCCCTCAACTCGCAGCCAGAACAAGCGGCCAAGTGATTTGGAGCCGATTATATGCCATCAATGTTGATCGTAGCCACGTGCTGGGGTTGGCAAGGCACATGACACGTGCTGAGTTCCAGAGATTGTAATAGTTCGACTATTTTCGTGCAATAGTTCGGCTATTGTCGTCATTTCAGCGATTGGACACGGGCCACTACACGAATGCTTCTCGAGCTATCGATTATCACGAGCCCAAATTGAGTGCCCACGCAATGCTCGGGTCCAATCTAGGAGTGGCATTCAAATATCGTCATTGGGGGGGGGGGGGGGAGGGGCAGTTCGATCCCCCAGTTACGTCATCAAGTTTCGCGAAGGAGAGTTTGAATAAAAAGGCTCGTTTTTGTACTTGAAATTACGCCCCAACAAAAGAGTTTCTTGGCCAGTGGCGTTTCGGGCGAGTATCTTTAAGTCCCACTAGTGCCAATAAACTCGTGTAAAGTGAAAGAAACAGAACAAAAAAACATTCCAATTGAATATCGTTGCACAGCCCCTTTAAGAAACTAAAGGGGTCGGCGACCACCGCCCCCGCCCCCCTCACCCCCTAGACCCTCTAAGAGTGACTTTTTCTTTTTTTTTTTTTTTTGTAAAAACAAAATTCAACAGCTTTTTTTGGGGAAAAATATGTAGTTTCTGATGAAATGGCAAACATTAGGTTAACAAAATGGATCTGGGCAATGCTTCGCTCGTGACGTCACATCCGTCCCTACCAAAAAAAAAAAGAAGTTTAAACTGGATTATGGAACAGTAAAATCTAACTGGATTTCTTGCTGGAAATCTGAAATTAAGTTTGCACACAATGGTCTGCAAACTGAATTTTAGGTTTCCAGCAAGAAATGCAGTTAGATTTTTTCGCTCCATAATCCAGTTTCAAATGTCTCTTTCGGTAGAGGTTCTTAACGAAAAGTCCTCCCCCCCCCCCCCCCCCCCCCCCCCCAGCCTGACCCATACGTCCACCCCTGTATGAAAGTGGGTTGTGCAGACGACAAGTTGTTTTACCCACAGATCATGCTAATGACCTCATCAAATCATCTAAGAACCAAAGAGCGTGCTGCGAATGTAATTACATGCGCCGTACGGGCCGGTGTCTGCAACAGTAACTGCTAAAGCGAAAAACCTTAAACCGATGGCATTTTTTTACCGGCGTTCGTCAACGCCTTACATTATTTACTTGAATCGAAGTTCCGAGCGTTTTCATCGGTACTTGGGTATTTCGAAGGTCTACTCAACATACGGGCATGACACAGTATAGCATTTTGGAATAGTATGATGTAACATTCTTCAGGCACAGGTAAAAACCGTGCTCGTTCTAAAACACACTCCCGGTCTTCATCGTCAAAATTGCGACCGCTTGCATGCAGTACACACATTCCAAATTTGTCTCATTTTATATATTTGTTTTTCGCACAGGGTGCGATTTTACGCTTTAGTTTAAATATGCGATTTCACTCAAATTATGTTTAGTCAAGTTTTTCTTTTTGAGTTGAGAAATTTGTCTGCTTAGGTGGCATCAGCGGGCCTGACAACAAAATGTTCAAACGCTGCATTGCTTATATCTCCGTCAAACGTGCGTACATTTCAAAGGTGAATCAGTGCATGCCTTTGAAACGACAGGCGGATTCATGGGAGTTTGCTGTTTTTGTGTTTGTTTTTCAATATTTACAGTTATCAGTTGACCCGCTTTATTTTTGAAGTATCACTAATGCTTTCCGGAATTTTTTAAAGTCGCTCTTAATTAAACACGCCTGAAATGCGCGTGGAAAAAACAACAACGAAACATTAGAGCGAAAGCAAATGTCATCGTCGTCATCGTTATTCTGTGTGCCTACATACCGATAATGTACTTGCGAGCTCAACAATAATAAATGCCAAACTCAAATAACAGAGACAGTCGTTATTTGAAGTGCGGGAAAAAAACAAACAAGTTATTTTCATTTTGTTTTTAACTCAAGGTGTCAGTGTCAGCTAGTATGGTCAGAAGTCGTGAAATTCTTTGACGAAAATTTGTAGTCTGTTAATTACTCCTAACTACTGTTAACAAAAAGGCCACCCGAAACGAAACATAATTTTCCGCTACAAAAAAAAAAAAAAAAAAAAAAGCGAAGCGGGTGAAACTTGCCTGGCGCGTCTCCGCAGCGATTCCACCCGGCACGAGTTTAGTTGTGTTGGGGTAGAACCCAGCGCTGGCAGAAGAATAGGTGGTGGCACCTGCGCGGATGCCGTAGCTGCGTGCGAAAGAAGAAAAATACGCTGAGTAATGCAGGGCGCAAGCTGGTCCGCTTCTTGCGCGGTGGTTGCACCGACGTCACAACACCGAGCTCCGACTGGCTCATGACGGAGGGATAGTGGGTAGGGCTCAATGCTAGCCGCCTCAAGGTCTACTCACTAAATCCCTCCAATCGCAGCCAATCAGAGCTCGCCGTTCTGACGTCACCTTAACCCCCGCTCAAGAAGCGGACAAACTTGCGCTCCGCTTATATCTACAGGGTGTCACAAAAGAAAATTTACACGGTTTTTGTTTCATCGCAAAAATAAACTAGGCATCGCCGAACCTCATTCTCCGCCCAAAGGTAGCGCTAGAGGTCACAACCAGATGCCAAAGTTTAAGACCCCTGCCAAAGTTTCAGCCCGATCTGATACCTTATTCAAAAGTTATAAGTGATTGTCTGAAAATTTCAATGGGAAAATAGCGGCCGACGGAGTTTTCGAATACATAGAGCTCTGTTGCACCAAAAACCGAAAACGGGCGAAAATGGGCTCCATTTTCCCATTGAAATTTTCAGAAAATCACGCATAACTTTCGATTAAGTTATCGGATCGGGCTGGAACCTTGGCATCTGGTTGTGACCTCTAGCGCTGCTTTCGGGCGGAGAATGAGTGTTCGGCGTTGCCTAGTTTATTTTTGCGGTAAAAAAAAAAAAAAAAAGCCTTGTAAATTTTATTTTGTGAAACCCTATATATATATATACCAACACCAACACAGTGAAAAAACAGTTAGGGCGCAGGCGAGCTGGTGTAAGTTACCATTTTTTTAGACCACCTGAGACTGGGTGAAGCAACACGACGACGCAGTGTTTACAAACATGTCCGCTTTGCCCACCGTAGATGTGGGCATTGCGCGTGCGCAAAAACCAAATTCGGGAGGAGTGAAGCGCCTGCGCATGCGCAGTACTGACAGCAGCGCCACCGCACTGGCGTGACGTCTGTGAGTTGAGTTGGTCCCCCCCCCATACTACGATTCACCTTGAGTTCCTACGCACCCGACGCTACCGATTAATGGAGTCAAGAATGCAGCGTCACTGCGCTCGTCGTTTTTGCGATCTGCCATCGCCTGCTAAACCAATCACGTACAAAAAAAAAAAAAAAAAAACACGCAGGATAACGGCGCATTTACTGTGCGTTACCGGTCTCGACAGTGATGGCAAACGCACAAAGACAATACATCGTGGCGAAGGGGCACTTTTTTGGCGCTGCTCGATTAGCTCCACGCTGGATTATCGTAGCGTCGGCTGCGGTCGGTGTATCCTAGCAGACATTTTGGAGTGTACATCATGCAAAAAGCCGGATTCTTTCCAAAATGTTGTACAGTGCTAATCACACTTGTCTATAACGCGCGAGCGAGCGGCTTTCTCCGGGGAGCGCTAGACTGGTGGCATTCGCGGAACTAAGCTAGTCACGTGGCGCAACATGGAACGGCCCGCTCGAGGGGTGTCCTGCCCACTCTATCAGCTTTATAAGCGATAAAAGTAAAGTGCTTTGTGATATAGTTTTGTTTTTTGATGACGAGATCGTTGATACGCCTTCATGCTTCAGTTTGTTTATTGTTCGAGCAATGATGTTTGTAAAAAGCGTGCGAGCAGCCTTCCGCGTTCGCCGCCAGCTGATAGAGTGGGCAAGACACCCCTCGAGCGGGCCGTTCCATGTTGCGCCACGTGACTAGCTTAGTTTCCGCGAACGCCACCAGTCTAGCGCTCCCCGGAGAAAGCCGCTCGCTCGTGTGTTATAGACAAGTGTGATTAGCACTGTACTTTCTGAATTGTGTGTTACAAATCGTTTTTTTTTGTATGTATCAATAAGCTATGAAAATTAACTGCCGAGGCGGTTTTCTCTGAATCGGTGAAAACCGATAAACCCCGAATTAAGGCTGTCATCGAAAAAGGGGGGGGGGGGGGGGGGGGGACGCCAGTCTTACGGGGAAAAATCTTCTACCCTATTTTTTTTCTCTCTCATTGAACCGGAATACAGCCGCACTGAACTGTCCTTGGGGTTGCTCCTCTCCATCGAAACCGTATTCCTTGCCCCATTCCCTTCTCTTATCTTTACCGGCATTACTAGAGAAAATATTGTTACGTTCAAGGCACTACTCGAGGATCCTAGTTCATTGCTTATTCTTCCTCTTTTTTTTTAGTCTACCTCCCGCTTCGTACACTGCTCTTCTTGCTCTTTAAATTCACTACTCCCTCGCGACACATGGACCTCGCCCCGACGTTCTGCAGAAATCTTCAGTTAGAGTGATATGGGGCTAAACTATCAAAATTTACCACTTGAAGTTTACGACGCTGGACATGCCGATGCCGGTAAACCACGTCGTTGAGTCGCTTAACGATGTCGTAGGGGCCCTCGCGGTTGGGTTGAAGCTTCGAATTACGACCTTTGGAGTGACGTGGCTGGTGCAGCCACACTTTACCTCCTGGCTGTAGTGAACGACCCGGAGCGTTCTTGTTGTATCTAGTTCTTTCACTGTCACTACTCGGGTGTAGGTTTCTTCATGCGAAGTCACGCACACAGTCGAGTTTTGAGCGCAGATGGTGGGAGTAGTCGGAGCACTGAGTTATGCGGAGCTCCGCCGCATGTATCCGTCGCATGCATGAACGCCTTTAGGCGTTGATACATGCGATACATTGGTGTGCCGAAAGTGATGTCCGCAGGCAACCTCAACTCTTCACCCATTAATAACATCGATGGCGTGTAGTTTGTCGCAGAATTAACAGCTGACCGGTTGGTAAGTAGAAAAAACGCCCCCCCTTCGTGTCTTCGTGATCGTCGATAAACAATGAAAGATACTGCTTGAGGGAGCGGTTGAGCCTCTCGAGTCTCGACCGTACCATTTGACTGGGGGGGGGGGGGGGGGGGATGAAAGGGCGTTGTACTCGTCTTCGTTATTCCGAGTGCCGTGCGCACGCCCTTGGAGAAGTGCGACTTGGATGTACTACCCTGGTCGGAATGAATTTGGAGTGGTAAAATCTTGGAACAATAATTTCCCCCAAGATGCTGGTGACAGTGTCTGCGTCGTACGCTCGTACTGGAAAGGCTTCTGGCCTTTTAGTGAAATAGTAAGCAATGATTATGATAAACCATAGCCTCTGGTAGTTTGATGACTTAGCCATAGAGCGTCCGGTCGCAGATGTAGAGCGCGAGGATCTGGTAGCACAGATCATTTTGCGGGGAGTGCGGTAGTGAGCGCACAACTTTTGAGCGGCGAGGACACGAAACACACTGTTCTCTATGGCTTGGGAGAAACCGATGCGACTGGCTGCTGATGTCGAGGCTACAACGATTGCGGCCGCTGAGGACTATGGAGGAGGCTACGCCGTCAGCGTGCTCAGCCTCGTCGTCGCATTGTGCAGCTGCGCAGCGGAAGAAGCCGTAGGAACGAACCGACTGTTTTGTTTCGACGTCTATTTTGCTTCAGAGGCCTCTATCCTTGGTGCCAACGTAATGAACGACAGCGCTGCAGGGTGCATTTTCGGCCAACTGCGACAGGGAACGAAGGTGGCTCCGCGGATCACAGTTGGGACGGACGTCCCCAGTCGAGAGACGGGCAACGTACGTCGGAGAAATATGTGCCCGGTGGCAGAGTACCTCGAAGTCACACCATTTACATTTCGTGGAGGCATGAGAAGGGGTTCTTTCACTACCTTCCGCAGTGGGTGACATTGGCCGCTCAGAGGTCGCTGTGGCTGTGTCTTGTGAAGTGTTTCTTCGTCAGGGCAGGGATTTGTTTGTCGACGATTAGCGCACTCGAAAAACTGTCACTCAAGCATTCACTCACCCAAAGAACACGCACAGCGCTCACCAACGACTTTGTATTGCGTGTTTTACTTCGGCTTCTACTTCTTCAGATTTTAGACGATTTGCAAATAGAAAAAGACGACATATAGTAAAAAACTTCCCAGCTAACGCTTAGGCTAATTTGCGGCTAAATAATTAATCTCTTTTCGTGATAATGTTATCGGCGGCGTAATAACACAATAGTGCTCTAGGCGTATGATGTTCTCGGCTTCGATGATTTCCCTTGTTAATTGGTTTTCACTTTTGCCCAACACGGTGCAGTTGTTGAAATGTCCGACACACCCACAATCCCGACAGTGTATCCCCAAGTGGCCAGAGTTGGCGTTTACAATGTTGTTGGAGTGTTCTCGAAGGCAGTCATTTAGACATCGCCCAGTTTGTCCAACGTATTAGGTCTGTTCGATTTGGCCAGAAAGTTCTGAACTAGTTCTCTCCGAGTTCAAAGGGGTGCAGGAGTCGTGCAGCGGTGGAGCAGAACCAGCGCAGCCGCCGCGCAAGGACTGGTGCTGTGATCGGCTTTCCGAGCGGAAGCGCAGGGTGTCGTCTGCATCTGCTGGCTCTTGTTTCTCCACGCCACGTTGTATGCTACATTTAATTAATCGCGGTTTGATTAGACCATTTGTGTTTTCTTATTTTTAAATTATTATACCACTATTTTCTGTGAATATTTTTTTTCGAGTGTACTAAAAATGTTTTCTGCACGAAATGTGTTTCTGCCTGCATTTTTAACGGCTGTTCGGTTCCGGTCGTTTCCGTAAGCGTTCGTGTCCTTCACATTCATTTAGCAATAGTATGTTCACTCCAAGTCTCTCGAGTTTCGCATTTCGACGATAGGTTTGCGGCATCAGGATGATTTTGCGTCGGGAGTCACTGGCGGCAGCGCGCGGTCGGTAGCGGTCACCTCGAAGACGAAGGCCTGACGATAGCGTTTTGGCCAAGACAGTTATGGACCGTAACTTTGGCGTCAAGTTGAAGCGTTTATTCTGATTTTCAAGAAAGACCTGCGTGAAACTACCAAGCCAATGCCGATTCTCGGCGTTTCTTTAGGTACGTTAGTGGGCGTCCACAGATACCAGCGGACAAAGCATGCAGTTTTATGCTCAGCTACGCGGCATGCGAGGGCCAATGTACTAAATCCCAGACCTCTGCAATG